TAAAGGAAAACTTGTCTAATATGAACACCACAGCCAGAAATGTTCAGATTGGCAGATGTTCACATTTAAAGGTTTTTAACATTGAAGTCAATGGCAGATTAAAAAATGTGTTTATAAACCAAAAATATGTTTATATTGAGAGGTATTCAGATTAAAGAGGTGTACGGATATAAAGGTTTTACTGTATGAAAAAATTGTGGAAAGGCATTTCTTGGATCAATGCAATCACTTTTTGATATATTATTACGTCAGGTTTCGATAATATGTCAGACATTTTTACATACTACGGTGATCTCCCCAGCATTAAAGCTTGTGGGTGCAGCTTACACCTAAGATTTTAAAAACAGGCTTGCACCCACTTGAAAATCCATTTGCATCCACTTGAAAATGAGAAATACCATGAATAAGGGGCATATTTTGACCAATTTTTGTCTGAAAATGGGAATCCTGCACCCAGTTGAGAAAAAATCCTGTGGAGCACACTGTTCGATAAGATAAAACTTCATTGTTTTATATATTCGTAGAAAATTACAGAAACGCATTTCTTTGCTCCAAACTCAATGCAATCACTTTTTGATCGAATATAACATCAGGTTTCAATAATACATCAAACATTTTTTGGGAAAACAAAGCTCCATTGTTTAATCTAAAGGCTGTGCTGAATTAAAATTTATTAATAGCATTGATGAGTGTTCAGGGATTATACATCATTCTGTCAGGTTATTTCGTGCTTATTATGTCCCCGCCACCAGAAGTGTTGTCAGATTGTTATTGTCTTCAACTTTTTGTGGATGGTGTTTGGTGGTCAGATATTTGTGGTTGTCATCCAGAGTTTGGTGTCTGTAACAAATGGTAGGTGATGATGACATGTTGTATGTTGTTACACTCTACCTTGTTCCTGGTTAAGCCTAATTCCTCCGTTCTTGCTAATTTCATGCATTTCTTACTTTGAGGAGTCTAGTATCCATCAAATTTTTTCCTTCCCTAGGGAAAATTTCTTGTTGGTGATGTATTGAAATTGTAAACAGGGGGTCACAAACATAAAACTTAGAAAAATTAAGGAATTCCCTAATTAATTGTTGAAATCATGGAAATAATTATGTCATGGTAAAAGAACAATAGACCATAGATATTCCTATCTTGTCAAATATTCTTTAAATGACCTCTAGATTAGCATATTAATGACAATTTTGTGTTTTTGTAGATAAGTAGATTTTGTTAAGAAGTAATAGTGTAAAAAAGTATCTGCACTTGAAATAGAACTACAGTAAAACCTGTATCTACAGAACACATTTAGTAGCTAAAATAGCATTCTACTTTCAAGATGCTTCATTTACTGAAGATCATTCTACATTGTAGGTATTACTAACATGACTTTGAAGTTTTCTACTCATAGAGGCATTACACTTTACAGATGTGTGACACTTTACAGAGGTGTTACACTTTACAGAAGTGTTACACTTTTCAGTGATGTTATTCATTTTGAAGAATTTCTTTGAAAGGTAGTGAAATGAACAGGGCTTTGTATATTACCCATTAGCAGAAAATATTAAATTCTCTATATAAACCACCTGACTACCAGAACACAAAAGAAAGATATGCGAGTGCAATTATTGAAACCCATAAATCAACAAAATCCATCAGTGAATACATTTTAAGTAAAAAACCTAATAAATTAATTTCATTATGAAATGAATAAGATGTACCCTTTCTTAAAGTTTGATTGAGCTTCTTTAATAAAAATTATCTTATCCTTTGATTCACACCCCCAAAATGCAATCTGATTTTCGACGCCGTTTCAGTGCCAAATTCGTTGCCGGTTCGGCACCAAATGGACTGACTAGTCCGGTAGCAAATTTTGGTGTCGAAAGGTTTCGGTGCCGAAACGGTGTCAAAACAGTGCCAGAACAGTGCCAAATTTTTTCAATGCCGAAACGGCGTCGAATTATATTGGCTGTGTAGTCTCACCCAATCAGAATATGTCTCTCAAAATAGAGCTATCCAATCAGATTTCAATCACATTCCAACAGCTTCAAAAATGTAGAACTCTGGAATACCTCTGCAAGTGAAATAGCTCTGTATGTAAGCGAAACAACTTTCAGAGTCCCAAGACCAACTCATTTAAATGAACCTCTATAAGTGGAACACCTCTCAAATAGAACACTTTAGAGGAACCAAAGGTGTTTCACATAGAGAGTTTTTACCGTATATCATTGTGCTGCTCACAGGGTTGTGATTTCTACTATTTTAGTTAGTTCCTTGACCTCAGGGTAGAAAAGTTCATAAATAATGAATCTCTGATTAAGATGGATAGTTCCATTAACTAATTGATTCATCCTAACACTTCTTCTTAAGTTTATAAGAAAAATACGATTTATAGGATTTTTGCCTGTTAATCGATCAGTTACAAAGACCTTTTACTCCTTGTTTAGTTTCTGTTGGTTAGTTTCTGTTGGTTAGTTTCTGTTTTTGATGTAAAACTATTTGTTTTGCCAACCATGTATCCATGCCGTATCCATGTCTGCCCAAAGTATTCACATGATGCCGAATGTTGCGCCAAATGCCCACCAACACGGCCAAAGTGTGACAGCTCGATTACTCATGAAGCACAAATGAGTACTACTGTCATCTTAATTAATTCACAAGGATTGGCTGCTGTTACAGAACCATAGATTGCAAATTAATATAAAATATCAAATATCATAATTATATTGCCCCTTTAAACACTGGGTACCTCTATGTATGAGTACACTATATTGTAAACCAGCGCTTAAATTATCTCTGCTCTTGTCATGTCTATTTCATGGTTTCTCTTCAAAATGTGAATGCAGCTTTACGTTCTTGTATCCCCATACAGTTTAGAGTATGCAGCCCATATCTGTTTTTTTCATTTCTTGCTTATTTCACTCTTTTCCACTCAATTCTCCAGACCAAAAAGACATATGGCAAGTATTTATGGCAAGTGCACTGTTACCTAGTAATGGAAATAATTCATTATCTATGTGGCATTTACATTGTTATCAGGTGTTAATATCATTGTCATTATGACATCATGAGGGCATAATTTCATTTGCAAATAAACTAACAGACAGATAGACTGAAAGACAGAGAAAAACGGGGGCTTGTATTGTGAAGTTTCAACATTCGGATTTATCTAAAAAAATTATTTAATATATTGAGATTTTGAAATAATCTGATTTGTTATACAGTAACACTTAGATTTTTTAGGGGTTTTCTTGTTTGAAAATCAAGAACTGATTAGTTTTTCAGATATCTGACTGAGTTGAGATTTGACCTTTCGTTGACCTTAAAAGTTTAGAAAAGTTGATATGTTGTTCAAAACCATCTTCTAGATTGCTCCCTAAGTATAAATGTTTTATAATCATAAAATTTTACAATTTAAATCTACTGTGTAATTTGCAAATCTACTCAAAGATGACATGATAACTGCTTATAATTACATGATAACTGCTTATAATTACTTGATAACTGCTTATAATTACATGTTTAACCTTTAGCGTGCTGCCGGCAGACTCGTCCGCCGAGACTAAAATGTCTCTCACAACTGCCGGCGGACCCGTACGCCCGATTTCAAACTTTTAAAAACTTTACTTTTTCGCGCCGTTCGTATTGTCCAATTAGATTGCCCGATTTATTCATTGCCTAACATGACTTCCTGTTGACCTAGAAATGGCGATATTTCGAAAAATAATTCTCATTATTCTTTAACAATTTAAACAGTGTTTTAGTCGTTTTTAGTGAACGAATCGTACAAAATGGTGGACAAATACGATCACAACGAAAATGTGGAGGAAATGGATTACGATTTCGAGCTCTTTAGGCTCTTGGAAGCCGATAACGGTCATCGAAAATAGAAACTAGAATATTTTCTGAATTGAAAAATTGAACATTCGATCGCTGCAAATTCAGATTTGGATTCTGACCAGACGAAGAGGCGGAGCGGCGGATTCCGGAGGAGTATTCATGGTATATTTATGCCCAGTCGTGTTAATGTACGAAAAAATTCATGAGAACATTTTTTTCATGAGCCAGGCCACTGTATCTTCCCTTTGTGAAAATTTTATCCAGATTCATTCAGTAGTTATTGAGATATTAATTATTTAGTCCAGGCATATCATTTTTTGCACTCTTTGAAAAATAAGCCAGTTGCGTGGGATATATTTGCTGAAATAAGGCAGCATGGTAAAGGTTAAATACAGTAAAACCTGTGTTATTGAACACTTATCTTTAGTGAACCCCTCTACAGTGAGCAATTTTATTGGGCAAAACCTTTTTATCACAATTGACTCTCATTTTAAAGTACATTCCTATAATGAACACTTAAAACTAGAACTAGTTGAACAGTGAACACTAAATCTTGGCAAAATTAATTAAATTTTCCTATGTATGTGCTCTAAATGCTTGTTTTTATTTGTGCAATATTGTTCACATTGTGTCTTATGATATTTATACAGGAGAGCCATGTGATAATTATTAATATACTCGTATACGATTGTAAGCAAAAAAACATTGCAAATGCGACAGCGCATTAGCACGTATTTTAATAATAGAAATTAATGAACAGATACAAATGATTTTAAGAATGGATGAAAATTATAGCGTAGCATGTAATAATTTGATCCAAAGGTGAAGCAATACTGATCACTGTCATTTGAAGCACCTACCGTGTACTCCGTCAAGAAATATGCTGTGATGGTTGTGTTTTAAAATGTAAAATAGAAGAGAAAAGAAAGGAATTAGCAAGGAATAAAGTAAACATGCATGAAGTAGATACTCTGAATTGTATAGAAATGCAGGAAAATCAAACAGTTTATTCAAATTTTAGAGAGAAATATTGTGAAAACGTGAAGAAATAGAGAGGAAAGGCAAGGGTTAAAATAACATGCAATATCATACAGAAATCCTACAGAGCATAATAGAATATCAAAATTATATTTTCACAGCATTGATTTAATCGCGACATTCCTCTGTGCTTTCAGCCAATAATAATGGGTCGAGGTCGGGCGAATGGCGACTGGGCGAGGTCCCCGCCCCCTAACGCCCATATAACGTACAAGATCGGCATTTACGGATGGAGGAAACGCTGCCTTTATCTCTTCATTCTCATCATGATGGTTTGCATCGTAATCAATCTCGCTCTCACTATTTGGATCCTGCAGGTCATGGATTTCTCTATAGTAAGTACTATTTCTCATTAGAAAGTACTATTTCTCCTTAGAAAGTACTATTTCTCATTTGAAAGTACTATTTCTATATACTATTTTCAATGGTAAATACTTTTTTAGAATATTATTATTTTGTAAATACTATACTTTTATACTAATTCTTGCATGATTATTTTGTATACTATTTCTCAATTATGAATACTATTTCTCAATTATGGTTACTGTTTTCAATTGGAAGTACTATTTCTCAAAACAAGTGTTATTTCCCCTTTGTAAATACTACCTCTCAGTACTATTTCTCACATAGAATGATACCTTTTATTCCTTGACATATTTTACTTATTAGACTATATTTACTGTAGGATGGTATGGGACGCATCAAGAATTAATATCGCTTGACATATTTTTATGTCACCACCACAAAACCATATTGTTATTTTGTGGACAGTGTTTGGCAGTTGGCGTTGGGTGTCTGTAACGAATGGCAGATGATGACATTTTAGCATCGTGGTAATTCACGCCCTCTCCATCTCTATCCTCCTGGATGGGATCTGCGATGCAATAGAGAGAGATGCTATGAGTATCAGAATGACATTTTAGATTTAATGCAAATTGTATTTATTTACTGTAGGATGGTATGGGAAAGCTACGAATGACAGACTCAGGTGTACAGGTCCAAGGCAGAGCAGAGTTTATCAAACCATTACATACAACAGAGAGAGATGCTATGAGTATCAGAATGACATTTAAGATCTAATGCAAATTGTATTCATTTACTTTAGGATGGTATGGGAAAGCTACGAATGACACCTTCTCCATCGCTATCCTCCTGGATGGGATCTGCGATGCAACAGAGAGAGATGCTATGAGTATCAGAATGACATTTTAGATTTAATGCAAATTGTATATATTTACTGTAGGATGGTATGGGAAAGCTACGGATGACAGACTCAGGTGTACAGGTCCAAGGCAGAGCAGAGTTTATCAAACCATTACATGCAACATCCATCAGATCAAAATCAGTAAGTGTGTGCATAGGCGTAGCCAGGGGGGTGCGATGGGTGTGAACGCCCCTGGTATGTGTTGTACAAAACTTCAATACGATCTCATTGTTTGATTGATTTGTTAATTTTTTTGATATATCCATGTGAATTTGAAATGATAAATTATTTATTCAGTATTTAGACTATTCCAGATATATTTAATGAAGTAATCATATTCACAGCTTTAAAGGATGTCCATGGTATAAATGTGGTAAAAAGTTAAAATACATTTTTTTAATAATAACATTTTTTAATGTTCTAGACATCTGCCTGTTTTTCAATGACCAGTCCTAGAATCTGTCACCAAAATGGTTACATCTTTGGCAACATCCAATGGTACACACATTTTAAAACATGAAAATGGTCCTAGTTTTACGAAAACCAAACTGAATCTTGTGTATTAATGATAAAATCTGGTTTGCAAGTACATAAAAAGTGCTTGAAATGATGTATATACAGCCAATAATATGATTGATACTGGATGCAAGAGAAAGTGAATTTGTGAGGGAGGGGGATATTGCAAGTTACACATGATGTATGCGACATCTATAAATAAGAAAAAATGTAATTTGTCACACTTTGAAGTTCTAAACATTCTAAACTATTTAAACATTATTCACTGGCATGTAGCGGCCCTGATATCGATAAATTCTACACGCAATATAACCCGATTTTAGATGCTTGGTTAAAACTTTACACGAAAAAGCCTCGATATCCGGGCATTTACTCTTACACTGAACTGAAAATAGCATCGTCTAAACGTGTATGTCTTGGCTTCCGGGTAAGTTTATCAACATTTATACTCAATTGAAAGAGCAGTCGTGCTTATATCGTGTACCAGTTTGATTGTTTTATATGTGTGTGTATTTATAATATGATAGCCTAGTAATACCGTGTCGTTAGAACAAGTGCTAGATATCGAACTGATGACCTGAAATTAGATTATTGGACTGATCGCGCATCTGATATTAGATGATTAATTTGCATTGAATCTGATATTAACTTGCAACCCAATACCACAGTAAATACAATGACTTTACATTAGAATGATAACACGGCCTCATATTCTAATTCATTATACGTCCATTGCAGGCCAAAAATGTTTCAATGTGGATATTGTAATGCACACGATAATACATTCGATTCGTATATATTGATCATACATCAATATCCTAGATGCGAGTAGAAATAATCTTGATTTACGTCATTAAAAATTCACAATTCTGTCAAACTGGTGTCATATTTGGAATCTACATATAAAATTTCATCTAAAAATGTGGTTTTGAAAATAGTTTATCAACTTTGAAAATTTAATTTTCTTTGACAATGTGATTTCTAGGTCGGGGAGATTCCCCATAGACCCCATGTTGTAAAACTACAAAAAGCGAAATATCGTTTCTTGTGTTGGGCAGATAATATTTTCTTTTACTGGACATATTTTAATTTGTATAACTATCACATACATAAGGGTAATTTCAAAAGTGAACCACTAAAACTGATGCATATTCAAGTTTAAGGGAATTTTGTAATACCCTGCCATGTTATTTCCCCCGAATCAGCCACCTGGTGGCGAAACTGGTAACTACCTACTCGCATCTGAGTAATTGAACATGGAGATTTTCCTGTACACTTTTCCCAAACATGTGGAATAGACTAGATGCGAGTAGAAATTATCTTGATTTATCCTATGCCAAGTAGGGTTTTAGGGAGATAAGTTGGTAAGATATATCCCGTATCCTGATTTTGAGGTTTCCATATCAAGAACCTCCATATCTCCTGTCATATCTCCCGCTTCGGTGCATATCTTCCCGCTTCGGGGCGTATCTTCCCGCTTCCAAAAAAGTGGAAATGCAATAAAATGACTTTGCATATGAATGATTTGTTTATTTTTTACACCTTGTACTACTGAAAACTCTACTTGGTATAGGATAAAGCAGTTATGTACGGTCGGTTTGGATATTGGGTTCATCCCTCGTGAGATATTATAGGAATATCCTATGGCTCTGAAAAAAAATCACTTATATCCATGAGTGGATATTGATATCTTCGCGAGTGAGCGCAGCGAATGAGTGAAGATATTGATATCCATGAGTGGATATAAGTGATATTTTTGAAAAACCATAGGATTGTCCGTTTATCCCATTGGGAATTATTATCCAGCGAACATTGAATAGTCAGATAAATTGCAATGGAAATTCCATTTCGTCTGAGATTTTGATTGCGATAATTCAACGAACGTCATATACGTGACGTAACAGAGTGGTTTGTATTTAATGCGAACGCCGTAAAAACAAGATCCCAAAAAATGAAAATATATAATAAATATATAAACAATCGTTTTGCTGAATTAATAAAAAAAATTGAAAAAATCAAAACCATCGAATATCACTTTTGATACCATCGAATATCACTTTTGAAACCATCGAATATCACCTTTCAAAAAGTGATATTAGATGGTTTCAAAAGTGATATTCGATGATTTGGGAATTGTTTTCTAAAATATGATATCTTCATCCACGTATCAATTATATCTTCACGTGATATTCGATCTATATCCTTGTAACCATGGGATAAATAAGGGTTATGTACTGGGAGGTAGGTCCCTCAGGTAGATATGCATATCTCACTCTGGAAAAACCCCATATCCAAAACCTCCCAGTTTTTACGGCGTTCGCATTAAATACAAACCACTCTGTTACGTCACGTATATGACGTTCGTTGAATTATCGCAATCAAAATCTCAGACGAAATGGAATTTCCATTGCAATTTATCTGACTATTCAATGTTCGCTGGATAATAATTCCCAATGGGATAAACGGACAATCCTATGGTTTTTCAAAAATATCACTTATATCCATGAGTGGATATTGATATCTTCGCGAGTGAGCGCAGCGAATGAGTGAAGATATTGATATCCATGAGTAAATAAATAAATGATTCCTTTTAGATAAAGTGGAAAACAATATTTCCCATGTTATTTTCCCATAGGAAAAACCATTGCTTTCAGCTAAGTTTGGTCACCCATAATGGGTATCTTTAAAACCCCTGAAGGAACCGCTTATTCCTTTAAAGTGGTTAACTATGTGTCAAAATGCAACATATTGATGCAAGAAAAATTGAAAAAGCAGGGGTGGAAGGGGTCGAAAATTAGGAAAACATTTCAGAAAAAACATGTGGGTGGGTTGTTTGCATCTACCCTGTCTCAAAGTCGAAATTATTTTATCATCTCTAGAAGTGATTTTCCTGGGGGTAATGCATTGGCCTAACATATGCAATTGTTTAAATCCTCAGAAAATGGCCAAAATCCAAAATATGACTGTCCAAAATCTGTTGCACTAATTTCCCTCCTTCTTTTCACTTAACCATAGCATACGGTGTTTTAGCCATGACATACATAGGGGTTATGCACTGGGAGGTTTTGGATACAGGGAATATCCCGAGGGATATACAATATATCTTCCCGAGGGACCGAAGGGACCAAGGGAAGATATATTGTATATCCAAAGGGTTATTTCCTGTATCCAAACCGACCATGCATAACTGTAGGTATTCCATACCTGAAGAGGTTTGAAATAATAAGCATGTATCCCATATGCTCTGGTGTGTTTACTTGCAAAATATGCTATCATTTTCAAAAAAAATCAAATTGTTTCCATATTTGTTTTCAATTTTTTTCAAAAATGAAAAAAAAAATCCCCAAATTTTTTTCACATTTTTTTCCCAATTTTTTTCACATTTTTTGCATAATTTTTTTCAGAATTATCAACATTTTTTCAAAATCTTTTTACACAATTTTTTTCAAATTTTTATTTTCAAATTTTTTTTTCCCGAATTTTTTTTTTCAACATTTTTTTTGGGGCGGGACATACGATTTATATGTCCCGGAGCTCCGTTGGAGCGAGACATACGAAAAATATTTGCCCGGATATGGAATATATTGCCGGTTGATATGTCCCTGAAACCTCATCAGGTATGGAATACGGCGTCGTATGCCATGGTTTATGGATTTTTGCTACTTCAGACTCAAAACAAGGCTAAGTGTCAATATCGCCGTATCGTTTGGAAAATTCGTTTTAAATCACTTAATTCCCGACGATTCTGATGATGACTTTAACTATGGAATATAAAGAACATCCTATGATTTACTCGTGATATGATTTTAATCCACTCATGGATGTTGATATCTGCACTCTCTCGCTACGCTCACTCGTGCAGATATCATATCCATTCGTGGATAAAAATCATATCACTCATAAATCATAGGATATCCTCTATTTAAGATGTGATATTCGATAGTTTAAAAGTGATATTTGATGGTTTGTAAATTGTTTGCTAAAATATGATATCTTGATCCACATATCAAATATATCATCATGTGATATTCGATCTATATCCTCCTTGCAACCATGGGATAAAGATTTACGTCCCGCTCCAAGCGGGCAGATATAGTATGTCTGCCCGCTACGTCATAATCGCCGCTTGCATATTTGTTCATAATTTGTAACGTTCGCGGAATGACTGTAAACGGCAATGGAGAAAACACAGACAATCAGGGTCTGTTTGATAGTTAAAAAAGGGAAAGAGCATCCACTTAATCAATAAAAAATTCGAGAAAATAAATATGGGAATATTTGAGAGAACATGAAAATCCGCCCACGGCCAAGAAAACAAAACTGGACATGAATATTCTAAAATGTTTCCACGATTTAACAATGTGAACCAGATGACCAATATTGGTATGGGATAAACATATTATCCTATAGTCGGTTCAGGATATTGGGATTATCCCTTGGCCAATATATAGGGGTTATGCAATTGGAGGTTTTGGATACAGGGAATATCCCGAGGGATATACAATATATCTTCCCGAGGGACCAAGGGAAGATATATTATATATCCCTCGGGATATTCCCTGTATCCAAAACCTCCAAATGCATAACTGTTGTATATAGTTTAGCATGATATGTACTTCTTTCTGTAACTGGAATACGATTCTAATATACAAGCAGCACATACGTATTCCCGGGGAACCATAAATATTTTGTGTAGGGTGTGGACATTTTTCTTTTCATTTCTCTAAAATCAGATTATTCTCATAAAATTCATACAAAGTTGGGCCTAAGCCTCTATTTTCGTATTCTGCATGTTAAGATATTTATAATGTAAAACCTAAGAGATAAATTCAATGTCTTCAGTTGAGAATAAGTATAAGGTAAATGTGTGAATTCTGCTTGTTGTTGCACTATTTTTATAATAAACAAGGTTCGATACGCAACACTGAATAGACTGCAGTCATAGCTTAGTTGTAAAGAAAACAAAAGAAGTTGGGACGTGGTCATGCTTGAATACGATTTTGAATATATCGCCGTTTACATTTGTTGAAATCGGCCTGTATTAATTTCAACAGGTGATCGGTGTACAAGGGCATATATTTGAGTTATTGGTTTAACGATAAGTATGACCTATGAGTGGGTAATGTTTTACAAATGCATGAAACAAATACTCCAATGGCCTAATCTCAATTTTCCTGCATAAACTATTACATTGAAATGATGGTCATTTGCTCTCTAACTTCCGCACCGCATACGTAACTTCGTAACAATTCAATAAGCCAAGACAGGACCGCTATAATCGCTACATGCCAGTGATTATTGTGTATAACTCATTCATGCATGGACATTCAATGGATTGAAAGCCCATGATTTATGCAACCACACAATAAATCCACAAGAAGATGATTTTAGATAAAATTCTTGTGTATGAAATGTAAGAAGTGACTATAAAAGATGTTCACTCATTCTCTATGCCCATTTGTGAATATATCATAATTTAATCAGGCCCTTAACCAGCTTTTGCCAAGTAAAAGGGGTTCAATTTCTTTTTAATTCTAGGGGTTCCAGTTTTTGCCCAAAATCACTTTTGCTTGAAATGATTTTTGAAGAATTTTTGGTCTTTGGTTTTTGGTTTGCTCAACCCCATGATCCCCCTGGCTATGGGCCTTATACTAACTTGAGTATAAACATGACATACATGTTCTGTATATATAAAATGAACCTTAACATAACTCTTATTCTTAATTGTTGTATTTTCAGTCAGATCCATTATTCATAGAATCATCAAGAAACATATCTCTACACTCCAGAGATTCATCCGGAAATATCAAAAACACATTTTATATTGGTGAGTTCAATTTTTATGTCTCAAGAATTTGAATTTGTGACATATTCTTTTTAATTAAAAAGCCATCACTTGTGACCATTGTCAGCATGCGCTTTAATGTCAGCTCATCAAAATACACAATTCATTCAATAAAAAATGATAGATTTTCTCAATTTCTTCCAAATTTTGACCAGTTTTTTATTGGTTTGCATTCTGGAGTTCCTTTCCATTACCAGTGCTTATAAATTGGTGTTTGTCATGTTATGACGTCAAGGTGTTTGTATTCATATGGAGTCAAACTGTTCATTATAATACAATGTCAATATGTTTTATTTAAATTTTAAGATGTCAAATGTGCTTATGCTGATCATAATGATATGATGTCAAAGTGCTTCTTTTGATATGATGTCTAGTGGTGTAACGAGTGACTCGGGTAATCGACTAGAACTCGAATGAGCCTAGCAAATTGATCAATCGATTGAAAATTTGAAAATCGTGATCCTGAAAATTTTACCCTCCATACTCACGATTTAAGCAAGGATTGTATGCCTTTACATTTTTCTAATAAATTACATACTTCTGACTATATTCTGCAGATTGTTTTGTTGATTTAACGGTCAGTTGATGAGAATTAAGTATGAGAATCGTATTCATTGCTTTTTATGTTTGTTTATATCCGGTATCTCGCATGCGCACATGTATTTTGACGGAAGTGAGAATTTTAAAGTCGAAAAAAATCCATAAAAGGCTTATATCATTGCTAATATACGGTAAATGTGCGTCTAAAACATCCAAAACGGAACTCAATCAGTTCAGAACTACATCATTGAGTGGTCATTAAACCAAAAGTCGATGTAAGTAGTGACAAATGCCTTGATTTTCCAGGTTCTAATTTTCTCAATTTTTAAAAAAAATAATAGCCAAAATCGTCTACTCGATCGTCAAATTTATTATTCTACTCGAGTAGAGATTTTGGTGGCGAGTCCCACCACTAATGATGTCAGTGTGTATTAACTTAAGGTGTGTGTTAATAGGATGTCAGCTTATTTACTTTGATTCGATGTCAAGGTATTTGTTATGATGTCAGTGTGTTTTCTATGATATGGTGTCAAGGTGTTGTATCTTGTTTGATTTTTGACATATACAGAGCATAAAGGCATCTTTCAAAACTCTTCTGAAGTTTCTATTCCCGTATGCATATATGAAACAATTTAGGAATGAATTTGAAAGGCCCAACATAAGCAAATGAGAACTAATAATTGTCCGCAAATGACACCCTGTTTTACACATGATTGTTATAAGTGTCGCTATGGTGAAAGGACCCCATGTGATCAAGAAACAACCAATCACAATGGCCAATGTTTTCACTGCTTTCATATTCCGGAAAGAAACCTTCGGAATGCAGACTGGTTTTTGTTCCTTCTGCTTTAGTGATTCCATTGATGACAGATAGGTGTCCTCAGTGGTATCATCACTCATTCTTCGGACACTGGATTCCTGGGCATCGATTATCTTAATGTGTGACCTTGTTCTGCGGAAAATTTTGAAATAGACAACACTTATGATCGCCATTGGGAAACAAAGTCCAAGAAAAAAGAGAAATAGAAGATAGCCAGGGCCAACAATGTACATCAGCGTACAATATTGACGATCTTGGAAAAATCTACCCATATTCCAACCAAGCAATGGCGCCACTCCTATAGACACCGCATGTAGCCATATATGGGCAATCGCAAATGCGATATTATGACGACTCATTATTTTGTAGTATTTTAGTGGAGAAAAGATAGCGATGTAACGGTCGATTGCGATCCACTTCATACAGACTAATGAACCACAGATTGGACTTATACAGAACAGCTGAAACACGAGACATTGTTGATACTGGATGTAATACTGGAGAAATATTGATCTCGATAAGCAAGAAAACCCGACTAGGAAATCATTCAGAGCTAGCACTAATACGAAAGGAAATCCAGGGATGCTAGCTCTTTGTTTACTAGTGAAGATCGCAAATATGACAAAACCATTTGAGATCATTGTGACCATACCCATGAGAGCCAGCAAAATACTCTTATATTTCTCACCCTTCTTTTTGATGAAATCCCCTGGCAATTTGCACCTTTCCATGAAAGTTGTCACAAAATCAGCATTTTTAACCATGCCATAACACAAGAAATGGGTCTCGTTATTGCAAGGCACATGACAGTGTAAATCTTTGATATGCACTGTATTGTTTGACGTTTTCAAACAATTTAGGATTGTCCCCATTAAGTGTCCATTGACTTCATATTGAAGGGTGATGTTGTTTTCTTCCATTGTCATTAGCACCACAATTGTCATATTGTGGATGATCGGTATCACATCTGGTGTTAAATTGAACGCAGGGCCAGGTGCATGGCTGTAATGTGTCCCATCTACATGTATATTAGGTTCTTTTACATATATCTGTAGAGCTTCATCATGTTCAAGGATATCCCCATCTTCAGTTGTTGAAGGTTCAATGATATCTGTTATCTGTTCGTTTTTTCTATTATTATTCAGTTGTTCAATTTTGCTGCTTGTTTGTTCACTTTCATTTGCAGCTTGTTCTGAAACCATCTTAAATAGTCCAGTATTTTCCTCAACTTTTGGGAAATTTCCATTGTGATTGTTGTATTTGTTTGTATGGTTAAGTCCAGGTCTCAAATGATGGGTGTAAGGATGTTTATTTAGTGGAATTTTCCACTGTCCCTGTGAATCATCCTTTTTCAGTATAGATTCCTGTGAAGGTTTGTGGAAATTTCCGTTGCTGTAAATTATATTTTCCTTTGGAGGGTTCCTGAATGTTCCTTTGGTATGAGCTATATTATTATCCATAGGCTTCTTGAATGATCCGTTGGTGTTAGCTGTTTGTCCGAGGTTGATAGTTTCGATTATTAGAAGAAAGAGAAATAAATCTGCCATCCATATATCATCCCACATGATCGAAAAATGTTTTTATTTTATCTCACAGGTCATCACTTAGACCAGTACCAGTGTTATAAAAATAATCCTGTCTTGTTGGGTTGTAATTGTTCTATGATGATAGTAATATCCTGTGAATATTTTTATTTATATAGTATTGTCATTAAACATTTGTAATAAGGTTTAGTTAGACTGCCAACTGACATTTGACTCCCGACATCTTCTCTGTATATCCCGATGGAATTTAAATAGTTGGTACGGTCCTCTGTGTATTTTATGCTGGCAGTCCATCAGTGTTATAAAGTGAACTGACTCTCTGAGCACCCATATTTCTTTTCAGACCTACGATTCCCATTGAGATTTTTATCGTAAAATTGTAGACATTAAACAATCTTGATTATCATCTTCAAAATTTACAGCATTTATCTGCAATAAATCTCTTATTCAATCCAATCTGGCAGATTCTTCCTATCTCTGAAACAAATTGCTCATTTTGTTTTTAAAAAAGTGCTAATAGCTCTTTTAGTCTTGAGTGAGATTGTTATAAATGGTATGAATGCATTAAGATGTATCCAGTTAAAGATTAAGTGTGTTTAATTAGTTCTTCATCTACTTAGTACTTGGTGCTAATGAGAAACCTGTCTAGGCTGTCATGTTCTTATGATTACCCTTTTCAAGAATTTGATGTTGTTTCTTTAAAATAGAGCTCCATCTGCACTTTTTGAAAAGGAGACATTATGATGGAGTTTTATATTAGCAAGCTTAAGAAAGCCAAGTACCAAGATCTGGTAGACGAGGCCATAACAAGGGGATGGCATGCAGTGCAGTACCCAATAAAAGTGGGATGTAGCCTCGCTGCGCTACCTTCTATCTCAGCTAGGACTAACACCATCCAAGCTGAAGTCGGCAGTTAAGGCAGTAGGTGCCGTGGCAGAGTCCAGCTCATGGTGGCTCGTCTGGCTCATGAGGAATGACAAGTGGTGTTCTTCAGCGAGCGATGTTTAAGACCAAATCATTGCTACCCCACTCAGATTATGCATACAGGCTAAGGGGTGAAATGTGACGATCTGAGACGCCTGCTGATGCACAGTAAAGGACACTCACTTAATTTTCCTACGAAGCCATCCACCAGTAGTAGTTCCTTTTACCGTTTGTAGCGATACATCATTGATGTTTATTTGAAATGCAGTCATTACATGTTCTGCCTTTCATAAGTAGCTGACATTAATTTGTAAGCAAACTACCATGGAAGGCCATGACAGCTACTTATGGGTAATCGAGATATAATCAATATCAATACTGCATACTTATTTGTTATTCTCAGAGAGTAGTGGTTTTACTATACCCTAGTATTCAGGGTAGTTTCTCGACATTGATATTTCTAGTATTCTATAAAGTGTTTTTTTCTTTAGCATCTTGAAATTCATTCTATACTTTCAACTATCTAACACCAATGTACGTCAACTTATATATTTCTGTAAAAATAGCTCATAATGTCAAGTTGACCGAGCCACTGACTTAAATACTATATAAAAAATAAAAAAAATTAAAAAATTCATTCTGCAGACATTAGCCTAGCTACGCTGACCTCTGAATAAGAGTAGCAAAATTGCAGTTATAATGCAGCTAAGATTTAAATGACTCCAAATTTAAGTAGATGTCTCAAATGCGAATTTCATTTAAAGTATTAACTTTTGATCATAATGAAAGGATGAAATAAAATTCAATGAATGTAATATCTTGTGTGACTCTGTCATTGTTTGACTTTGATATTTTGTAACAACTGTTATGTTTCTGTAACACTGTTCTGCAACAACCTTTTGTTGCAATGTGATGGATGTGCCAATTTGTCATATTAATGCCTTGTCTACACAAGGAGATATGTAGAGTACTAAAATACTAAAATAGTACTCATGGCAAATATTAGTACTAAATGAGCACTTATGAAAGGAATACTGATTTATTGCATTTTTAGTACTAAATGAGTACTCATTCGATGAGTGATAAGATAGTGCTAATACATTGATTTTTCATTATTACTCAATGAGCACTCTTATACATATACTTTAGAGTACTAAATTAGCACTTGCGGCACGAGTGCTCATGACTGCGCTTTTGCTTTGTACTAATTGAGAAATCGACATATCTCCCTGTGTAGCTTATTGATTTCAAAAATAGATATAGTCTTCTTTGTTATATGAACTGGCTATAGACAAGCGACATCATATCTCTCAAGATATATTCAATAATTATTAAATTCCAATTCATATATTTTCAGGAGACGGGAATGTCAAGTCCACTTGCAGTAAATTCCAGATACAAGATGGGGCTGGAAAAACTCTGCTAAAAGCTGACAAACAAACTGTCTCAATAGGTGCTCAATCTCAACTACATATACAAGGTAAGTTAGATATGGGCTTTCAGTATCAACTACATGTAATGTCAACTACATACAAGGTAAGTTGGTGCATAAATGGGCTTTCAAGAGAAACCCATGGAACAAAACATCTCTCGTCATCCATATCTTGAAACAGTAGCAAGAAACTAAAATAACATTTCCTGATGTTATCAATTAAAACTTTTTGTGACACATTCCCATGGTTACAACTGAACATCACCATGTATCATTGAGCTCATACATGTAATGTTACTTGCCATATTACATGTAAATTAGGAAAGTTTCTGCTGTTTTTCTTTGCATTGACCTATAAACCATGTTGAATATTTGCATCTTGTACCAGCAATAATAGCAAGGCACCATAATCATGTTTCTTAATATAATCATGGATTTCAATAGAATATTGAATGCCCATGCTATAATCAATTAAATCATATTTCAATTGGGGAATATATTATACTGAACATCATCATGCATCATTGAGCTCATAATGTTACTTGACATCTTAGAATGTAAATGAGGAAAGTTGCAGGTGGAAGCTTCACAAAACTGTTACAGAAATTACTTGTTACTGAATTGAATCTGTGTACAGATATTTGTTGACAGATTTTTGAAAATAGACTTGCTAGTTTTTATTTGTTTTTTTTATTCAATTCATCAAATTACATATATACAGCATTAAAAAATCGTTGTTATCAAATATGTAAATTCAAAGTTTATAATATTATATATATATACAGGGTGTTTCATATGTATGCATCCCCTCCCATAAACTCATACATGTAGCATAATGCCAACCTATCTTGTTATATATCATTTTGTTCCTTTTGGAAAGTTATATGAGATTGCAAAGTTTCAGAATCCAGTGGTGCCACTGAAAAAAAAATGTATCAAAGTATGTGGGTACAGGTCATTTTGAGGGGAATTTCTGGTCATTTTGAGGGCAATTTAAAGGGAAAATTGAGTTTCTGTATTGCACATTTCTAGCAGTTGTCATCATGGCAGAGTTCAATGCACACGAGTGTGATAGTTATGCACAAAGATATATAGATAAGATTCATGCAGTGGCTTATAGGGAGGTTAGGGACCGACCCTGGTAGGACCTCTATCACTAAAAATGGGTATGAGACAAATTGAACAGATCACCAGAAGTTACCCTTTAAACTACCCTGTACCCGCAAGCTTTGATACATTGTATCTTTTTTCAGGGACACCCCTGGATTCTGAAACTTTGCAATCTTATGTAACTTTCCAAAAAGGAACAAAATGAATTTTGTTTAGAAATGAAACATGATTATAGAAATAGAAAATTTTAACACAAACAACAATTAGAGTAAACTTTGATCCTGTCCTTTACTTTACAGTTTAACGTCACCAGTATATTTATACATACATGTATATTATCCTACACTTAGTGTGCTAAATGTATAATAACATTAAAAAATAAATTTGATATCTATTGGCAAAATGAATGACTGGAATGAATGATATGCTCAGTGATATTGATATATGCTCTATACTGAGATAAAAATGATATTCCTCAAAATCGTAGGAAATCCCATGAATATTATATACATGTAAAACTAATGTACTATTCAATCAGCAGTTTCAATAGAAATTCATTTATAGGAGGGGTATTAGGTGTTGCATTTGACCAGTTTAAACCAAAATTGAGGTTTATAATTGATCAAAATGGTGGACATATCGAGCATCTGTTTATGTAAATCAAGTTGACAAAAAACTTGGTTTTTGCAAGTTTAGGAAACCCTGTTTTGAAATTAAAGTGACGTCTATATTATGGATGCTGGTTGACAGACATTATAATAAATTTGAACTCATGATATACCAAATTAAGGATAATTTAATTCCCTATCCACTGGTATATAATATGACATGTTTTCCTTAAGAGAATCAATATTTATTTTTGAAATACGAGTGTCCCATTTTTTGGACCACCCTGTAGTTATACCTACCTGTTCATATTATTTATTAGGACAACGATGTTGCTTATGACAGTATTCTCCACATTTAAAGCATTGCATGTTGTTGGCAGTTCTTTGATTCATTGGGGAAGAAAGGTTAGGTGGAGTTTGAGTGTGACATGCTTGAAGTTGATCTCTAGATGACCTAGGGTTTTGCATGTGATGTAGTCCACGGATTGGAGTATATTGTGGCTGTGGTTGACTGTTTGATGGTCCATGGATTGGAGTGTGTTCAGACTGCAGTTGGCTGTTAGGTGGTCCATGCATTTGCATGTGTTGAGACTGCAGTTGGCCGTTAGGTCGTCCATGGATTGGAGTGTGTTCAGACTGCAGTTGGCTGTTAGGTGGTCCATCCATTGGAGTGTGTTGAGACTGCAGTTGGCTGTTTGGTGGTCCATGCATTTGAGTGTGTTGAGACTGCAGTTGGATGTTTAGTGGTCCATCCATTGGAGTGTGTTGAGACTGCAGTTGGCTGTTTGGTGGTCCATGCATTGGAGTTTGTTGAGACTGCAGTTGGATGTTTAGTGGTCCATGCATTTGAGTGTGTTGAGACTGCAGTTGGATGTTTAGTGGTCCATGCATTTGAGTGTGTTGAGACTGCAGTTGGCTGTTTGGTGGTCCATGCATTGGAGTTTGTTGAGACTGCAGTTGGCTGTTTGGTGGTCCATGCATTGGAGTGTGTTGAGACTGCAGTTGGCTGTTTGGTGGTCCATGCATTTGAGTGTGTTGAGACTGCAGTTGGCTGTTTGGTGGTCCATGCATTGGAGTTTGTTGAGACTGCAGTTGGCTGTTAGGTGGTCCATCCATTGGAGTGTGTTGAGACTGCAGTTGGCTGTTAGGTGGTCCATGCATTGGAGTTTGTTGAGACTGCAGTTGGCTGTTTGGTGGTCCATGCATTGGAGTGTGTTGAGACTGCAGTTGGCTGTTTGGTGGTCCATGCATTTGAGTGTGTTGAGACTGCAGTTGGCTGTTTGGTGGTCCATGCATTGGAGTTTGTTGAGACTGCAGTTGGCTGTTAGGTGGTCCATCCATTGGAGTGTGTTGAGACTGCAGTTGGCTGTTAGGTGGTCCATGCATTTGAGTGTGTTGAGACTGCAGTTGGCTGTTTGGTGGTCCATGCATTGGAGTTTGTTGAGACTGCAGTTGGCTGTTAGGTGGTCCATGCATTGGAGTGTGTTGAGACTGCAGTTGGCTGTTAGGTGGTCCATGCATTTGAGTGTGTTGAGACTGCAGTTGGCTGTTTGGTGGTCCATGCATTGGAGTGTGTTGAGACTGCAGTTGGCTGTTAGGTGGTCCATGCATTTGAGTGTGTTGAGACTGCAGTTGGCTGTTTGGTGGTCCATGCATTGGAGTTTGTTGAGACTGCAGTTGGCTGTTAGGTGGTCCATGCATTGGAGTGTGTTGAGACTGCAGTTGGCTGTTTGGTGGTCCATGCATTGGAGTGTGTTGAGACTGCAGTTGGCTGTTTGGTGGTCCATGCATTTGAGTGTGTTGAGACTGCAGTTGGCCGTTTGGTGATCCATGCATTGGAGTGTGTTGAGACTGCAGTTGGCCGTTAGGTCGTCCATGCATTGGAGTGTGTTGAGACTGCAGTTGGCTGTTAGGTGGTCCATGCATTGGCATGTGTTGAGACTGCAGTTGGCTGTTTGGTGGTCCACGCATTGGAGTGTGTTGAGACTGCAGTTGGCCGTTAGGTCGTCCATGCATTGGAGTGTGTTGAGACTGCAGTTGGTTGTTAGGTGGTCCATGCATTGGCATGTGTTGAGACTGCAGTTGGCTTTTTGATGGTCCATGCATTGGAGTGTGTTGAGACTGCAGTTGTTTGTTGTGTGGTCCAGGAATTGGAGAATGTTGTGGCTGTGGTTGGCTGTAGTATGGTCCAGGGACTGGAGTCAGTTGTGGCTGCAGTTGGATGTTGGATGGTCTGAGGATTAGAGTATGTTGTTGCTGTGGTTGGCTGTTGGATATTTTAGAGGTAACATCTTTATCCTTTCTCAGTTGGCTGCTGTATGTTGTTGAGGTTACATCTTTGTCTTTTGGCAGTTGGCTGCTATGTGTTGTCGAGGTAACATCTTTGTCCATTAGTAGTTGGTTGCTATGTGTTGTCAAGGTAACATCTTTGTCCTTTGGCAGTTGGTTACTATGTGATGTCAGGGTAACATCTTTGTCCTTTAGCAGTTGGCTATTATGTGTTTTCGAGGTAACATCTTTGTCCATTGGCAGTTTGCTGCTATGTGTTGTCAAGGTAATATCTTTGTCAATTGGCAGTTGGCTGCTATGTGTTGCTAGGGTAACATCCTTGTCCTTTGGTAGTTGGTTGGTATGTGTTTTCAGGGTAACATGGTTGTCCTTTGGCAGTTGGCTGGTGCTTGTTGTCAAGGTAACATCTTTCTCCTTTGGCAGTTGGCTGCTGTGTGTTGTCGGGTTAACATCTTTGTCCTTTGGCAGTTGGCTGCTTTGTGTTGTCAAGGTAACATCTTTATTCTTTGGCAGTAGGTTGCTATATGTTGCCAGGGTAACATCTTTGTCCTTTGGCAGTTGGTTACTATGAGATGTCAGGGTAACATCTTTATCCTTTGGCAGTTGGCTTGTGCTTGTTGTCAAGGTAACATCTTTCTCTGTTGGCAGTTGGCTGCTGTGTGTTGTCGGGTTAATGTCGTTGTCCGTTGGCAGTAGGTTGCTATATGTTGCCAGGGTAACATCTTTGTCCTTTGGCAGTTGGCTGCTATGTGTTGTTGAGGTGACATCTTTATCCTTTTGCAGTTTGCTGCTACCTGATGTAGGGGTAACATATTTGTCCATCTGCCCTTGGCTGTTATATATTTTGGGGGTTACATCTTTATCCAGCTTCACTTGGCTACTTCTTGATATAGAGGTTACATCTTTGCCCATCTGCGCTTGAATGCTACTTGATGTATGTGAAGTATCTTTGTAAAGCAGCACTTGGCTGCTTCGTGGTGTGGGTGTTAGAATGCTGTTTGTTGAGGGAGTTTCATCTTGAACTGGGTTTATGAGGTTGGTATCTAGTGCGTCACTTGTTAGCATTAAAATTCTTTGTTGCAGGGCTGCATTTTGGAGCTTCAATGTTTTATTTTCTTTCTTACACATTTCAAGTTCATGTATTAGATTCTCAACCCATTCACAGTGTTCTTTGGTTCTCTTTAAATTATCAGCTTCTGAACCAATGATATTGTGTTCATCTACATCTGGAAAGAAGAAGTTTCAATATTTATTTCTGAATCTTTGGGGAAAATGATGCAAAGCTCGTCCTTTTTTTAAGTGTTAAACTCAAGCTCTCTATTACTTTTTTCAGAGTTTAAACATTTTTCAAATTGTTAATTTGGTGGTATAAACATTGAAATTGAATTATTTAGATTATTTCAAACTATTTGATCCAACTCACTTCAAGTCATAGATTGAAACCATGGGCGTAGCCAGGGGGGGTGCGATGGGTGCGGTCGCACCCTCCCCCCCATAACCTTTGAAAATATGACCATTGGATAGAGGAAGAACAGAGCTTTAAAATGCTTTTTATTTGAAGCTTCTAGCTCAATTTTGAAGGAAGTTGCATCAATTTTTGTAAAATTCAAAAGAAATCTTAATTTTTTGTGTTGCTTATGCCAAAATCGCACCCCCCCCCCCCTGACCGAAAACTGAAATTTTTTCGGCGATCGCACCCCCCCTGACTGAAAGCTGGCTACGCCCCTGTTGAAACTGTGGTCATGTGACCAGTAGACTCATTTGAAGCATGAAATTTTAAAACCCAAATCTATCAGTTTATTCTAAACTTGTTTTTTAATTCTGCTACTTCAAAATTGAACCTACCTTCACTGGGTCTTACACCACGAAATTCTGCCTTGATTCCTTCATCTTTTTGGTCACTTTGATCTGAAATCAACATACAGTGATAAGGAATACAAGCTACTTAATAAGTACATATTTCGTACATATGTATATTAATCTGAACAAGGTACATCTTATGTTATGGAAATGTATTTATTTATCATGGTAGGAGGGGATTGATTTTATATATTCCCTGTCAGATGTTTGCTCTACATATTTTAACTACAAGTTTCTAATTTATTTTATATATATTTAGTGAATGGTGATTGAAGAAAGTAAATTCATGATCGATCTTGGGTGTCTGTCATTATTAAAGTTTCTCTTCCCTGATTTGATTTTATATGTAGCTGTAGGTACATGTATGTCTTACCTATTCCTGAAACACATTCTTTGGTAGCTGTGAATGGCTCATTTGGCTCATCTTGCTTTTGTTTTGCCTCTGGACTCTCCTTGGCATTTGTATTGCTGGGAAGTTGATTTCCATGTTGTTCAACACCTAACTTTTTCAACTGGTCATCATGCTGTTGCAAGTGCTGGGTATGCTCTGCTTGTGTAGTTTGTACTAAATGCAGTTCTTCAAGTATAGACTTGGCATCTGGAGGGCAATCATCTGGCAGCATTTTTATAGAATCTATCAAGCCACCCAGCACTCCAAGAGGAAGTTCATCTCGAGCTTTGCCATTATCATTTAGGGAGGTCACATAGGATTCTGAAATAAATATGATCCAATTTGTAAAGGATAGCCTGTGTTTAAGATAGATGTAAGTATTTAACACTGCAAAGCTATTTTAATTCCCTCAAAATTTCAGACAAGATACTGACTAATGATGGTGCAGAATTCCTTTATTGATAGGGTTTAAGTTAGTGTACATGGTGACTCAAAATGTGGGCCCCATTTATTTTAATAATTTCTAAGCTATAAATGATCAAGGTAATACATCTGGTGCTTTACTTGTAGTACATTCTGTGTGATATGGTATGTTTGGTACTCTTAAAGTATTATGGTAACTGGAAGTGATGGACATACATGTACATCATGGAAGGTTTATCAAAACAAAATTGCTTATCATTAAACAGACTTTAAACAGTTTTTGAGTGTAGCATCTATATTAATTGCCTATCATATTTGTCTTAAATTATCGGAAATGGTCAAATAAACCAAATAAGTAAATCTGTATCACATGGATGATAAAAGTGTTATACCATATTTAGGTACATGTACCTATTTTGGCAAATTATATTGAAGGTGTTCCTTGCTGCTGCTTATTTATTTTGATTACTGTTAATGTCCTTCAACCATTCTAGAAATATGATTCTGTTCGTCCTTGTCATTTCAAACAATGGACTGTAAAAAAGATTGGAGATTACAGAATCAATGGCCTTTGAAATGTAAAAAATTAAATTTATTTTTGGTCTTTTTTTAACTTGCGTTGAATTATTGTACCAGTTTTTTCAAAATCATCAGAAGTTCTCAGAAGTTCAAATCTGATCTGTTCTTTGTTGTTAATTGCAGTCAGGGACAACATATATTACAATTGTTACATTCTTGAAACCATTTTCAGATGATGACATTTTATCCATTTAATACTTACTGATTGATTTGACTTCCTGTTTCAGTCTTTCAAGTACTTCATGGTCATCAGAATCAGATGTTTTTAAAACTCCAATGATGGCATCCATACAAATTTTCCAATCATCCTCGGACCATAAAACATCAGCATTGTTATGACCCCAGCTATTTCTAAACATTAAAAGCGTTTTTGCGAATTTTTTTTCTGGAGATCTCCAAAATGCTTCACCATCAAAAACCTTTAACAGTTGCGCTGGATCGTTCTCATATGTGGTATTTTTAAGTATCTTATTCAAGCCAGGTACCAAGTATTTTGGAAGGCAAGCCCGAATGTTGCTCGCCTCAGCTCCTCTTTTGTAAACTTAACTGAAAATAAACATGAGGTGTATGTACATCAATTTGTCATTTACATGTACATCAATTTGTCATTTACATGTACATCAATTTGTCATTTACATGTACATCAATTTGTCATTTATTTACATGTACATCAATTTGTCATTTATTTACATGTACATCAATTTGTCATTTACATGTACATCAATTTGTCATTTACATGTACATCAATTTGTCATTTATTTACATGTACATCAATTTGTCATTTATTTACATGTACATCAATTTGTCATTTATTTACATGTACATCAATTTGTCATTTACATGTACATTAATTTGATACAGATTTATTTGAATACTGTACTCCCACTAATAATCTAGCTATTATATTTCGCGTTTTTGAATTTTTCGCGGATATTATTTTTCACTAATTTTTAGTTTTTTTTAAAATTTTGTGGTATTTGACTTCTCAAAATGCAACTTACTTCTTTTTTAGGTTGGCAATTACTTTATGTACGTTTCTAGAGTTTTAGTGGGTTTGTCATGCAATACCGCATTACCACGCTTTCCACTTCAATATCAGCGCGCCATGACAGATATATACCTACCCTTCATCTTGAGCAATTTGTTCATCTTCCAGAATCTGAATGTAAGAATTCAGTAACCTCCCAACCTTTTATTGCCCAATACTGGACCGCGATTAAGAACTTTTCGAATTTCACATCTATTATATCTTGAGAATCTTCCAAAACTCGCGAAAACCGCGAAATATAGTAGCACATGAAAATTACCGGGAGTACGGTATATCATTACTTTTTACAAACCACATCAATACTAATTGAGGAAGTAAATTGTTTGCATGTATCGAGATCATTTCAAATTTTACACATATGCACTTGAATATAATCAGTTAAACCATTTGCATTCAATTTGATCGATAGAATGCCTTTTATATATTATTAAATGATGTAAATACTAAATAGATTACCTCCAGAAGACATTGCTTTTGTCTGTTGCTCAATGAATGAATGAAATTCTATTTCTAAAAAAATGGCGGTCAGTTCTCGGCAAATCTTGTTGACCTCATTTTTGTTTTGTTCAGTTTGCTTAAGTCTCAGATCTTTGAGACCAATAATAAAAAAGTCAAGTCAACCTCGATCAAATATTAACAGGCTGATTGTATGTTTTATTTCACAAGTACATATACAATCTGAAAGACTGCATTTTGATAATAACAGTTTTGCTTCGAGACTAATACATTCAGCAACATTTTTTAAGTGCCGTTTGGATTATTAATAAGATTTGGGTTTGTTAGTTCCCTATGAACACTTTGAAGTTGTATAATGTGTCACAAATTGCTGGCTCTACAAAGGAAATCACTATAAGTTTTAGTACAAACTATGTCTTTTAGGAAAAAGTGGTGCTAAATTTGATGGTTCTGTTCAAACTCCACATGCATGTGCCTTTTAATTATAGTATTAACTACCTGTATGTTTGCTTTATGTGTATTTCTAGGAGAAAGTGGTGCTTTTGATGGCTCTGTCCAAACTCCACATGCATGTGCCTTTTAATTATAGTATTAACTACCTGTATGTTTGCTTTACATGTATGTGTATTTCTAGGAGAAAGTGGTGCTTTTGATGGCTCTGTCCAAACTCCACATACATGTGCCTTTTAATTATAGTATAAACTATGTTTGCTTTATGTGTATTTCTAGGAGAAAGTGGTGCTAAATTTGATGGCTCTGTTCAAACTCCACATGCATGTGCCTTTTAATTATAGTATTAACTACCTGTATGTTTGCTTTATGTGTATTTCTAGGAGAAAGTGGTGCTTTTGATGGCTCTGTCCAAACTCCACATACATGTGCCTTTTAATTATAGTATAAACTATGTTTGCTTTATGTGTATTTCTAGGAGAAAGTGGTGCTAAATTTGATGGCTCTGTTCAAACTCCACATGCATGTGCCTTTTAATTATAGTATTAACTACCTGTATGTTTGCTTTATGTGTATTTCTAGGAGAAAGTGGTGCTTTTGATGGCTCTGTCCAAACTCCACATGCATGTGCCTTTTAATTATAGTATAAACTATGTTTGCTTTATGTGTATTTCTAGGAGAAAGTGGTGCTAAATTTGATGGCTCTGTCCAAACTCCACTCGTACGTGCCTATTCTGCTCAGGACCTGAAGTAAGTATTCTTGTTATGTACATGTATTTAGATTTGTTAATTTTCCCATTTGGCATACATGTATATGCAGTGGCCCATTGAGGCCATTCTCATGACCAAAAAGTCAATATTCTTTTAAATCCAACATTGTTGATAGATCTCTCTCACTTCAAAGGTTTTTGCATTTTACCACATGATATATGACGTTGAGTAATTAGCAAAATCAAAATTAACATATGCCATAGAAAATGATTTGATTTCTACACATGAGCATCTTTGGAGTGTGTATAATTAAGAAATATAGACCGAAGAGCAGGGGAAATACACCATGCAGGATTAGGCACAAACATTTTCCGTAACCCAAACAACCGAAGGGAGTGAGGGGTTCGACAACGTTTGTGCCTAGCCCTAAGGGGTGTATCCGAAAATATTTCCCCTGCTCCGAGGTCTATATTACGATTCAAACATAAAAACTCTCCAAAATGTTTCGAATATTCATTATGGTCCGCCAATACTACAACCCGCCGTTATGACGTCACACATTACACATATTACCAGGGGTATTCTTCGCAAATGTACGCCGGGTGACATGTTGACTTTGTTAATAGTTTCATAGAAGGTGTGAATACAGTCATGTTCGAATAGTATATAACTTTTAAATTAAAACATTATTCAACATTTTCTTCAAAATATTTTTATTTGTATTCTACTATAATGTGCTAGAATATTTCCCATTTCATGTAACTACATGTACAGCAGGCCTGTAGCCAGGGGGGTTCGATGGGTTTGAACTCCCCCCCCCCCCCAGGGCAAAAATTCTTTCAGAATCATGCAGTTTTTCACCATTCTGAGCACTTTTTTAGTGATTTGGGCCATTTTTGGATCAAAATTGTCAAAAGTGAACCCCCTGGAATATTTTAAAAGTGAACCCCCTTGGCATATCCTTTCTACAGGCCTGTACAGTATGTTGATGTAAATATCATAAATATTCTCATCATGCAGATCTACCTTTTGTTTATTAACCCCTTTCTCCTTTTCTATTTCTAGATTATCCTCTCCTACTCGGAGGCTAGAAGTTTCAGCTGCTAAAGGGTTAAGGTTTTTAGCCCCTGCTGGGAATATATCACTTAACAGTATCTCAGACATCTCAGTACAGTCTAAAAATGCAGTAAGATTTTTGTTTTATTTCATTCTTATGTCACCACCACAAAAGGTGACATATTGTTAAAGTCTTCAACTTTTTTGTGTATGGTGTTTGGTGGTTGGTGTTTGGCATTCTGTATTTGGTGTTTGGCATTCGGTTGTTTATGTTCAGTGGTTGTCATCTGTATAAACAAATGGCAAATGGTGACATTTCCAGCATTTGGCGTTTGGTGGTTGGTTGTTGGCAATACAATTTTCTGTTCTGTACTTTTGTCCACAGTTATAAAATTCTGTTCTTGTCACATGTTATTTGAATTGAAAAATAGAATATAAGCGAGGAAATACAAGACTCATCAATCAAATGACAGGCACACATATTTGAAAAATACAGAGCTGACAGTAGGCAAAATGAATGAAAACAACAGACAAAAAATGTCCAGTGAGCATTATAACAACTACCCCCTCCCCCCCCCCCCCCCAATTAATTAGTAAGACACAACAACACAAAAAGATCTGGATCATATAGGAAACATCCTTCTTCCAGAACTATTGGTATAAAGGTATAAAGGTATGTATGGAAACAGCAACAAAATATTCTGGAAAAGAAACCCCTGAAGTATGTATTGTCAAAAATGTGATGAATACCATGAATTGTTTTTATTACAAATTTATGTTAATTTTTGTTATTTCAGATCAACCTAGATTCCAAGACTATAAACATAAATAATTTAAAAGTTATACAACCAGGGAGCATAAGTTTACCATTTCCCGGAGTGTACCAATTATGTGTTTGCGACACAGGAAAACTGTTTCTAGCTCCACCTAGTGGTGAATGTGAAGCAGATACGACATTGTGCTCACCATGAGCCACCACAAATAGTTTTATATAATAAAAATCTACAGTTATTTAAATCAGAATGCCAAATGTAGGATTTCAGAAAAATGGGATTTACATTCTAAAGGACGAACAGAGAATGGATATACAGACATGTGGGAATCTCGAAGACTATTATTATCCGCCCCTCGTGTTCAGATATTTTTTATTGATAGCATGACTCAAAATGGTCATTTGTTGGAAAGCATATCAATATAACTGGGGTAGCCAGAATTCCAAAATACACTGTAGGTGAGGAAAATTGGAAGAGATGAGGCAATCAACCCCAAAGAAGATATCTCCATCATCTCCACTTTTTTGTGGCAGTGGTTGATGTTCGATGTTCGGAATCTGTTACAAATGGCAGGTGGTGATATTTTGCATGTTAATGCTGAGTATGAGACCTAGTAGTATACTTTTATGAAGCATAATTGTAACAGTTTTAAATCAGGAAAACATCAAGATATGTTTTTCTGTAATATCCTGGTGAGGCACTCGCCTCGCCTGCCTCCTACTGTACTTCTACTTAAGTTGGCGGCCGTTTTAATTTGGCGGATCCCCCAAATTGTTAAAGTCCACCAAATTAAGTAGCCGTTGAATTCCCAGTAATTTTAGTACCATGTTAATTAGTGCCATTAGTACATTGTAAAATTGCAAGTCCACCAAATTAAGTAGCCAGCAAATGTTCAAAACAGCAAATCCGCCAAAATAAGTACCACCATAAGTAGAAGCACAGTAACCAGCTAAATGCCCATGAATCGAAAAAATACTGTAGATTTATGATGAAGTAACGATGTGAAATGTTTTCTGGTATTACATGTAAAACCCTTTATCTAAAACTAGGTTTGAATTTGAATGATGCTATTTCCTTATGTTCATCATTTTATATATTAAACAATTGATCTTCAAGCAACATTGCTAAATTGATCTTCGAGCAACATTGCTAAATTGATCTTCAAGCAACATTGCTTAATTGATCTTAAAGCAACATTGCTAAATTGATCTTCAAGTGACATTGCTAAATTGATCTTCAAGCAACATTGTAAATTGATCTTCAAGCAACATTGTAAATTGATCTTAAAGCAACATTGTAAATTGATCTTCAAGCAACATTGCTAAATTGATCTTCAAGCAACATTGCTAAATTGATCTTCAAGCAACATTGCTAAATTGATCTTCAAGCAACATTGCTAAATTGAACTTCAAGCAACATTGCTAAATTGATCTTCAAGCAACATTGCTAAATTGATCTTCCAACAACATTGCTAAATTGATATGATATTCAAGCAACATTGCTAAATTGATCTTCAAGCAACATTGCTAAATTGATCTTCAAGCATAAGTTGCAAATCAAATATTTACTTGACATCCTGTTGAAAACCTATGCCTTGCCAAAAGGATGAAATCCTGATATAGTATGACCAAAACAGATAAAATTTGGATATGTTAGTCATAAGATAAGTGGTGAATGTGCTGTTTGATTTAAGTAATGCTGATGATACATTTTACATGAATAGGAAGATTTTTCCAATATGAGTCTTGAATAAGTTAAGTTAGAGTATGTTTAGAGGAATATAAATCTGATGCCAACACAGGAGTCCAAAAGATTTTCCAATCTGAACATGAGTTTTTAATTTAAGATTTAAGTTAAGAGAGGATTTCCTAGCTAGAAATTAAAAAGTATGTAAATGTGTAGTGGGCTAGTTAATTTTGAAGTTCTAAAATGCCAAAAGGTGTAAAACCTCATAGAATCTCAGAGATGATAGCTGATAGAGAGTTTTTCTATTACATGTATATTACATTGTATCAGTGTATTTGGCTAACACAGGGTGGTCAATAATTACTGATGTAAATGTTTTAACCTTTATGTATTAATTTTTACTTATTTTCTGGCTGTGTTTTGTTGGTCATTTTTCCATGTTCTGTACTTGCAATGAGATAGCCATAATCAGTTCATAGTAGTTCATATCTGCACCTAAAATTGATATACCTCAGGGGCGTAGCATGCTTTCAGACAGGGGGGTGCGATGCTAAAAAAATTTGGTATTCAGATTTCAAGCTTATGGGTACATTTGCAAGTACAGTGCAAGAATATTGCATTTCCTAGTGGTTTCTTTTTCTTTGCACTTCAATAGAAAGACATTGTAGGTACATTTATTTACATTTTGTAAACCACCCTTAGATTCAGAATATTAATATTATTGGTAGGACACTTTTAAAAGATAAAGTGATGTACCCATGAGATAAGGATTTGAACCATTTTAGTAGTAATATGTAGATCAGTGTTAGGCGCAGACCATGTCGTAAACTCTATCATCCGGAATAAACACCAAAACAAGAATGATGCATCCTATTTTGGACCACATTTCTGCAATGATAATATAAGGAAAAACAGCATTTTACAAGATGTAGTACTTATTGAGCACCCTGTATATGTACATGTACTTCAATGAATGCAGTAGCTTTTGGAAAGTGAACATTCATGTATTGACCATTAGTGAACTATGTTTCATAAGGGTATAGTTACTAATCTGTATAGCCAGAATTTTAAAATAGGTGAGGCAAATCTTAAAAGGTGAGGCAAATTTTAAAAAGAGGAAGGTTGAGGCTATAACAAATAAAGTACAAGGGGTGATCAATAAGTAATGGATGCTTTTTTTTCAATTGATGAATGAATCCATTACTTATTGATCACCCCTCGTATAATACTGTCATTTTATTTAATTTCCAGTTTTAATGGAATAATATCTTAATGAAGTTGCCTTACCTGTCTCATATGCCTTGCTACATTCATGTATAATTCATTAGCTACAGGGTGGGGCATAAGCTCCATAGGATGATATGGATAAGTTTGTAAGACAATGTCAAGAAGCTTATAAGAGAATGTAAATAAGCTTCTAGGACAATGGGAATATGCATGCAAGACAATTTGAATAAGCTTGTAAGACAATGTGAATTAGCTTGTGTAACGGGCGAGTGGAAGGCCCGTGGGTGGCAATAAAATAACTCGAACTTCAAATTAAAATATATATAAAATAGTATATTTCAAACTTCAATGTTCAAAATACAATGCTCTGTAATGTACAACATGAACTCTTACAACAACTACTGACAAGCCAACACCCAAACTCAGCTACATGTGAGTGAGAAAGACCATATAAGGGAACAATAGACATATAAAACTGACACAGTTTGCATAGTTGAATAACTGGTTTCAATAAAAGGTGAAAAGTGAACATGGTATTAAAAGAGTAAAACTGCAAACAACCTACTTAGGGACCTGTTATATTGAGATGAATAGGGATTGATTAATATGAACAGTAATAATATAAAATGTGAAAATGACCATGTTACATCCACGCGGACATGTCCTAATGCGTCCCGCATTAAGCCTTACTCGGCCATGAATAAAGAAAATGTAAAACTTCACTTATCAAAATGGTTAACAATAAAATATTAAGCAATGGTGTAACCTCCCCTTTAACATCCACTACCAGAACAAAACATAGTATAAAGAAAACCATGAAGAATATAGTGGAGTGTCTAAGAAACAAAAATAAATTGAATAACAATACAAGATAATAATAGTTAAGTAACATCAGACTTGATGTAGATTACCTGATTATACAGTTGTTGATTAAGAATACATTTATATTTACCTCACATTGACTGTTCATCATTTCACTTTAGTACATCATACAATTAATCATTTAGGCACAGTGAAATACACTACAGTACTAGCACCATTAGTTAATATAACACCACTTGGGCAAGTCGTTGGCACCATTAAGGCTAAGAACACCATTAAGGTAAATGCAACACCATTATAGGCTATTATAACACACCATTTAGGGCTAATATTTGATAAACACCATTAAGGCCAATGTTTGATAAACACCATTAAGGCTAATATTTGATAAACACCATTAAGGCTAATATTTGATAAACACCATTTAGGCTAATATTTGATAAACACCATTAAGGCTAATCACCACAAATGAGTATAAATGTAGATGCAGTATGTAAATATTTGTCATCAATTGGAGGTAACAGGTAATCAACACCTGTCCATTTTAACATTGAAATCCATCTGATCCAGTTTAGAATTCGAAATAGCACTGTTGGGATTTGAACCCATCCCAATAATATTGAATCCCAGTTTCCAAAAATCAATAGAATGGCTTGTGTGCTCATAATCTGGTATAATCATTGTACTTGGCACAGACTTTGAGATATTCTCCTTTAATTCAGCATTTCGTTTTTGTATCAGCTTGGAGTATTCACTTTTCTGAGATGAAAGTGCATTGATTTCAGCCTGCGATGTGTGTAATTCCTTCTCTAATGAGACGATCTGTTTCTTCTGGGATTTGATCCGCGATTTGAGGTCTGCTGTTTCACTCTGTAGAGTTTGGATTTTTGCTCTGTAAATGTCATTTCCATGTTTCTGGCCGAAAAGTTCACTTTCGATTCTTTTGTAGTCTGCCATCACTCTGGTGTATATATCCATGTCAACGGTTGCAGCTTGAGCATACTTATTATGGCACTTCACAGGTTTTATATTTGCTTGGACAAAAACAGAATTCACCTTTGGCTTAGCTGGTGTAGGAGCTGGTGTAGTTGGGTGGTCTTTATCACGGTGTCCAGTCAAATTACATCTTGAGCAGAAGTGATGTGTTGCCTTGTATAAGTTACAAAAGGCTTTCCGATGTCCTGTTCGTTTGCAATGCCAACAAGTCATAACTTTTGTGGAATGAGGCACAAATGTTTGAAGATTTTCGAACCGTCCTTTCAAAGTGTTCAGTTCATCAAAAAGTTATCCATAATCGATGTTAGTTTGTCGATTGCAGATGTCACGTATCTCCAGTTAGAATCTGCCATACTTTGTTTGTCAAAAGTTTCTGATGATACTCCTTATATTTTGCTCAAACCACTATGGAACATAAAACATAACATAAAACAAACACAGCATGACACAACATACAAAACAGGTTTAAAGAAAAGTAAGTGAAAGTGAACATACAAAGCACATACAAAAGAACATAAACAACGGGATTAAAACCTAACACACTGATGCAAAAGTAAGCAAAGGGACCTGTTAAAATGACCTGAATGGGGATTGATCACCATGAATAGTAGAAATATAAAAATGTGAAAATGACCATGTTACACTTGTAAAACAATTAAAAAATCTCAAGGTGAATAAGCTTGTTGGAAAATATGATTGTTTGTAAAACATTTGAATACAATAAGCTTGTAAGACAACTGAATAAGCTTGTAATTAGTGGTGACATATTGTTATTATTATGGTGTGTATGTTAAGGCACTGTTTTGTGCATTTAGTGTTTGGCATCAGCACTTAAGGCGACGCTATATTAAATAAAAAGTACAAAAAATGACTGCCATATTTTTTTGATAAAGACACATGTTTTTAAAATCTATTTACCTTGTATATGAATTGTGTATCTTGACTAATGAAACATGTCAAAGTTAACATCACACATAAACGCATTTTTCATAACTATGAATTGGAGGTGTATGGCTCCCAAAAGCTAGCATGAAGAGTGCGAAGTGAGGCTATTTTTTGAAAGTTTCAAGGAGTAGCCTTGCAACAGACACACATTTGCAAGAATTCAAAATTTCTAGATATAGTCTTACCTTACCAAGGAACAACGAAGGAGCACGAAAATGTGTACTTCTTGCATTGTTAGAGTATAATAAAGCTCAAACCATTGTGAATTCTAAATATTTCATGTCCACCATTTTGTTTCCTGGAACTATTTTTTAGTCCAGAGTTATCTTCATTCATGTTTCCATTGTTTATCATTCATAAAGCCTCTATCATGTATCTATCATGATATTACACTGTAATAGATAAAACATACAAGTGATAATCCATGCCACTTGGTGTAGTCACAAAACTTGCATGAGGATTAATCAGGAAGTCTAGAAGTAGTTCCGGCAAACAAAATGTGGACATGAAATATTTAGAATTTACAATGGTTTGAGCTTTATTATACTCTAACAATGCAAGAAGTGCACATTTTCATGCTCCTTCGTTGTTCCTGGGAAAGGTAAGATGATTTGTGGAAATTTTAGACTCTTGCAAATGTGTGACTGTTGCAAGGCTACTCCTTGAAACTTTCAAAAATTAGCCTCACTTCGCACTCTTCATGCTAGCTTTGGGGATCCATGCACCTCCAATTCATAGTTTGGAAAAATGCGTTTATGTGTGATGTTAACTTTGACATGTTTCATTAGTCAAGATACACAATTCATATACAAGGTAAACAGATTTTAAAAACATGTGTCTTTATCAAAAAAATATGGCAGTCATTTTTTGTACTTTTTATTTAATATAGCGTCGCCTTAACAGATGTAACAAATTGTTACATTTTTGTAACTTACCAGGTGGTTACATAATTTGTCATGCTTTGTTTTCACATATTGTTGATAACATGTGAATAATCTTGTAAGCCGCCAATAAATAAGCTTGCGAGATAATTGAATAAGCTTGTGAGACAATTGAATGAGCTGGTAAGACAATTTAATAAGTGTGTAAGACAATTTAATAAGCTTTTGAGACAATTGAATACGCTTGTAAGACAATTTAATAAGCTTTTAAGACAAATTAATAAGTGTGTAAGACAATTGAATAAGTGTGTAAGACAATTGAATAAGTGTGTAAGACAATTGAAAAAGCTTGTAAGTCAGACAATTTAATTAACATGCAGACTAGAATTATTGTATCTTCTGATTTTGATTCTTTTTTTCACAATACTGAAAGTGTCAATATTTGAAAACAGTGGCGATGGTACTTCTAAACTGAATAAACAGTATTCAAACATTTTGTTTACAATTTCATGTTACATGTATTTGAATTTTGATGATTATTTTGTCATCAGTTCATGGAAAACAACAAAAAAATCAATTCATGGAATTTAGTAGGCCTAAAAGCTGCTCAAATACACATTGCTTAACAAACATGTAATGTCAGACATATTGTAGAATATCATATGTAATAAAATAATATTAAAACATCAAATTGGTATCATGTTTTTCTCTATACTACAATCTACAGGGTGTGCCAAAAAGAATATGCAACTTTGTAAAAGGCTAGGAAAGTATCATAACATTAAGGTATTGACATAAAAAATTATTTACAGAAACTTGAGGAGAGGCATATTTTACCATTCAGATATTTAACCTCATGCTGACTTCAAATTTTCTGTCAGATATTTGAATATCAATGATGGTGAATTGTTAATGTGTCCGAGATTTACTGTTTTTCCTAGACTTTCTATGATTTTTATGTGATCAACAATAACACATTCATTATGTTCACTGAATCTGTTATAATCTTTGATAACTGTTTAACAAAGTCTGTAACCCCCCTATCACACCAAACTAGTTCTTACCCGTTCTTGCCAGTCCTACGAAAACATCGTAAAACGGGCTCAATCTGGCTGTGGTCGGGAAATATGTCTGAAATAATTAGCTGCTTCGTTCTTAAACAGTCTTCAATACGTCCATCTCGTTCGCTGTTCGTTCAGGTCGCACCACGTCGGTGTGCAACGTCGTAGAACGCGTCCCTTAGTCTAGAAGGTCAACATGACCTGATTACAGAACGGTATGGTCGCCATCGAATTTTGAATCGATTCAAAATTCTAAAATCACATTCCCGTCTGAGAACGTTCATAAAGTTCGTAAATAGAACTTAGAAAGTTGCAGCTACGTTCATTCCGTTCGCACACAGTTTAAAACCAGTTTTGAAGAACGCAGTGGCAACTTGTTTGGTGTGATAGCTATATTTTTGCTAACTCGTTCATAAGCAGTGTTAAATACGTTCTTAATCAGTTTAAACCCGTTTGCAATTAGTTCTACCTCGTTCTCAACACGCCCTCAGACAGTTCAACTCGTTGTTAAAACGTCCCTAGTAGGATTGAAGTACGACGGTTCCGTTCGTAGTACGTCCAGCTCGTCGTTAGTACGTTGTTACTCGTTCTAATTGTAGAACGTGACGACCACGAGAACATTTTGAGCATATTCTAAGTTCAAGAGGACCTACCCGTTCGAGTACGTTCGATGAAGTTTGTAAATAGATCCCAAACAGTTCTTAGTAGGTCCAGTCCGTTCGTACACAGTTGAAGCCCGTTTTCGAGAACGTAGTGAGAACTAGTTTGGTGTGATAGTAGGGTAACAATCCAAACACAGTATTTCATTTATCTGCATTTCATTATATCACCAATCACCGCATCCAAGGTCACTTTTTATGTGGTTGTCAAGGCGACTACTTGACTCTACAGATTAAAATTGATGCTTTGTCAACTTGACCCTTGCAAGGAGTTTCATTGAAAATATGTTGTTTTAGTGATTTCGTGCATGATACATAATACATGTATTTTGCATTGCGTGAAAAGAGCTCAAGACTCAATGCATTGTGGAATGAGCGTTCCTTTCAAGCGTTGTTTCCTAAAAATTAACACCCACTCGATGCTGCCCATCTCGTGCAAATTTTGGAGAGCAACACGTTAAAAGAATGGTCATTCCACATTGCACTGACTCCAGAGTTACCAGAATTAGAGCGTAATGTTTTTTATTGTCACCCTGTTGTATGTTACGCTTCATATTTGCCAGAGATTGGACATGTTTTCTTACATTTGAACATGACTGTGATAGATATCCTGAAATTTAAATATTTATTTCATCCATGTGAAGTTTGATAAATAAGATAACGTACAACTGGAAAAAAACTCATTTTATACAATATCTTGTTTGGTTGAAATATAAACTATAGTAAAATATGCCTTCTTATATAATTGGACATTAACCCGTGTACTTGATATCAATGTAAAATTATGCCCTCTCGTCAATGTTCACATTTCAAGAACGATGTGTTATGAAAGGAGTTTATCGTGGGGGACCCTGTGGGGGCGGTGGCCTAGGCTGCATTTGTTGGGATGGTCGGCCCTGCATTTGTTGTGGCGGTGCCGGTCCCCTAGGACCACCTCCCAAAGGTTTCATAACTCCCATGGTGTTCACTAAAGGTAGAACTTCCTCTCTCATCTTTACGAAACCCTCGACCTCTCTCTGCAGGGATTCGTTATTTCTCCACAGCTCTTCGTTTTTCTTTTCTAAAGCAGCTTTATCATGTTGGAGCTGAGCATGTTTACCCTTCAAGATGAAAAGATTTTCGCTATCGTCTATCAGCATGCGGACCATTTGAGTATGGGCTTGTAGCTTTCTTAGCTTCTCATCTTTAGAATCTATTAAATAAAAGACATATAGACCTTCAATAAAGGGGTTAATTGGGGAGGTTCCCTAATTCAATTTAAATCAAAATTCTAAATACAGGGTGGTCCAAAAATTGGACACTCGTATTTTAAAAACAGATATTGATTTTATTGATGAAAACATATCATATTATATACCAGTGGATAGGGTATACATTGTATAAGGGTTATGTACTGGGAGGTTTTGGATACAGGGTTTATCCCAAGGGAAATATGTGTATCTCCCGAGGGACCGAGGGAGATACACATATTTCCCGCGGAATAAACACTGTATCCAAAACCGACCGTACATAACAGATGTATTTCATACCTACTGGGGTTCTAGGTACATCATACCTTACAAAGATCCAAAATTCCAAAACATACTAAGGTACTAGGCGTTTTCTTGGTCTTAAAGTTTGCGAGATTTTCAAAAAATTTGAAAAATTTAAAGAAAATGTGAAAAATAATTTTGAAAAAAAATAAAATTTTAAAAATAATTGGAAAAAAAATTGAAAAAAATTAGGAAAAAAAATTGGAAAAAAAAGAATTTGAAAAATTAGCGGGACCGGGATGGATACAGCGTGTATCCATCCCGGTCCCTAGATACACTATATATTCCCGCTCGTTATGTACCTAGAACCTCAATAGGTATGAAATACATAATTATCTTTAATCAAATATGATTCAACTCCCTATCCACTGGTATATAATATGACATGTTTTCATCAATAAAATCAATGTTTATATCTGGACCACCCTGTACACGTCCAACATCTTAGTTGGCCTATACTTCTATAGAAATATTGCCTTAGTTAAAGCCCTGTATACACTATGAATAAATTTTCAATCGTTTCAACTGTTTCAATCGTTTCCATCAGTTCAATCGTTTCAATGCTTGTATCATTTCTACCCTGAAGACGAAGCTCTCTTTTAAGAAGTGAAGTCAAACGAATGCAAAGGGTATATCATTTCCTAAGTTTCAATGCTTGCGTCATTTCGAGCATTTCAATCTATTTTAGGCGCAAGCAGCAAAACTTCATTTCAAAGGCGAAACGATTGAAATACCTGATATGACGCAAGCATTGAAACACAAAAAATGCTACATGTGTTGCAACGATTTGACTGATTGAAACGATTGAAACAATTGAAACGATTGAAACGCTATTTACAGGCCTTAATCTAGCATTCGCGTATTCAACTGTTGACTGACAAGTAGCAATTTGAATTAGTTGGCCATAAAATAGCAATCAAACCATCAGTCGACAGTTGATACCAGCGAATAATAGCTACATGTATAGTATTCTTTGCCAAATAGGGTAGGGGTATCAGGGGTAAAACGGGACATCACGGGACGAGATAGACAATAAAATAATCACGTATTATGCTAATTTTAATTGATTCAATAACCATTTTGCATTTTAAAAGTTCAAGGGATGCGGTATCAATCATAGCAACTCAATCAAAAATATGTTGTCCCGTTTTGCCCCCGGGTATCGGCCCATAATGCCCATATCGGCCATATTTGTTCTACCCTTTTCAAATATGAACATCTGTAGGTCTTTGGCAATGGCAGAATAAAATTAGAGGTTAAGCTATGTATTTGCTACGAGTCATGCAATCGATAATGTAAGTATAATCGGAAAATTTAGGTGGTTACCTTAGTTGGGCCACCAAAATGCTGAATCAAAATGTAAGCTACTTTGTGTAGTGTAGATGGTATTGGTGGCAGAGCTGCAGAAACGTCATTAAAAATGTGAACTATAGCTATTTTCTGTTTTGTAGCCGATGGGGCCGTCAAAACGTCGATAGAAATGTAAATGATTTTGTGTTCTGTAGCTGGAAGGGCTGCCAAAACGTAATGTTAATTAGAGAGTAGGAACATCTACCATTGTGTAAAGTGTAGTGGTATCTACTAGTATCTTCCAATAAAAATCGAAAGGGGTTTTCACTTTTTAAATGTTTTACCTTAATGGTGAAATACTAAAACAAACTCAGAACTGTTGACATTAATAAAATAGGACATGACGACATGGAAATATGAGGGCAAAACTAATTTATTGCAAACACATATTTCAACTTTAAATCTATATATTTATTTCATCATTCATTATTGAATTTAATTAATAGGATAAAATACGTACATCTTCAAGTAAAAGTCATAAATGCAGTGTCTTCGTCATTTTGATTGGTTAAAATTAAACTATGCCGTCTATTACCGTATGTTTGGTGTCAATATAAAATTCGACACCCATTAATCATTGTGTGTTGTATGTTAAAACGTTGGGTAGTATGTTATGTAAGGATTATCTCCTTGGGGGGCCAGGGGGGCCAGGCTGTGATGGTCTTCGTTGAGTAGGGGCACCCTGTGGAGGTGGTGGTCTAGCCATCATTTGCTGGGGCGGTCCAGCTTGCATTGGCGGTGGCCCAGGCTGCATTTGTTGTGGGCCCGGACCTCTAGGGGCGCCTGTTCCAACAGGTTTCATGATACCCATGGCGTTAACTAAAGGTAGGACTTCCTCTCTCATCTTTACGAAACCCTCGACCTCTCTCTGTAGGGATTCGTTATTTCTCCACAGCTCTTCGTTTTTCTTTTCTAAAGCAGCTTTATCGTGTTGGAGCTGAGCATGTTTGCCCTTCAAGATGAAAAGATTTTCGCTATCGTCTATCAGCATGCGGACCATTTGAGTATGGGCTTGTAGTTTTCTTAGCTTCTCATCTTTAGAATCTATTAAAAGAAAGACATATAGACCTTCAATAGAGGGGTTAATTGGAGAGGTTCTTTAATTCAATTTAAATCAAAATTCTAAATACACTGGCCTACCCGACATAACTTACTTTTGACGATTCGATAGCCTTCGACGCCATACTAAGATAGCTCGAAACGTCAATAGAAAAGTACTTTATTTCAAATTAATTTGGTAACATTTAGGTTACATGCTTTAATTGACATTTTAATTGGCCGATTCGTCAATAGAAATATAGGCTGAAGTTAGGGGAGACCGTGGCAAAACGGGACACTTTTAGTGTTTTACAAGACAAAGATATAAAAACGTGTTTTATGTTTTTCTTTTTTTTAATAAATATGTAAATAAAAATGAAATCATAGGGCCCTATCGCCTTACAAGACAAATGCCGAGGTCACATTTGCTCCGACGTGAACTCCTGGAAACGTGTAAATGATTTTACCTAGGGATACGCTAGCATTCGAGTATTCAACTATCGACTGCCAAGTGGCAATTTGAATTAGTATGCCATAAAACAGCCATCAAACCGTCAGTCGACAGTTGATACCAGCGAATAATAGCTACATGTATAGTATTCTTTTCCAAATAGGGTAGGGGTAACAGGGGTAAAACGGGATATCACGGGACAAGACGAGATACCCCTTCATTAGGTGGTATGATATATTTAGATAACATAATGTAATTATTATCAACATCCATAATTGAAGCAGCAAGTCGTTGCGTATATTAGCTAAAGCCAATAGACAATAAAGTAATCACATATTATGCTATAATAATCATTTTGCATTTTAAAAGTTCAAGGAATGCGGTATCAATCATAGCATCACTCAATCAAAAATATGTTGTCACGTTTTGCCCCCGGGTATCGGCCATATTTGTTCTACCCTTTTCAAATATGAACATCTGTAGGTCTTTGACAATGGCCAGAATAAAATTAGAGGTCAGGCTATGAATTTGCTGCGAATCATACAATCGATAATGTAAGTATAATCGGAAAATTTAGGTGGTTACCTTAGTTGGGCCACCAAAATGCTCATAAAATGTAAGCTACTTTGTGTAGTTTAGGTGGTAGAGCTGCAGAAACGTCAATAGAAATGTGAACTATTTTCTGTGAAGCTGATGGGGCCGTCAAAACGTCGATAGAAATGTAAATGATTTTGTGTTCTGTAGCTGGAAGGGCTGCCAAAGCGTTAATATAAAGTTGGAACATCTACCATTGTGTAAAGTGTAGTGCCTGGTATCAACTCTAGTATCTACCAATTAAAATCGAAAGGGGTTTTCACTTTTTAAATGTTTTACCTTAATGTTGAAATACTCAAACAAACTCAGAACTTATGACTTTCAATAAAATAAGACACGACGACATGGAAATATGAGGGCAAAACTATTTTATTGCAAACACATATTTCAACTTTAAATCTATATATTTATTTCATCATTCATGATTGAATTTAATTAATAGGATAAAATACGTACAACTTCAAGTAAAAGTCATATTTGCGTAAAAGTCATAAATGCAGTGTCTTCGTCATTTTGATTGGTTAAAATTAAAATATGCCGTCTATTATCGTATGTTTGGTGTCAATATAGAATTCGAAGCCCATTAATCATTGTCTGTTGTATGTTAAAACTTTAAGTCCGGTATGTTATGTAAGGATTATCTCCTTGGGGGGCCAGGGGGGCCAGGCTGTGATGGTCTTCGTTGAGTAGGGGCACCCTGTGGAGGTGGTGGTCTAGCCACCATTTGCTGGGGCGGTCCAGCTTGCATTGGCGGTGGCCCAGGCTGCATTTGTTGTGGGCCCGGACCTCTAGGAGCGCCTGCTCCAACAGGTTTCATGATACCCATGGCGTTAACTAAAGGTAGGACTTCCTCTCTCATCTTTAGGAAACCCTCGACCTCTCTCTGTAGGGATTCGTTATTTCTCCACAGCTCTTCGTTTTTCTTTTCTAAAGCAGCTTTATCATGTTGGAGCTGAGCATGTTTACCCTTCAAGATGAAAAGATTTTCGCTATCGTCTATCAGCATGCGGACCATTTGAGTATGGGCTTGCAGTTTTCTTAGCTTCTCATCTTTAGAATCTATTAAATGAAAGACACATTATATAGACTTTCAATGAAGGGGTTAATTGGGGAGGTTCCCTAATTCAATTTAAATCAAAATTCTAAATACAGGGTGGTCCAAAAATGGGACACTCGTATTTTAAAAACAGATATTGATTTTATTGATGAAAACACATCATATTATATACCAGGGGATAGGGTATACATTGTATAAGGGTTATGTACTGGAGGTTTTGGATACAGGGTTAATCCCAAGGGAAATATGTGTATCTCCCGAGGGACCGCAGGGACCGAGGGAGATACACATATTTCCCGCGGGATAAACACTGTATCCAAAACCGACCATACATAACAGATGTATTTCATACCTACTGAGGTTCTAGGTACATCATACCTTACAAAGATCCCAAATTCCAAAACATACTAAGGTACTAGGCGTTTTCTTGGTCTTAAAGTTTGCGAGATTTTCAAAAATTTGAAAAATTTAAAGAAAATGTGAAAAATAATTTTGAAAAAAAAATTGAAAAAAATGTGAAAAAAAAATTTTCAAAAAAATTAGCGGGACCGGGATGGATACAGCGTGTATCCATCCCGGTCCCTAGATACACTATATATTCCCGCTCGTTTATATGTACCTAGAACCTCAATAGGTATGAAATACATAATTATCTTTAATCAAAGATGATTCAATTCCCTATCCACTGGTATATAATATGACATGTTTTCATCAATAAAATCAATGTTTATTTCTGGACCACCCTGTACACGTCCAACATCTTAGTTGGCAGATACTTTTAGAGAAATATTGCCTTAGTTAAAGCCCTGTATACACTTTAAATAAATTTTCAATCGTTTCAACTGTTTCAATCGTTTCCATCAGTTCAATCGTTTCAATGCTTGTATCATTTCCTAAGTTTCAATGCTTGCGTCATTTCGAGCATTTCAATCTATTTTAGGCACACACAGCAAAACTTTAAATCCATTTCAATGGCGAAACGATTGAAATGCCCGATATGACGCAAGCATTGAAACATAAGAAATGATGCATCATGTATTGCAACGATTGGACTGATTGGAACGATTGAAACAATCGAAACGATTGAAACGCTATTCACAGTGTATACAGGCCTTAAGCTAGCATAAAAAACGGAACATCACGGGACTAGACGAGATACCCCTTCCTTAAGTGGTATAAACTTAGATAACATTATGTAATCAACATCCATAATTGAAGCAACAAGTCGTTACGCATATTAGCTAGAGCCACTAGGCAATAAGATAATCACATTAATTGATTCAATAATTATTTTGCATTTTAAAAGTTCAAGGAATGCGGTATCAATCATAGCATCACTCAATCAGAAATATGTTGTCCCGTTTTGCCCCCGGGAATCGGCCATATTTGATCTACCCTTTTCAAATATGAACATCTGTAGGTCTTTGGCAATGGCCAGAATAAAATCAGAGGTTAAGCAATGTATTTGCTACGGATCATACAATCGATAATTATACAGGGTGGTCAAAAAATGGAAATCCTTACACCATTTTCCTCATATATTTGTCATTTTAAAAAATAACTCCCTGATATTTTGCACATTTGTACATCATTCAATTTTCTGCCAGCTTACTTTATTTCATGACCATCAGATTGATAGTCACAATGTTACAGCACTTTACAGAACATGCCATATAGTGGCCACTATTGCGCTGTCGGGCCACCTGCACTCGTCGTCCAAAATGTCCCTACCTGTGGGGATATGGCAAGGAAAAAGTGTATGAGGATGACCTCAGGACAATCACAAACCTCAAAAGTGAGATCATTCATTTTATTCAGGCCATACCTGCTGAGGAATGCATTCGGCCCATTGATAACTGTGCAGTTTTACCTACAGCGCGATGATGGCCAAACTTGAAGCATGTTATTCAAAGTGCTGTAAAATTGTGACTATCAGTCTGATATTCATGAAATTTGATAGAATTGTAGGAAATTGAATGCTGTACAAATGTGTGAAATATCAGGGAGTAATTTCTTAAAATGACAAAGATATTAGGAAAATGCAGGGTTTCCATTTTTTTGACCACCCTGTAGTATAATTGGAAAATTCAGGTGGTTACCTAAGTTGGGCCACGAAAATGCTCATAAAATGTAAGCTACTTTGTGTAGTTTAGGTGGCAGAGCTGCAGAAACGTCGATAGAAATGTAAATGATTTTGTGTTCTGTAGCTGGAAGGGCTGCCAAAGCGTTTAGAAAGTAGGAACATCTACTATTGTGTAAAGTGTAGTGGTATATACTATCTAGTATCTACGAATTAAAATCGGAAGGGGTTTCCACTTTTTAAATGTTTTACCTTATGTTGAAATACTAATTCAAACTCAGAACTGTTGACTAGCGGCATGGAAATATGAGGGCAAAACTATTTTATTGCAAACACATATTTCAACTTTAAATCTATATATTTATTTCATCATCCATGGTTGAATTTAATAAATAGGATAAAATACGTACAACTTCAAGTAAAAGTCATATTTGCGTAAAAGTCATAAATGCAGTGTCTTCGTCATTTTGATTGGTTAAAATTAAATTATGCCGTCTATTACCGTATGTTTGGTGTCAATATAAAATTCGACGCCCATAAGGCATTGTCTGTTGTATGTTAAAACTGTAAGTCCGGTATGTTATGTAAGGATTATCTCCTTGGGGGGCCAGGTTGTGGGGGGCCAGGCTGTGATGGTCTTCGTTGAGTAGGGGCACCCTGTGGAGGTGGTGGTCTAGCCATCATTTGCTGGGGCGGTCCAGCTTGCATTGGCGGTGGCCCAGGCTGCATTTGTTGTGGGCCCGGACCTCTAGGAGCGCCTGCTCCAACAGGTTTCATGATACCCATGGCGTTAACTAAAGGTAGGACTTCCTCTCTCATCTTTACGAAACCCTCGACCTCTCTCTGTAGGGATTCGTTATTTTTCCAGAGCTCTTCATTATTTTTTTCTAAAGCCGCTTTATCCTGTTGGAGCTGAGCATGTTTGCCCTTTAAGATGAAAAGATTTTCGCTATCGTCTATCAGGCTACGGACCATTTGAGTATGGGCTTGTAGTTGTCTTAGCTTCTCATCTTTAGAATCTGTTAAAAAGAAGACGTAGACCGTTGCTGAACAGGTTTATGGGTAGCCTATTTTCTCTGATTCAATTTAAAACAAATGTTTACATTTCCATTGACGCTTCGACTGTCCTACCACCTTTCAATCTACGATCAGCTGCCCTACCATATACACTGCCAAAATTAACTTAAATTTCCATTTACGCAGCAACCGACGCCACCATCCAGTCTCTTAACTTTACGCAGTACAAACGTTGGTTATTTCTTTGTGTAGGTGGTATGAATAAAATTCAGGGAGTTCAAGAACATAATTAATTTTGATATAAAGAGCATCTAGGGAGTTGGTTATTTCTCACCTCTGGCCACTGGTTGCCCCATTGGTTGCCCCATCGGTTGCCCAACGGGCTGTCCCAAAGGTGGTGGTTGAGCCATGATGTGTTCGTGTGGCTACTCCTAACAGTTGATAGTAGACCCTGATCTAAAATAAGAAAGGTTTACCAAATTCTCCACACTACAAATTTTAGGGAAAAAGAATAGAGCATTAACATGCAAAATGTCACTACATGCCATTTGTTACAGACGGCGATCTTTGACCTCCGAACACCGTTTACAAAAAGTTGGAGACTATAACAATATGTCACCATTTGTGGTGGTGACAAAAAACTGAGGAAAAATCACATGAATGCGAAATCATTGTAGTCGGTTATGCTAAACACACAAACAAACATTTTAAGTTGAAATTGTTCTCGATCAACGGTAGCCTAGTTGACAAAACCAAATGAGCGCTCTTACAAATCTATATTCAATTGAAAAGCCTACATATTTCATTGAAGAAAACATGCACGCCCCACACTACTGCGAGTTTCTTGCTCATACGCCAACTGGGCGTTAATTTAGCCTGGACCTTACATTTTGATACCCTTATGTTGAATTTTGCAAAATAGAATTTTCAAAGCTTTAAAGCTTTGATTACACCATTCAACTTAAGCCTACCTTCAACGCCTGCAACCCCCCAACAGCCACTTCTAACTCTTGACACCTCTTCTGCTTTCTCTCGTCTATGAGCCTAAAGTAACACAAAAAAATTTGACAATCAGAGGTCTCTTTTTGAGCATAAATTCAGAATAGGTTAAATGTCGCCTGTCAAATAGGAATTCTAGTTTCAGGCAAATTTTATGCGAAGGTGTAGATTAGAAATAATTGAGTTCGAAACACGGATAACAAAAGTACAAAGCTGTAAATTATGTTATTTTTGGCGCAGGAACTGTTTTTCTTATTTAAGGACCGACCATATCCATGGACTTTCTTCCTACATGTCCATTGAGAGTAGACTCTCATGTCCGATCCGTGGATTAGACTATGGCAGTCATGAAATAATGTGACGTCATACGTTACCATGGATGTCGAAAGAAATAAAACACCATATCGGTAAATCAAACAAAACAATGTGATTTTGAACGATTCTCAGAAAACTTTAGAAGTTAAATTCCAATTAAAGGTGTATAATTGTTGTGATGTCACATTAATGTTGAGAAGCAACAAACCATGTTCGAAATTCGTTAAGAAAAATGTTTAGGCTTACACAATTTGATTTTCAGTTCAGGATTCGATTGAATACCTGTAGACCTATCTGTTCTAAACATATTTGTTCTGTTTGCATAAGCACAGACTGAGGAAAGGAAAATGGTTAATTCCCACACGGTCGTAACCTTACAGAAATTCCTGCACACTCATAAAAGGTGAAATACCTATCTCAAAACATAAATATATTGTATTTTCAATCACATATTTCAGTGGGTAGTTCGAAATATCTATATGAAACCAAAAATACCAACGGGACTCTTTATCAACAAAAACGTTGAGACGGAGTGTCAGAATCGTATCCCCCAAGGCCTAATTCATTGTCTCGACAAGGTATGTACCTCACAAAAGGAACGTCTACCTGATTACCTATTCCCGATAAGTGATATTTCCATATAATTTGAAATAATGTTACAGTTAGGTCTATTATTGACGAACAATTAATTTCAATACTCACAGTTACAAAATCTGTCCAGGAAATGATAATCAAAATGAAATCTGTCTGTGACGTCTTTCAATCTCTGTTTATGATGTCATCCTTAAACATGACACAAATAAAAATAACTATCATCAAAATAATGAATTTGTAATGGTTATTATTATTGGAATAATTTGTTAATATTCATTTTCAGAAAAGTCAAATATGGATTTTAGTTTTGACAGACTAATTACTGTAGTATTAATGTTTGGTACCCCGAAAATGAATGCAGCCATTTCTATAATCAACAAGATAAAGCCTAATGCTTCATTTTCATTCATATCAAGCTGAGTTGATAACAAATCAGTTCAAAAAGTTTGGGTTCTGCCATTTAAATATGGCCTTCCAAAAATCATGTTCAATTTGACCACCTCGATGTTGCAGGCACTCCTGAATATGGCGCACGAAGTTGTAGACACTTAGGCCTAGCACGGTGTTATAGCATGACGGTTACGTCAAGGCGATTTGCAAAATTTTGCGGTAACGATAACAAAAAATGGCGGATGACGTATTGTATCAGATGTGCATTAGATATTTAGCGGACGGTTACGTGCATGTACATCTTTCAAGTTAAGGTTGCTAGTTCTGATTGCCTCTTTCCATGTAATTGTTATAATGGGTAAGAAATGGAATATTGAATTGCTTATATTTGTTTTCAGGACTCGCAAGAGACGCTCTTGTTTGAGCCTCTATAGGGCAAGGAAAAATTGTGTCTTGCTTTATTAATGAAACCAATTTAAGTCAAAAAGATAGCAATGAAGAGGCAAAAGAAGAATTAGCATCAAGTACTGATGAATATGACAAAATTGATAACAATGAATCTAGGATACATATTTGAACGAGGTTCGCGTAACCGTCAATCAATTTTTGGCGTAACCGCAAATTATAAATACAATATCATGACTTAAGTAGAACATATTAGGTGGTTTCCAATGCTCAACCATGCCCTAAATTACTAAATTTTGTGTAGTTTTGAATTTCAAACTCAACAGTTTTTCGCTTATTTCATGTTATTCCCGGGCATCAATTTGCAAAGAATACGTTCAAAATATGCATTACTAAATGCATCACCGAATGCGATGCCTACAAAAATCGTCCATCCTTTCATTGATAAACAGTAGAAGAAAATAATGCACCAACCTTAGTTTTCTGTTCCATCGCAGCCATTTTATTGGATAAATAAGTGATCGTAGTCGTCTAATCTCGTTTTCAGAGGTGTTGTAACCGTCATGCTATAACACCGTGCTTAGGATAGCTCCGATATTTGCCGTGATTTCTGTTTTAAGGTCTTTGGTTGTCTGGGAGTGTTTTTCATAAACATATGCTCCGATAACCTCACAGATAGGCCTGGAAATCTTGGTCATTCATTGGTTTTTAATTCAAGTTGGGTGAGTGGATCGCATCAGTCGATCTTCAAACCGTTGCTGTAGCCACTCGAGTGATTGGGGTTTGTGGAAAAGACCCGTTTTAATAGAACCATTGTTCTTAAGAATGATGCCCCTACGTCTATGGTTGTCTGACGGTGTTTTTCATAAGCACGTTTCTTCCGATAACCTCAATTATTGGTTGAACTCATGTTTGGTCACCCTGTACGTCTTGAGCAAATAGAACGATTGAATATGTCAACTCTATAGACAATATATTAGCCTTTTGGCCATTCAAAGTTAAATATATGTTAAATGTCACATCCCTTCTACAATTCAGGAAATTTTCCAGAAAACAAACAAAATTTCAAGTTCCAAAATACGTACTTGTTATGATTCCAAATGACAAATGAAGCAAAAAATGTAACCTTAATCAGATCATACAGGGTGAGCCAAAAAGGTAACCCAAACAACTAGTTGTTGATAATTCAGTCATCCATTATGGGTTTAAAGTCATATTTGGCTGAGAATGTATTTCTCCGTGTATACAACACTTACTGTAATTCTATTGAAAGACCAATAAAACAGGAAATACATTTATTGTAAGATATTATTGTGGAATATGTCTCGATAACATTTTAGAAACTATCATTTATGATCTGCAACAACAATAGTTTGGTCCGCAACTCGTCTGTAAGCATTCATATCTTAAAATCTTCAGTCCCAACTTTTCATAACCTGGCGATCCATTTGCAAACCGTGGTCGGTTCTGGTATACATGAAGAGCCCTGATGCACGTCATTCTGGAATTGAAGATAGAAATTTAATGTAGGCCTACGTCCCCTCCTGCCCTCCGTGATTTTTGCAAATGGAAAACCCCATTTGGTAGGGTGCTATGTTTGACCTTTTCTCCTAAATTGCAATGGGTCTGAAGTTCTGTTTTGCGACAACTTTGTGATAATTTGATTACAATTCCCAAAGATTAACACAATGGAACCATCGTTTTCCAAAATTTTGTATTAATGAGAGTGTATGAACCATAGCAAAAACATGCAATATATATATATGATAATATGCACTCATTAAGAAAATTATCATCACAAGCACCATTTTTACCTTTGAACTACCACCCTGCCAAAAATGACTCACATAGTGGCATGCTAATATGATTCTCGAATGCTTAGCTTGCTCTACTGACGTGATCTCTGAGTCTTTTTTATTGACTTGACATAAGCTCTAAATCTATATAGTGCTACTGATCTTCAGAATTGACATATTTAAGAATACAAGACTTACGGTCTTCCAGCTACCTGGGAATCTTGAGCCCTCAATTGCGGATCGGTGCAAATCATAGCACATGTCCGGGTTACCGCAACGCGGCAGTTTCTGCGTACGGCAAAGGTCCACCCACCTGCTGTATTCATGGCTGTACAAGTTGCCTGTGCAATCTCGTCGTAGTAGTTCACATAGTCAGATTCGACGTGTGCTCCATGACTGCCTGCACCAGGCTTGTGACTATCTGCCTTTAGCCCATCAACAGATGCTGTTTAAAGGCCATTATTTGTAATTTTCTTCCCTAATTACCCCAAATAAAATTTTACATCGTGCTTTAAATATAAGTTTAATTGCAAATTCAAAATAATATATGGATGCCATATACCTTTAAGATCACCAATATCAGTAGTCAACTCTGCAATATTTCCTTCTACGTTGGCCAGTCCAGAGGCCGTATTTGACAACCAATTTGTTAGATTCATACAATCGCAACGAGGCATTTGTGGTGGAGGGACATTGATGACGGGTTCACACGTGCACGAAGTTGAGCCCCTGCAAGGCGGGAATGGGTCCATTGCTGCGGCAGTCTCCTCGGCATTGGCCCATGGATGTAGTACGTAGCAAACAACCATCAGGAATATTGTGAATAGACCTAACCCTTTAGATGCCATCTTCGGATTCCAGTTTGTACTGTTATTATTGTTTTTTTGAATGATGAAAATGAATTTCTTTAGCTTGCCACCAGGCTATAAATGACGTGTTGCATATGATGGTATGACACTGATTAAATAAGGCAATTTTGCGGAGGCTTTTACTTTACAAGGACTCGTACAAATCAAGCAAACGTTGAACCTTGACTATCTCACTGTTCCATATCTAGTTACTATGACGGAACGTCGATGTAACAAAAAGGATGAACTTCCCTGATACGAGTTGTTTTCTCGATTTAAAGTTACTTATAAATCAAGTCAAGCTGTAAATTATAATTTGGCATAAAGTTAGTCAATGTACATTGTAGTCTAGGGTTTTGAACAGTGAATCATGTAGGCCTATATTTGAATCAAGATAATGAATGCATTTCGAAAACAATATCGTTAAAATGTTTCAAAACCAGAAGCACTCAGCCATACAAAAAACACTATATTTATCCCACTTATCAAACGTGCTATATTGCCGATGCCTTGTCGTTTGCTAATGGGCGCCCTGGGTGGGTCTTCTACAGGGGGGAGATACATATTGTCATCAAAGTTCCAGAAAAAACCTTGTTCGTTTAACTTTTTATAGATGCAAGAGTAGACTGGATATGATTAAGTTTTAGGCATGTTGAGTAATTAACTTGGCGGTCATTTTAAATTTTCCAAGAAGTACAGTATGATATTTCGATATATCGCTGTAAATAGGTATATAGTTAATTAGTTAATTAATTAGACGGCATAATCCGATTTTACCTCCAGCAAATTTCAGGTGGTCAGATCTAATTGTGGTTGTTATTGTGAAAAATGACAAATAATACATGTCGGGCCTCCTAATAACGACTATAATAGATAAACTTGTTAACATAACTTTTACATAACTTTCAGACGTTTGGTTCATTACTCCTCCGCCTGTGTGATATTTATGTTAAGAATATTCGTTCACGTACACATTTCTGAGATTTACTTTCATCGTTACTACACTTTTCAATAAAAGCAACAGCACTTGGTATTTATTTACGTTATTTATTCTTTCTATTCTTATATTCATGTTAAATCTAAATAATTGCCTTTTCGAAACTAACAGTGAAAATTAAATAAATATAGTGTCTCCAACCCAATGTAGAGATTCATTATATTGAAAACAAAAGAACGAATCATAAACAAAATAGTAGCGACAAATATTTTTGTGAAATAAATGAACTTAATACACTCCCCTCCATAAGTTTGGCAACAAAGTAAATAAAAATTCAAACGTAAAGAGGCTTTAACACGTAGTTCAATGGGGGAGCTAAGCTTGCCAAACTTATGGAAGGGAGTGTACGTATTGTAATTTTTCTATACTTTTTAAATCGTATTACCACTTCTTTCAATAGATCAGATTTTGACATACACTCCCTCCATAAGTTTGGCAACCAAAACTTTTCCTTTAATAACACACCTCCTGTCAATGTTTGAAACGTAATTTTGTTGCTTTCATTATAATTGTAAGTTAATGAAAAATTTGATGATATTTTTAAATCGCCAAGCATAAAGTGATTAAACATTAGATTCTAGTTGCCAAACTTATGGAGGGGAGTGTATTTCAGCATTATGTTTCCATATTCCCAGAGCATCATTCTGGACTAGAGTGTCTTCTGTTCTATTCAAATACAGGACGTTGAATTTGGGACACAATTTGGGATAAAATTAGATACAAGATTAGATAAAAGAAGAAAAGCTTCGGGTTGTTTTTATTTGAAGGTTCTAGCTCAGTTTTGAAGGAAGGTACATGTACATCAATTTTTGTTAAATTCAAAATAAATCTGAAAAAATTTGGCCGCGTATCGCACCCCCCTGACTGAAAACCGGTTATATTTTTTTGGCGATCGCACCCCACTGAATGAAACCTACGCCCATACATACTAGTGTACACACTTCATGGAGCGTTTCACTTACAGAGATAACAGGCTCACTGAGATTTGAAAAAATATTGGACAAATATATGTTCTATAGTACAAATTTTCCATAAATAACGTTTTAATTACTTCATCTTTTGTTTTTACAAAATATCTCAAATAGCTGCCAATTTACGTAAATGCCGTGTTTGGTTGAAATTACTCCGAAAGTAGTCAGATTTCTTTTTATCAGAATCAACCGAAAATGGTGCTACAAGTGGGTTAGCGAATTGAACCGAACAAAATTTGACCCGGAAATGAAAAATATGCCGAATCTGGACTTTTAAGTCGGATTCACATGTACATAATAAGACAAATCTAAATCTACAGGGCTTATCAAAAAAACGCAACAAGTAGTTATCTCGTAAAATCACAAGACTAGTGATGACCACATCAATTTCATTCAATGTACCATGGTTGGGTGAGAAATGCTTCCATTTGCACAGTGGGTCAAAGTCGGTTCTGGACCAAGTTTTAGATATTGCAAAAATCAGTGCTAGGGCTAAGTGCCAATGGAAGTTCCCCTGAATTGAATTGTTGTGACTTTTTCTTTTGGAGCTATCTTAGGAGCATCTGTGCTCACAATTTCTCCACCAGATATTGCAAAACCTCGAGAAAGAATTGTCCATGGGCTGCTTTTCTCTGATTTAACCCACAGATGACTCAGGGCTGAACCATACATGACGTGGACAGATGAGCGCATCTTTATGTGTAAGGAAGTGGTGGCAATTTGGAGAGGTATAGGATGTATTCTTACAAGAGTATGAGTCTGAACACTTTACTGTCTATGGCACACCAGTCACACCTTCTTCCAATAGCCCCTATGCCCCTTTTACTGACTTTTGCAATGTTTAAAACTTGGGTCCGAGCTGAATTTTGCCCCACTTTGCAAAATTAATAATTATTCGGCCAGCCATGACTCCCTGTGAATGAATGATATTCCATTACAAAGAGGAGTAATTTGGCTTTTTGGTACATTGAATGAAAAGGATGCAGTCAGCATTGGTTTTACGTTTTCTTCCAATATTGCATCGGGCTCCGTACACTGACTTTTGCAATGTTTATAACTTGGTCCCAAGCTAATTTCGGCCCACTTTGCAAATGGAATGATTACTCGCCCAACCATAACCAAATATCAATGAATGATATATTATTGAAGAGAGGAGACACATGGCTTTATGGTGCATTGAATGAAATCAATGCTGTTATCACTGGTTTTGTGCTTTTCCGAGATAACAATCTGTTGCGTTTTTTTTGATACGCACTTTATATCTTTTTGCGTCTCCTATGGTTTTAAGTGAGGATGAATACATTATGGTACGTTCACACCAACGGCGCTTTGATGGCGCTTTAAAGCGGCTTGTAAAGCGGCACCAAAGCGTAACAAAGCTTAATTAAAGCGTCGGGGTCGTAATAAGTCGTAGAAAAGCTCGGGAGTAAAGCGGGATATTCGGCAAGAGCGCTAAAAAATTTAAACTGTTTAAGCGTTCGCACCAACGGCGCTTTGATGGCGCTTTAAAGCGGATTGTAAAGCGGCACCAAAGCGTAACAAAGCTTGATTAAAGCGTCGGGATCGTAATAGGTCGTAGAAAAGTTCGGAGTAAAGCGGGATATTCGGCAAGAGCGCCAAAAAATGTTAAACTGTTTAAAAATTTTGGGCGCTCTGTTACGAAATGATTGAAGCGCCGAGAGCGTATCAAAGCTTAACAAACCGTAACAAAGCTCAACAAAGCTTGACTCAAAGCGTAGGAAAGCTTAACACAGCTTGGCTCAAAGCGGGGACCCCAGTCTATTCACGGTCTGTTACCACTTGACACGCTTCGTTAAGATGTCTCAAGATTTGCTACGATCTGGCATGAAGATCTGACACGAGGTCAGGCGCTTTCATCAATATCTGACACTCTTTGTTACACTTTCCTGAGGGACTCTCAAGCTTTCCAACGAATTGAGACGCTTTAATCAAGGATTGAAACGCTTTGCTAGGCTTTGTTACGCTTGAAAGTTTTCACACGCTATATCACGCCGTGCGACAAACGTCATGTCTTCTTCAGATAGGTCATGCTCTGGTCCATCTGGAATTTCTGGATCTCGTTGTTCTGCCATCGTGTTCTCGAGTCAAAGATGCAATGGTTTTATGGATCTACTGCATCTTTATATAGTCATTGGATCAAAAGCGGCATGGAATCGGCGATCTCGACATTTTCCAATGCGTGACAGAGCTTAACAGAGCGTAACAATGCACAACAGAGTTTTGCAATCGTATCAGAGCCTGATTTAAAGCGTCATAATCGCATCAAAGCGTAATAATGCTTATCAAAGCTTTTCAAAGCGTGATTTCAAGCGTTACAAAGCCTGATCAAAGCGGGATCAAAGCGTGAGGAACCTTTTAGAGCTATGTTAAGCTTTCTTACGCTTTGGATCAAGTTTTTCTGAGCTTTGTTACGGTTTGTTAAGCTTTGATACGCTCTCGGCGCTTAATCGATTCGTAACAGAGCGCCCAAAATTTTTTAAGAGTTTAAAAATTTTTGGCGCTCTTGCCGAATATCCCGTTTTACTCTGAGCTTTTCTACGACCTATTACGACCCCGACGCTTTAATCAAACTTTGTTACGCTTTGGTGCCGCTTTACAAGCCGCTTTAAAGCGCCATCAAAGCGCCGTTGGTATGAAGAAAAATGACAAAAATGACGGCGCTTTGCTCGCCGATTTAAAGCGTGGCATTCGCCGTTGGTGTGAACGTACCTTTACAGGTGAATTCTCCCTTTCGCGATTCGCTCTTTGAATCAGAACGTTCGCAAATATGCACTGAAAAAGCACTCAAAAAGGACAAAATTTGATTGGTTTATATTTTCTCACTATGCATTTCGCGTAGCTATTTGCGTGACCCGAAAGTTCTAAATCAAACTAATTACGCATTTTTGTTTTTACACCCGCACGCTAAATAAAACAATGACAACATCGAAAGTATTCTTCTTTGTCATTGCTTTAATAGTCTGTATACCGAGTTTAATCAATAAAAGATTGTACAATGAACAACAAAATTCGGAAACGAGTACTATAGATTTGCTTTCGGACCACTGAACAGAGTGACCTAGATAATAGCGACGCTTCTTCTTTGGTCTACTGCTCAGTTATTTGTTGGTTTTCAACGTAACTCTATGATGTAATTTGATGATGAATACTTTTATTCCGTTGTTGCATCGATGATGCAGTTTGTAGTGCGGTAAGATTGGCATGAAAGTATTGAAAGTCGAATGGAATTGTTTTTTCCAATATGGCGACTAGTCAACTGATCATGTGACCTTCTCTTCCGGAATATTTTCTCACTTTTCAATCATCGTTTTCACCACGCTATGAATCAATACAATGAAAAAATAGCTGTTATATTAAGATTAATAAAAGATCAATCGTTTCTAATAATTTTTTCTGTACCCTCGTACGGGAATTATATGAACGAATATATCGTTTGAAAAATAGGTGTTAAAATCCCCATGTTAAACCTATGAGGGAAAACAAGGAAGTATAAATTTGTTCCTCCGCGAACTGCATCATGGGAAATATTTTGACCTTATAAGGAAAGATTTTCGCGTCTTCTCTTTTGAAGAGGGAACAGCGATTTCGAGAATTGGCAAAATCACTTCGTTATTGCATAGTAAACATCATTGGTTTTGGAACTGGCATGTGAACACTTGGCAGCCTTGAGTTGAATACGCCTACCTGTTATGGCACAATGATAGCCTGCAGTGTGTTTATGGACTTAGTTGAATTTGGCGACTTTGCGAATATGACCTAAACTGTTTAAACTGTTTTTTCACTCCATGAAGGAAATTGACTTTTCAGGTTACCACTGTATTTTCACTTAGGCCACTGTAGATGTCATCTGATGATAAAAGTTCCCAGGCCCGTAGCCAGGATTTACCAAGGGGGGGGGGGGTCATTTTTTGAAAAAGTCCAGGGGTTCATTTTTGACAACATTGACCCAAATATGACCCAAATCACTTGAAAATTGCTCCAAATGGTGAAAAACTGCATGATTTTGAAATAATTTTTGCCTCTCCGCCTTGGCTATGGGCCCGAGTTCCTGTTGCATTTTGTATAAACTTGGCAATTTAATATACATATAGGTAGCATTATACATTCTTTCAAAATTGTTACAAACAATTTGCTTTTTTGTCGTTCCGTCACATTCCTATCGCTTAAAAATATTTTTGCTCACTTATATCATTTTATGCAGCTTACCCACATGATCAGGGTGTCCTCCTCTTCTTCCTATGACAGCCTGCATCCTTACTGCTATATTTGCTCATTAAATCTAGTGAATAGGGAGGCTCTTCCAATGTCTTTATATAGAGAGATCAGACATTCAAGAAACTGCGTTCGTAGGAATTCTAGTCGGACCCTTGCTGTGTGCGGAGGGGATCAATATCTTTGAAACCTCTGTGTTCGCCTTCTATTCATATCATTAAATCTAGTGAATAGGGGGCTCTTCCAATTTCTCTATACAGAGAAATCAGACATTCAAGAAACTGCGTTCGTAGGTATTCTGGTCGGACCCTTGCTGTGTGTGGAGGGGCTTGAGAATATTTTGAAACCTCTGTGTTCTCCTTCATATCATTCCGTCTCCGAGCTAGTCTATGTGAATCTGGAAGGTAACTCCTGAATCATTTAAGGATAATTGACCTGGGGGCTATTAACAGAAACTTCTTAAAGATAAGAATTCGTAAAGTCCATTGTTCTCTAACTGTGACGTCATAATATCAATGGTAACAACAAATGATTTACGCATTCGTAACTTTATGAAGTTTCTGTTAATGACCTCCTGGTTCTCTTTGTCATCGTCATCCTCGAACTTCTTTCTCTGTGGCTATTTGAAGGAGCATTTTTATGTCAAACCCAATCCAAAAGACCTGGGACAACTTATGGGTAAGGCCAACATCCAAAGAGAGATTCAAAACATTTTACCGAAAACATCAAATGTGATATATGATGTAGCAATAACGGCACTCTACTATACATAACCCCTAGAAATGCATAAGATACTCTGTTTGCCCAATTGTATTGTTTAGTATATTTTTGAAAGTACCTTTATTAACAGCTAACGTCATCCAATAAACCATTGATAAGGAACAGACAAATAAAAACAAATAACATAATCATTACTAATAAGCCAAAATGGTTGCTCATGAACACCAAATGCAAGGTATAGTAGAGTGTAAGGATACAGGCTGTCATCGAAATATGAGGAGGTAACATCGATCAAATGGGGTAAAAAGGGTCAACGCATCAAAAAGGCAGGACTGAACTTAGAACTGACTTATGGGGAGAGCTACATGACCATGTACAACAATGTCTGAAAACATTGATTGGTTTATTTATGCTGATAATATACTTTTGGAAACATTTTTGAGATACTTGATATCTGTATGCGCAAATTATTGGTGGTATACAAAGTTATAACAGCGAAATTAACTCAGCGTGCATCCCCTATAATAAATAGTTGTACATGTATATTTGACTTGCACAAATATTGAATATTGTCCTAGAGTGGAAACAGGAGTTTCCAAATGAAATTATACTTTTTGAAATAAGGGCATCGTGGAAAATTAAATGATTAGATTTGATAGGATGTTGTTGGAAAGACCTCCAACTGTAGATGGAGTCAAACTGGAGGCTCAGAAGGTTGTGATGGACAGTGATATATTAAAAGAACTGATAGACAAAAAACGAGTTGACAGTAACGCAGCTGATCAGCATGGGGATACTGTACTTATGTATACCGTGCGTAAAAATGCAACAGAATCGGTAAAAGTGTTGCTTGATCATGGTGCTGACGTAAATGCTGTTGACAACAATGGAAAGACTGCATTGATGTTTGCAGCATTAGTAAATGATACAGTAGAATGTGCCAAGCTGCTCATAGCGTATGGTGCTGATATTGATGCTAGGGATAATGACGGCACGACGGCCTTAGTATATGCGACATCTGAATGTATGCGGCTGTTAGTTGACAATGGGGCGGATGTAAACGCCGCCAATAAAAGAGGAGTCACGGCACTCATGCGGTCGGCAGGGTTTGACACGACAGCCCCAATGGAAGCGTTATTGGATCATGGTGCTGACGTGAACGCTTGTACATATTTTGGAATGAACGCACTATTTTACGCTGTATGCCAAGACAAGCTTGATTCAGTTCGTTTGCTTATCAATAAAGGTATTGATATCAATAGACGTGGTTTGAATGGTGAAACGGTTCTCATGCGTTCTGTACGTAATAATCCAAATCCAGCTTGTATCGCACTGTTGATAGCACATGGTGCAGATATAAACGCTGAGAATTCCAAAGGGGAAAATGGTATGTCTCTTGCATTTAAAATGGAAGCATATAAAGTAATCTGCATCCTTGCTATGTATGGGGCCAATGTTGTTGCCGATCAATTATTTGCAATCAAGGGCAAACATCAAAAACTTGGGTTGATATTAGAGAAACTGAAACGACCAAACCTCCAACAGCAAGTGAGACGCAGGATATACCAGCATACCACAAGCGTCTGTCAGAACACACATTCCAAAGCTATTGATGCTCTCATTAAAGGAGGTAAACTCCCAACGATATTCAGATCATTTATGTTGTTTGAAGATGACATTCAAGAAATAATATCACTTCCGGTTCCGGTTTCAAACAAGGTAGATGTGTTTTATACTTGTTGCCATCAATGGGTAATTTAGGTGATGATGACATTGATTCGAAGACAATTGAGCGGATTCTATTAAAATGTAAAAATCAAAGCAGAGATTCAGTAATATCGGAGCTATGCGAAGATTTTTAGAAAACACCAATCGAAAACTGTACAACACAGTAGAGAAATGTGATACATGATATGGATTGCACAAAAGATAAGAACACGTACACTCCTTTGTCAACAATCTGGAGAAACGTACTGACGAGGGTATAAAATATAAGTGGGAATATAGATGGCATTTCATGTTCAAATCTTTGCGTATGGAATAAGGGACACCCAAAATTTGTAGGATTCATTAAGAAACATGAGCTATTAAAGTAATTTGATTTTTTCAACAGATCGCTCACATTGATATTATGATTGGTCTCGGAGAGATTGTACCAATTATCATTTAGTAGGCCCACGTGGAGATTCTCTAGTATAAAGTAGCAAAACAAGGCCAAGTTTTGAATATATCATGTATAAGTATACCCCATATAATACGATAGGATAATTGAATATGATCGATACAATAAGCTCATCATAAAATAATTTTGTGAGTGGATCGACTTTCGACTGGATCAATCATGGCGTATGGCCCAGTCGTCGGATTCAATTATTAACAAACTTGCATAACAGTGTAACATAACAGTGAATGATATAAAAGTATCTTTCTCATTTATTAATTTTCTAATTTATTATCAAGTTATATAAAACAAACAAAGAATAATACAAAATAACGCACATAATAGTGTTAGTCATCGAGCATTCTCCGGGAGAAAAGTTCCTTGGAATTATAATGTAGCTTTGTAAAGGCGAAATAATGGTTATAACTATTTCTCTGCCCTATAAGGTAATAATACGTGCAACTATTTCAAGGAGGATTGGCTCCCAGGATCGAAACTTGATATTTTCTAACAATGAAAACGTGGGATGTCGTTATTTTCTGAAATTATAACCGACTATAAAGTAACATTCTAAAAGATTCGAACCAATACACTGTATGTCGATCATTTCTTGCGAGTTTCGAAAATTTTCGTTCGGAAATAAGACCAAAATTCACTGTTCAAATGTTGAAATGAACAAAATGGCGGCTGTTTGAATTCGAACTTTGTATCACGACATGTCCATATATGGAACAGAATATCTATGTTGCACTTTGGGAGTCAATCTTCCTTGCCATATAAGGTAATAATACGTACAACTATTTTTCTATATTTAATAATACCTAAGGTATGTACGCAAGTCTATGTTTTAAATAATGAATCCCCGTATCTAATCCCTATCTAAAATATAGTTCATATGATCTGATTTTTAGTATCGACTTTTATTTTACTTTAAGAAGTTCATAGTGATATAGTTAACTTCATAACATCCATAAGTCAATTTGTCAAATAAGTCAATCAAGTGTTTGCCTTAGACCCTAATGCACAGCGAGGATCGGGCTTCGGTTCGGATTGGAATAATTTGTATGCTGCTCCCTCTAACCCTACTATCACACCAAACTAGTTCTCACTACGTTCTCGAAAACGGGCTTAAACTGTGCACGAACGGATTTGACGTGTTAAGAACCCACTAAGAACCGTTTGGGATATGTTTACAAACTTCATGAAACTACTAGAACGAGTAGGTCCTCCCATGGACTTCTAATTTGAAGTCCATGGTTCTCCAGAACTTAGAGCATGCTCAAAATTTTGTTGTGATCGTCAAAACGTTGCCGAATCGGTTTTAAACTGTGTGCGAATTGAATGAACGTAGCTACAACGTTCTACGGTCTGTTTACGAACTTCATGGACTTTCCCGGAAGGGGAATGTGATTTAGAATTTTGAATCGATTCAAAATTCGATGGCGACCATACCGTTCTGTAATCAGGTCATGATGGCCTTCTAGACTAACTCCCCAGTCACATTTCCTACGGCGACCTTGCGGTCTATCATTTCTGCGGCCAGTAGCTTTTCTACGCTCGCCGCAGAATTTCTGCGCTCTGATACTTTTGCAGTCACATTTCCCACGGCAGCCGCAAGGTGAATTTTAAATTTCTATTGATAAATAATAGTTTTTTTCATTTTATTTACATTGGACAATTTATAAAATGTTATTCAAAGTGCTAGGATGTAATGTCAAATGAAAAGTGATCGTGAAACATTGACAAATAATGATTCAATCTTGTTGAGCCAGTTGATTTCTACGGGGACCTCAGAAATGAACAAATATTATAACTCCAAGTTATAATTTCTACGGCGACCCTGCGGCCTCTAAGACTGGATACGCCGCAAGGAGGCCGCAAGGCGAGCGTGGTTTACCTCGCAGAAATACACTGATTTAGTTGATCTGCGGTCGACGCACGTCCTCCGTACGACAAATGTGACTGGGGTGTTAGGGACTCGTTATACGACGTAGCACACCGACGTGGTGCGACCTGAACGAACAGCGAATGAGATGGACGTATTGAAGACTGTTTTTGAACGAAGTAGCTAATTATTTTAGACATATATCCCGACCACAGCCAGATTGAGCCCGTTATACGACGTTTTCGTAGGACAAGAACGGGTAAGAACTAGTTTGGTGTGATAGGGGGGGTAACAGTTGTAGTATTTGATTTGGGTAAATTTCCCCATAATTCAGCATAATTAAGGTTAACATTAAGGTAAATTAATGGTAAATTCAAGTAAACCCTGGCTAATGCCCTAAACCTTTTTCCTAAGGGTAATTTTGAATAACGTTATCACGTCATCCTTCAAATCGGGCTTATTCAAAGGTTTGTTAAATACCCAGGGCTACATGTACTACAGTATTTATATTTATCACATACAGTGTGTACTATGTAGAAATCTAGTGATTTGATTGGGTGCTTTCTATGACGAATTTCCCGTATCACATAAATTTCAAATGATACGAGCACACATACCATACGTTGTCTATGGTAACGAAATGACGTCATACAACTTCATTCTATTCTTTCCTAATTCAAAATGACGTCACATAATAGGCTATGTTCTTCTGGGCTATGTTATTATTTTTTTAAATGACGAAATTCGTCGGGGAACTAGAAGTTAGAACGTCAAATAAAGCTACCAATCAAATTACTTAAATTCTACATAGTATGTGATACTACGTTTCAGCGTATGTAATACGGGAAATATTCCACTCAGTAAAAAGTATCACAATTTTTACTTTTGTGGAATATTTCCCGTATCACATGCTGAAACGTGTAATAACTAATATTATTCCATAGTTAGCATGATATTCATTGGATAACATGTGAAAATAAAAACGGTATTTTTGTAATCAGTGGTAAAATATGATATTTTTGACAAATTTTCACTTAACCATAGCATACGGTTTTTTAGCCATGACATACGACGTCGTATGCGATGGTTAATGGATTTTTGCTACTTCAGACTCAAAACGAGGCTAAGTGTCAACATCGCCGGATCGTTTGGAAAATTCGAATTAAATGACTTAATTTCCGACAATTCTGATGATGACTTTAACTATGAAATAAAAAGAACATCCTATGATTTACTCGTTATATGATTTTAATCCACTCATGGATATTGATATCTGCACTCTCTCGCTACGCTCGCTCGTGCAGATATCATATCCATTCGTGGATAAAAATCATATCACTCATAAATCATAGGATATCCTCTATTTATAACATACCTATGATGATGTTAGTGCAAAGTGTACACAAGACAGCGGGCCAATATAAGTTTTGAAAAGCCCGCGCCCGCTAACTTTCTGATTGGTCAAGGCGCTGACGTCATAACCAATCAACCGAAGATAAAACTGCGCGAGCAATTTTTCTAAACTCATTTCAATCATTTTCAAACCATTTGTTTGTCAATTCTATAAGAAAACGGTACTCTCTGACCAGTCTTCATCATCAAAGGTATGTTATAAATCGTTTATGTCACTATCGTGGCACATATGCCCTCGGTTCTCAGAGATCAATGTCCCTCCCAAGGTCGGGCGATATATCACTGAGACTTCGGGCATATATGCCACGATAGTGACATAACCTCTAAGTACCGAACGAAATTCGATAATATCAAGATTGCATTCTTGGAGCCAATCCTCCTTGAACTAGCATAACAGTGAAACATAACAGCAAATAATAAAAACCATCGGCTCTTTCAAATTTATTGCCATATATTAAAAATAACGAAACATATAGAACACAAAAACGCACATGATATTAGTCATCGATTATTTCCCAGAAGAAAAAAGATCCCCGGAATCATACGCAAATAAAGGGGCAATAATACAACTATTTCTCTGCCATAAGATTGGCCTATGCTCTGAAATAATAAAACCCAATATTTATCCTCCTACCAGATTAATACTTTATATTATTTCTGTTTTATAGTATCGACTACTTTTTTTTAAAAAAGTTCATATTAATATAGTTGACTTCATAACAACTACGCACCTCCTTCCTACCAGTTGTCTTAGACAGTAGTTCAGTTAGAAGATTAGGTTCGGACTGGAATAGCTGAAATCCTGCTTCTTCTAACAGTTGTAATATTTGATAATATTCTTCATATTTATTACTAAAGTGCACCTCCATTGATATTTGTTTGATCTGAGACAGGACTCCTGATTTGTGCATTTCCTTTATAACTCCCCATTCGCTTCCTTCAACATCTATTTTAAACACGTCAATGATGGTCTGAAATATGAATCAATTACAGTATAATAGATGGCATATCATAGGACTGTCTCCTGGTTTAGCAAATTGTACATTCCCCAGTCTACCTGAAGAAACTTATTTATTTTCTCGTTAATGTTTTCTGTTCAAATATAAACGATTAGGGTACACTCACGTGTAAATGCTTGTTTTCCTGGAAAATCTCCAAAACAGTTTTCATTTTGTATTTCTTGGACAATCTACTTTGTACGCCTTTGACGCCAGTATTGTAAAAATGCACATGTTGTCCTCGTGTGTGGTCTTTCATCTTTGTCCTGGTAAAATGTAAAATTCGTTTTGGCATAAGTACAGATCACTACGGAAATTAATCCATAGTGAAATTCGTAAAGAACATCAGCGCATCACCATTCCTTCAAATTATTTTTTAACAGCCTATCTATGAATGCTTAGTGCCTATGGACTGGAAACATGACAATGTTAATGCTATCTACAAAAAGGGACGAAGAGACGAGGCTGTAAATTACAGGCCTGTATCTCTGACTTTAGTTCCATGTAAAATAATCGAATATATTATATTCCATCACGTCATGACCCACTTTGACCCTTACGAAATTTTAGTAAACTTCCAACATGTATTTAGGTCAAAGCACTCATGTGAAACCCAACTTGTCAATACAATAGAGAATATAGCTCGGGCCCTTGACAGCAATAAACAAACAGGTATGTTGATATTAGACTTTTCCAAAGCGTTTGACACGGTGGCCCACGAACGCCTCTTGCACAAACTTGACTACTATGGAATTCGTAATAACAACTTGAACTGGTTCAGATCCTTGCTTGTCGGAAGATCACAACAGGAAGTGCTCGATGGTGAATCAAGCTAAAAAACTCTAGGACTTCCCCAAGGAACAGTGCTTGGAGCACTTTGCTACCTTGTATATATCAATGATATGGGCAATAACCTATCATCTTCAGCTAGTATTAAATTATTTACTGAGGACAGCCTATTATTCATGACAGTCGAAAGCAAACAAGATGCCTCATACTACAGGGGAATCTTGATAAAATGGTCTCCTGGGCATCATCATGGCAAATGAAATTTCATCCATCAAAGTGCTATTTGCCGAATATTCACAGAGATAAATCTCCTATCATCAACAAGTACACCATTTTGGGTAAAAGCAATTGAATGCTGGAGATGACTGCTCACGTTCGGGGAGGGGGTGTTTATGGGACCACTTTCCCCTTTTTGAGCCAATCCCCGGGAATTTCGTTCATGGAGGTGAGGAGAAATATGTTCTTTAGCCTCAAGTGCAAGCTAGGGTGATTAAGACTTTTTTTAGATGTAAGTGTAACCTCAACCATTTAAAAAATCAATCATCTCCAGCTCTTTCGCCCGAGTGCACAGTTTTTTTCTTCAAGTCTCACCCTGTGCACCCTCACCCATTTGCAAACGACCATGATCAAAAACTAATTCAAAACCAAATGCATTATACATTGAATGACTTACGTTGGATCATATGAAAAAACTTCACATGTTTTTGCAATCTCGTCATCAAAACTGAAGTCATCTCCGATCCTACAATAAAATATTAAAGATGGATTTACCTGAATGTTAACATCGCACCTGTGTCACATAAGATTACCCTTTATCATTTTAGTAATATGATACTGAACAAATATTTCATTCCACCAGGCCCGTAGCCAGAGGGAGGGGGGGGGGGGTCGATGGGTTTGAGCGATGGTTGGTTTTCCACCATTCTGAGCACTTTTTGAGTGAACCCTCCTGATAAATCCTGACTACGGGCCCGCTCTCCTGAGGTGAATATACCTGTGCATCTTTCACAAGTGATACTCAATTAGGCACGGAGGTCAAGGGATATCATCTTATGAAAGTTTCACAGGTATTCACCGAAAGTAGAGTGAAATATTTGTTTTATTATAAATTTCGTTTTTTTAAATTTTTTAAAAACATGTAACGACGACGCATGTGTATTACCCAAATGAATAAACTGTACACTGTCTATGGACGAGGTTAAATGGATGTGCCACGCATATATCTTTTCCACCATCTCCTTCGTGTCCAAACCTTTTTTGACGGGGACACCATACCTAAAATAAATACGTAAGATTCAATGTTGTTGAAGAAATAAAAAAAATATTGCCTCTTATAATGAAGATGCGTCCTAGGGAGTGGGAGTTAGTCATATAAATCTGACCCTCGTATGATGTTATCTGTTGTTATTTTTTCTGATTTGGATATTTATTTTTTCTTATTTTCTGGCATACGAGCGTCATACACACTTCCCTCATCTAAATTGCGGGAAATGCTTTCCTGGCCTGTCTACCCAACCAAATTCACACAAATGATAAATAAATTTCTTTGCTTCAACTATTGAGTATCTAATCTTACCTGAGGCACGTAAAACGCTTGGTAATTGAAGAAATATAAGCATGCCGCTTGAATTTTAAAATTTTTTCATTTTGCCATACCAAGGTCACTTCCGGGTTAATCTGAGTCTAGATGTAAAACTATATCAAACGAAATCATAAGTATTTGTTACACGAAGATTCAGTTGAAAGGGAAGCAGTGCCGTTAAGAAGGGAAGTTATTTAGAAAAGTTATTGTTTCAAAATGAGAAAAGTGATAAGTATGAGAGAACGGCTTTGGAATCGATCTCTGCGTAATAAATAATTATGATTCCGTTTCGATACATGTTTTACATTTAGACTACCGGAAACAACATTTAGCAACATGGCGGGCGATAATGAAAACTAATTTTATAAACTGCGGTGTCCCACAGGGCTCAATACTAGGGCCAATACTTTTTCTAATATATATTAATGACCTTCCAGACAATCTGGATGGTCATTGCTACATTTATGCAGATGATACCTCATTACACCATCCTTTTGACCCAAAACAACCACAACAAATAGAAGCAGTGGTAAAATCCAATCTAATTAAAGTAGAAGAATGGTCTAACACTTGGAAACTTGATTTTAAACCGGAGAAGAGTTCCGAGATGATTTTTCACTCACCTAGAACAAAAACTGATAATGTGTCAACTTCAAAACTAAACAATATAGAAATCAAAAGAGATACCGAGCACAAACATTTAGGACTCATTTTTGACCCATGTTTATCTTATGATAAGCATATTGGTGATTTACTAGTCAAAATAAGAAAAATGTTAAACCCATTAAAGAAACTCAAATTCAAGCTTGGGAGCAAGCACCTAGAAACAATCTTCAACTCATTCATTCTTCCTCACTTTGATTATGGTGCCATTTTATATGGCACAGCTTCTAAATTTCTTTTGCGAAGACTCCATAGTCTATATTACACAGCGGCACTCTATTGTTCTGGCTGCATCCAAGGGAGCAGTACAGAAAAGGTCCTAAGTCTCCTAAACTGGCCAACACTTGAATCTAGACGTAGAATACAATCAAATAATTTGATGTTCAAAGTTGCCAATGGTACAAGTCCCTCATATATCACAGACATTTTTGATAAGTATAGTAATGTTAGGAATAGAAACTTGAGATACATTGATCCATTCAAAATGCCCATAAGATGCTCTGCTAGATTCTCATCCTCAGCAATACCTTCTGCAATCTCAAAATGGCTAGAGCTCCCCCCTTCTATTAAAACCAAGAAAACTCTTCATAATTTCAAAAAACACCAACGGCTTTTCCTTCAAAACCCCTCTAAAATTTTGACCACAAGTCAACTCAATCTTTCTAGACGGCATGAGATAGTGGTGAATAAAGTAAGAGCTGACTTATTTTTTAAAGCTCAATTTTATGCCCATAATTTTAACTCTGTTGACAGCCCTAATTGTGCTTGTGGCAGCTCTCAAACCTTAAAGCATATTCTTTTCCAGTGCAATCGCTTAACCTTAGTAAGACAGGATCTCTGGGATAAACTTGCTGAATTAGAACCTTCTCTCAATAATAATCTTCCCCAGTACGATTTTATCTCCATTTTGAAAACAGGAAGCCCAAACTTAAGCATAGATGTAAACTCTAAAGCCATTTCACTGATACTTGACTTCATTATAGACAATAGCTAATTCCCTCCCTCATGTCTCTCTTTCTGATATCCTGTTGTCCTGTCACACCTGCTCCGGTCCGGGACCCTGTCTGCCTGCCACCCCCAGCCTCTCACCATTCCTATATAATGCCCTCTGGCGATTTAGGGATGCTATTGTAATTGTATTTTAAACTATATCAATGAAATAAATAAATAATAATAATAATGAAAATATAATTCAATTGAATATATTTCGTCAATTATCAAGCGTTTTACATGTCTAAGGTAAGATTTAACACTTTGATGTTGGAGCTAAATAATTACTCGATAATTTGTGTGACTTTGGTTGGTATGGTAACTATGGTTACCCAGACAGGCCAGGAAAGCGTTTACCGCAATTTGTTCCATATAATATCTACGACCGTATATGCAAAGAAAATAAATATCCAAATAAAAACTAGGAATATCGAAGAACAGCATATAACGGTCGGATTTATATGACTAGTGGGAGTAGAACCCATGGATGGGCACGATGGGACGTGAGATGGCAATATATTAACATCAACATTTTTTAGTAGCTATAGACACCATGTCGGTGTAAAAATATACAATCATGTAATTACTAACTGGTGTCTTTAGTCGGGTGCACGGGAATGCCATCTTACTAAAAGTAATAATAATACCTGTTTGTTTTCAAGGTAGCTGGCCAGTATATCCCATTTATCACCAATCGATGTCGCATTGAGCATTTCCCGTGTGAAGTTGTGTGGGATTTGCCAATCGTCCCGTGTGTCCATCAGTACTTCATTTGCGCGCTCCAAGTTCTGTTGTGGTGTACTTCCATGTATATAATTGAACTGAAATTGATAATCAGTAGAATTTGGAACTATACTTGAGCAAACTTTAAATCGATTCAATGTTTTTCATATTTTGTCATATATTCTCCCGAATTTATGTTAGTTTCACCATGAATTGAAGCTTCTGATTTGGTCAGAGGCTCTCTTGCGAGTTGCGCGGATGAATATTTGGTGTGTTAGGGCGTATCGAGAGATATGCAGAAAGTTGAATATTTGCAGCGGGTATTTATCGAATATTTTTCTCGATTACTCGATAGCTAATATACGCATTTCCATTAATTCTTCTTTGAAGACAATAAATGTACATCCTAAAAAGCTGATGGTGAGAAGCTTATCATAGGTATCCTAAAAAAGTTAAGGATCCGGACCAGTGGTTTTCTTCATAGGTTTAAATGTTAATCCCCATATTTGTTTGAATGACTATTTTCTAGGCTTCGAACAAAAGAAAACCCGATAAAGTGAATAAATCTATACTTGATATCTTGATATAAAAGTCTGCAAAATTCAATATTATATTTCCATTACAATGGGTCAGAATTTCATGAAAATTTGAAAAAATGGCAGACCCCATGTAAACCAATAGAAAATGGTTGGGTTGCCATAAGTCATATGAGGAACGATCCATCCATCCGATTGCTTTCAAAATTATGATTTTAACATCTGCTAAATTGTCCACTGAAAAAAATATGATTAATTTTCCAGGTTTTACAAAAGTTAATGGTTTCAAATTCAATAATTCTTAACCTATGAGGAAAACCACTGGTGTTAACTTTTTGGGGAGAATTTTAGGCAGGCAGTCTCCGGGCAATCCTTTCCGATTGTGGAATATCAAAGAAGCCATGATATTGGCTAAATTGATGATTTTGGGTCGCCCCATTGGTCCGAATCCAACGAACTGATGCTCCGAATATACAATATTAGTCAATCCGGACGATTGGTATTTTGACCATTAGGATTCGGACGATTATTTGGGCCAATGGGATTCGGACGATTGGGATTCGGACCATTTAGATTCGGACCAATTGTGTGTCCTCGATATCGATGATGGTGTTATAGGTTGTAGGAAGCAATCTGCCTAAATGGTATTAACTTATCCTATTGTTAATTTTGAAAAAAAACATGACACCTCACTTTTGTTCCAAAAAACGGTTAAGATCTTTACTTCTAACCCATTCCATTTACGTATCAATAGCACTGGCAGATTAGGGGGGGGGGCTGGGGGTGGGCCCAGAAAAAAATTGGGCCCAAAAAAAATTTGAGCCAAAAAGGCCTTAAGGCCCCAAAAAGTGGGCCTTTTTGGTCATTACTGGGCCTTTTAAGGCCTTATTTTATAATTTTAGGCCAAATTTTGAGGAAAATGGGCCTCAAAATTTTAAAATTTGGGCCCACTTTTGGGTTTTAGGGGCCCAAAATGTTTTTCCGCGCAAGCGCGGACCTATTTTCTCGGACATGAAATTTGGGCCCCCCCCCTTGTTGGTTCCCAGATCCGCCCCTGAATAGTGAGGTATCAAACCGACGATTCTGTTGTCTTCTAAACTACAGTATTCGTTCGCAAATATGTACGTGGTCTTAGACATATGATACTGACACATGTCTGTGATAAAGATATCGTGGGAATTCAGCCTACAACGCATGAAATAAGAAAAGAAAAATCGTACCTTGGAGGTTGACATTTTGTTACCGAAACGAACCCTTTCTATATTTCTATAGAATCATACTTCTATGAAACATAATTTTCAGTTTAAGTTGGAATGATAATCTTTTCAATTTGGCCAACCAGTATACTTCGTATAAATTACATACGGATGAATTCAAATGTACTATATCGGAAATTAATTAATTGAATATGAACACATTTCTATGACAAACATATGTCAATCTGTTAATGCAATATGTGGCAGAAGTTTTCCACAGTTAGATTAGGTTAGGAATTTATGTAAAGTCGCGTATTTCTAGGCATAGTTGAGGTCAATGCTATGATTTTTAAATAGCAAATTACAGAAGAAAAAATTCAACCACAAAATTAACTCAAGATCAACTGATCAGAAGACATACTTATATATTTATTACTATATTATTCTATATTTATCGTAATATATTCATAAAGATATAATCCGAACATGACTGTATTCACGCCTTCTATAAACTGTGAACAAAGTCAATATTTCACCCGGTATGTATTCGTCGACACAGCACCTGGTAATATGAGTAATGTGTGACGTCATAACGACTGTTCGTAGTTATGGCAGGCAAACATGAATATTCGAAAAAATTGGTGAGTTTTCACGTTCGAATCGTAATATAGACCTCAGAGCAGGTGTTATATCGACAAATACATAACTGAGGGCTGGGCCCAAAAGGTTTTGAAAACATAAAACGTTTGTGCCTAGCCCTGCGGTATGTATCCGTCGATATAACACCTGCTCTTCGGTCTATATTTCGTAAATAGACATTATTGTAATTGTGTACAAACCATTCTGCTCCATATTGTCAATGCTAGGAAGGTCACAGCCGCAACAAGGGTTGTTTTTAAGCCCATTCTAAAATAAGAATTCACACAACTAGGCAAGGTGTGTCCAATTCCAGCCAATCAAAACACGCTATTTCACGTAACTGCATTCCGTTATATAACTAATTACAAACTCAAGTTCACTAGTTAAACTGTTGTTATGGTGATGACTGGACTTTATAGATTGAAATTGATACTTACCAGCTTGACCCTTGCAAAAAGTTTCATTGAAAATATGTTCTTTAAGTGATTTCATATCTTTTAGATGATTTTGAAGAAAATATTTTGCAATATGTAAAAGGAATTTAAGCCCAAGACTCAATGCGTTGTGTAATGATCATTCCTTCCAGGCGATGTTTCCTAAAATTAACTCTCAATGCTTCGCATCTCGTGCAAACTTTTGAAAGCAAAACCTTCAAGGAATGGTCATTCCACACTGCACTGAGTCCAGGGCTTGAATTCTTATGCTTGAACCCAAAAGTTTCAAAGGGACTCATAATGCCAAGAATGGCAGTATTTTGAAGTCGGTCAGATTATGATCAAAGATCGGCGGGGCTCTTTTTAGTGCCGTTCGTAAGTACGAATGTTCGTAAGTCCATTGTTTCAGTTGCATATTAATGTTAAATTCGTAAAGTTACGAACAATTCGTAAAATTACGAAAATAGTGACGTCATGCTTGCTTTCGTTCGTAGATTTAATAGCACCCCTCGTAACTTTCGGAACTTTTCGAACGATTTCTTATCTGTTTATTTATATTGTGATATGTGACGTTTTTTCATTTTCCTATCATTTATTATTTTTATTCGTACTTTGTGAGTTCACACTTACATCTGACTAAGAATGCCAATTTGAGATCAAACGACAGGATTTACTTTACAAATCTATCATCCAATATATGCAAAGTTCGCCATATAAACTCAACTTTTCAACATAGATATATACATTTTGTTATTTCCAATTATTTGCTAGAAATCAGAAATTAAATCTAAATCTAAATATTATTCAATCAACTTTAAAAAAAATTAAAACAAAATAAATTAAAATAATTTACAATTGAAACAAATTTCTACTATACCGCATTCTCCTGATTTGCCTGCTCGAAACGTCGCCAATTGTTGTTTTGGGAAATGTATCTAAAAATGTAACTTCGATATCCAAAAGCTTTTCAAGTATTAAAACGATTGATGGATTCTAAATGTAACTCGTCATAATATTGATTTTTGAAATGACAGAATAGAATATTATATGTTCACAACTGCTAATAAATTGACATCACTGATTTCTAATGAGTTGGTATTTGATTTAATTACTGTTACATATTTTCGGGGACAGATGTCCGACAGAACGATATAGAAATACGTAATGTATGCTTCGTCACTGAAAGTGAAATTAATAAAAGTATGTTGTACATGTATATATAACAATTGACAAGCGGCACAGAGATGAAGTCTTCACTGAAAATGAAATTGTATGATCAACTTATCAAACCCGTTGCTTTATACGGGTCGGAAATATGGTGTACTGATATATATACCAAGCGTGACTGCCTAACTAATAGAGATATTGAACATAAATACGAAAGTGCTTTAATTGAAAACAATCATATTCGGTTCCAAAAATATGTTCTCGGAGTTCATAGAAAAGCCACAAACATGGCAGTAAGAGGAGAATTGGGAAGAATACCTTTGGTAGTCGATATTATAAAAAGACAAATCAAATACCTCGGTCATTTAGAGTTGAGTGCAAATGGGAGTTTACTAAACGATTCATTAATTATGAGTAAAACATTTGTTTTAACAAATAACACATTTACATGGCACAAACAACTCAAAAATATACTGTGCCATATTAAAATAAAAATGTCTGATGAATTGAATCTTGAAGATAAGGTAAACATAGAGAAGAGCACAAATAGGCTTGCTATTAAAGTCAAAAAGAAATTAATAGAGAGATATCAAGTATATTGGAAGAATCTGATAAGTGGGAATGGGGGGAAACTTAGATTATTTAAACAACTAAAATCGCACTTTGGGTTTGAACACTACCTTTCAGAAACGAGACTTTCAAACGCTAAACATTTAACTAGATTACGTATAAGCGCCCACAATCTAGAGATAGAGAGAGGCCGATATACAAAACCAATTACTGATCTTAATAGTCGATTTTGTAAAATATGTAAGGACTCGGTTATAGAAGATGAAACACACTTTTTATTCAAATGTAAAAAATTGGAGTTTATCAGAAAATCCCATATTGAAAAACTTGAAAACCTGTGTAGTAATTTTAAAAACATGAATGATCACCAAAAGACAATTTTTCTATTGACGAGTGAGGGGATCATATTAAAAGAAGCTGCTGACATGATAAAGTATCTAATGATTGGTAGAGACAGGATTCTTATATCAAAGTAACATTTTATATATGTCATTTGAAGAATGTAATCCTATTTTCTTTACTTTATTGCTATATTTACTGTTATTAAAAATTGTATATCGGATGTACGTTTGGCCCTAAAAGGGCATCAGTACTAATAAAATCCTATATCTATCATGTATATTTCAGATTTTTATATCAATTTATTGCTCTGATCCGGCAATATATGAGTGTGAAAATCTCACAAATTAAAAACATGAAAAACATTTTCTAATCCTGAGAAAATGAGTACCATAGTATGTTTTTGGAACTTGGAAAAAAGGTAGAATGTACGTAGAACCTCAGTTAGTATGGAATACAACTGTTATTTACAGTCGGTTTTGGATAAAAGGTTTATCCCTCGGGAAATATGTGTATCTCCCTCGGTCCCTCCCTTGGGCCGTCCCCATCCAAAATTTACATTTTCCAGGCGTTCAAATAATAAATATGGTATCATGATGAGCAGAGAATGTCGGCTTATCGGTCAGCTGAGTGGTACTGGTGCCTCTTTATTTCTTTACGAGAACCAGATCCATTTCAATAATACGCCAACGACGATTTGTTACCGAAACTGTCTATTTAGGCTAAGCAGAGACATATAAATTTCTCTGGCCTAAGCTTATTCATTGCCTCATATAAGCAACGAAAGATCACGTAAGATCTTTTTATTGAATTAAGAATGAGCTTTCTCATATTCTAAAGTTAACCTTTTCAAAACTAGGTCTAAATGTTTTAATTGGTGTTTACAAATCAATAATCATGTCCTGGTGACAGTATGAATGTTATTTTGAAGAATGGAAAATTTCATGTGAGACGTTAATAATTGTATCATCATTCGTACACAAAATGTATAATCACAGAGCCAACCTGTTGGCTTTGCTTGACACATAATTTCTTTATCACTTTATTTTTATGTTTTCTAAAACAAAAACTTTATATCACATAATTTAATCTTATCCTTGTGTATTATATTTTATACGTATGGCAAACTATATTTATACTAAAATGTATTCTCTCATATAAATGAGGCAATAAATATACAATACAATTAAGGATCTTGCTCGGTGATATCCGGGTAACTCGCGAAACTTCTCCTGAAAACACAATTAGAAGCTTCAATTTGCAAGATCTGTTTATGCATACGGTAATATAAATAGACTAATTTGAAAGGAACCAATGAGTTACACCCAGTATTAACACTACATGTATGTATTCATGGTTAAATAATTGTTAATCCCCTCTCCTCCTCGTGATACAAACGCCTCAATCAAGACCATTCTCGATTACAAATGGAAAACAGAAGCACAATCAATTTTTTCAGAAAATGTGCCCAATATATTTCTCTAAATGATACAATTTTAAAAAATTTGATATCATTTTTGAAAAAGAAAAAAAAAGAAAAAAAGAAAAAAAAACTGAATTGAAAACTGAGGGGAGGTCCAAACCGAACTCTGTTATCTTGGTTCAAAAACTATTCAAAATCCAGCATGGTTTTGTCATTTTTTGTTTTGTCATTTCCTGTTAACTTCCATGGCACCTTAAACTTAACTGATTTATTTAAGCGAATCTAAATATGTATTTAAGGTATCAAGTTTCAAGATTCGTTCAGTAAGAGACATGTATGTCTCTGGTTCAGGAGTATCACAATGGCAACATCTTTTTATCTAACTTCTGGACCATCCTGTACATCATACCTTTTCATTGAGTACGTGCACTCTCAAACAGATACTCAGTACTGCGCATGCGTGATAACACAACCACTATCGCCACGGGAAGTATTGACGATAATTTAGATTTTTACATCTGTACATTGTTATTTTGTGCCGATCTTCCATTTTCACAATTAAAAGCGGAGGCGTATATAATTGCAAATAAATATGCTATAGTTTGGTTGAATATAAATATTCAATTTCCACATAAATTTCTCAATTTCCACTTCGATATCAAGTCTTTCATTGTATGATTATCTTTCAATTTTGTTCATAATGTGTTATTAGATATTTCCTGTAAAGTCGATTGCATATACACTCCCCTTTAGAAGTTTCACAACACTAAATCACATTTTGGACCACTGATTGAGACCTGGTTATGTTCGGTAATATTGATACCTATTCAGCTTTGTCATTTTCTGTATTAATGCATTTGAGGAAAACAATTTAAAGTCAAATAAAAGTATACTTTTACACGCTTTAATCCTAATGTTGAGTTAGTTGCCAGTTGCCAAACTTTTGAAAGGTGGGGGGGATGTAAACGTTTTGTGCACATATGTTTTAAGTTAGGTACGTGGGCGCTACAGTAAGTAGCCTGCCTGGTGATCAGAGACTAGTTCATTAAGAAGAGAAAGCACCCTTTTAAAGCCGTTAAATCACACCATTTGAAAGGGAGTATATACAATAAGGATACATAAACTTGTAAACACAGAGGATCAGTGGCATATATTGAATTACTAATTGATTCTATTAACAAACTTGTGGTAGGCCTGTATATTTACATATAATCTCTCTTACATGTAGCTTACTAGATTTGGCAGTATAACTTCATCCAACATGGCAGGATCTTTCTGGATAACAAGACTAAGTCTGAACATCTTATTTACTAGTCTTTTAGCGACACAGATTGGATTCACCTCTGGGACACATTGTGAGAACATCACGGTATCACTCTGTACAGATGGCTTATCATATAACCAAACCCAAATGCCTAATATATTAAACCATAGGAACCAAGATGACGCGGGGTTGGAAGTGCATCAGTTTTTCCCACTTGTGAAAGTGCAATGTAGCCCTGTGTTACGGCATTTTCTCTGTGTGGTATATGCTCCACCATGCACTGTGCTTGATACACCAATTCCGCCATGCAGAGCGTTATGTAAGCAAGCCCGAGATGGATGTTCGCAGTTGATGAGTAGATTTGGATTTGCTTGGCCCGAAGGTTTAAGATGTGAACGTTTCCCCACTGAAGGACTCTGTGTTGGTGCCGACTCCACTCCTACGACGATCGCACCAACTACAACGAGAATTACAACCACTGAAGCTGCAGAAAACTGCCTTGAAACAGGTAGATATACGTGACAATGTTATATTTCAATATTTAGAAATACTAGTAACAGTTATTCAATTTTCTCCATCTCTACTTTTTCCTAAATCCATGACAGAACATATTTTTTCGGGGGTATTTTGGCGCAGTTTGATTGAACTGTATCTGTTCTTAAATAACAAACACCAAACAACAAAGAGACCATGGTTCGCGTACTAGAGTATTGGTTATTATAGATATTTGCAACTTCACGTTTGTGTTTATTTTAAGTACTATTTATTTATTATTGCTAATTCCATCCATAAATACTTAGCGTGTGTAAATATACACGTCATAAATTAACTCTGGGAAGCAAGGAATCCCCAGTCCATTTTAGTCAACAGAGCAAACCAAAATAGTCAACTATATAACGTATAACAGCGTATGCAGCGTTTGATCATCTGAATTTGGCTTATGTACATGATCTATTTACCATATTTACAACTTTTTCCCCTTTTTCGGTCATATTGAAAGACTTCTAAATTAATTCTAAACATTTGTGTTTTAGATGTGTCCACCTACAAATGGAAGTGTGATTCGTGTAGGCCAAAGTGGCGCCGAACACTTGTGAGATCGGTGTTTAAGAAGCAACTCCATAAATGTACAAACTGTTGTGCCACGCAGGGGTCTTCAAGCAGGAATGAGACAAGGTGTGAATCATGCGCCAAAGACAAACGAGGATTTGTGTGTTTCAAATGCGATTACTGAACTTCCACGCAAATCGTTCAGTACTATCCCGGGACTTTGAGCTATTAACAGTGTTTCGTTCGTTGCACTAATAGATGTTGTCATGTAATGTAGTAAAGGAAAATATAAATCAAATGTGTTAGAAAGCTTGTAACTGAAGTTATTTACTTCAACTTTTAATTCCTTTTGAATAACGTCATTTCCCAGCGACAGTGGGATCCCAAGGACTATACACTGGTGATCCACTCGATTACGCTGGTTAACAAAATGTCCAAACATCGAAGGTACGATTTTTCTTTTTTTCTTATTTCACACGTTGTAGTCAGAATTCCCACGACATTTTTACTTAAGTGAGGAATTAAATCGACGCTTCTGTTGTCTTCTGAGCTATTTTTTCGCAAGCATATACATTTTCTAAAACATATGATACTGATACACGTTTGTGAGAAAAAACTTCGTGGGAATTCTGCCTACAACGCGTGGAATAAGGAAAAAAGAAAAATCGTACCTTCCAAGTTCGTAGGGATGGGATTGTACAAAACAAACTGCTCTGGAGATGGGCTGACCTGCTACTGACCTGCCAGATGTTTAGTACTATAAATATATAATATACAAGCTCGTTGATTTGTTTGACAATAAAATCATTGAACAAGAAACACACTGACCAACCCAACAACTGGGCAAAATTCCACTGACAACAGGTAACTTCACCATGACAAAAATAAGTGACGTCATATATTATTACTTTTGAAACAGAGTCTATGACGTCATCTCATCTTCAGGAAAGGACGTCATACAATGAACAAGACAGTACAAACAATCGAAATTCTAAGAAATCGTCCTAGCAACGACAACAAATGAATGTTTACTCTCTTCACATTGGCAAAGTATTTTCGCACGACAAGAGCGTACTATAACTACGAGGCAAAGATGGTGTTTCAGAAGCTTAGAGCGGCGTGGCAACGCTTTAAAAAAGGCTTAACGAAAAAGAAAGATGTCGTCGTCATAACATCTAGCATTGGAACATCAACAGATGTCGCTATACCTGTTGACTACGAAGGTAAGTAGGCCAGAAACGAAATCAACCAACCAAGTCAATCACTGTTCCTGATTTCCTAGGATAGCTATGTAACAAAGCATTTGCTTTGGTGAGACATCGCCGAACTAAAACAAAGAATATTACGTCAAAAATTATGATGTCATACGATTTGTGTTGTTTATTACCATGGGTTTTTATTCTGTTTTATACTCTATAATTTATCTCGTGCATTTTTTACAATGGCTGCTATTTCCTTTATGATAATCCTCTTTATGAGTAACAATGTAAAACATGATACATACATTTGAAAAATACATTGCCCCGTCCCCTCATCCCGAAGATCATGAACATCTTCACTCGGCCTATTAATATTTTTATAAGTCCAAGTACTTTCAGAAATACAATTCATTTTTGATTTTTTAAGGCGTATACTTTAGTCACTAAAGCTTTCTGTTCACAAAATAAATTTGCACCGCAGATAAGCTTACATTCTTTCTACGCCATGACATCCGTGGCCGATTCCCCATGTGTCCGCAGTGACGTAGCAAAACATGTAGGCAGAAACGTAATACGTAGTGTTTAACCCCAATGTTGGCGGGGGATGACCTCCCTCTGGATTTCTCCCGGAACTTTTCTGCCATGAAAATATTTTGCCGTCTATAGACTTTGTATAAAAAAAACTCCTAACTCATACCCACTTACCCACATACACGTGGGACATGACACAGTCTTTGAAGGGTTCAATTTTAAAGATCTTAGTTTATTAAATCTTAGTTTATGATGAATTATAGATGCATTTGTAACGACCCTTGATAGCAAGTTGCTACTACATCCCAGCTGGGTTCGATTCCCACTCGGGGCATCGAATTTAGCACACTTTCTTTCAATTTCTTTATCTGACTTGTTAGACCTATGCCCGCGGTCGTTAGTTATTTATTCCCCTGGGGCGCCATCGGGTCATTACACATTAAAATGCATCCATATGCCTTTATTTATGGATCTGTCATCTGTCATCTGTCTAGTCATAAAATAAAGCCTGAATTGTAGAAATGTTAATAATTTGAGCTATTTTGAGATTTAATAATCTTTAAAATTGAACCCTTCAATGACTGTATCATGTTCCACGTAAGTGGGTAGGTGGGTAGGAGGTAGGAGGTTTCTATACAAAGCCGTCCTATAGCTACAGAAACGGTTTGGGTAAAAAGTGCAGATCTTAACCGTTTTTCGAAATACCGTTTCTGTAACTTATGTGAGGTATTAAATCGATGATTCTGTTGTCTTCTGAACTATTTGTTCACAAAGGAGGAGGGAAATTAGCGCAACAGATTTTGTACAGTCATATGTTGGATTTTGGCCATTTTCTGAGGATTTAAACAATTGCATATGTTAGGCCAATGCATTACCTCCAGGAAAATCACTTCTAGAGATGATAAAATAATTTTGACTTTGAGTCAGGTTAGATGCAAACAACCCAACCACATGATTTTTCTGAAATGTTTTCCTATTTTCCGATCCCTTCCATCCCTGCTTTTTTAATTTTTCTTGCATCAATATGTTGCATTTTGACACATAGTTAACCACTTTAAAGGAATAAGTGATTCCTTCAGGGGTTTTAAAGATACCCATTATGGGTGACCAAACTTAGCTGAAAGCAATGATTTTTCCTATGGGAAAATAACATGGGAAATATTGTTTTCCACTTTATCTAAATGGAATCATTTATTCTTTTTAAGGGATCAACTGTGTGTCAAAACGCAACATATTGATGCAAGAAAAATTAAAGAAGAAAGGATGGAAGGGGTTGAAAATCAGGAAAACATTTCAGAAAAAACATGTGGGTGGGTTGTTTGCATCTACCCTGTCTCAAAGTCAAAATTATTTTATCATCTCTAGAAGTGATTTTCCTGGAGGTAAAACATTCGCCTAACATATGCACCTGTTTAAATCCCCAGGAAATGGCCGAAATCCAACATATGACTGTCCAAAATCTGTTGCGCTAACTTCCCTCCTCCTTTGTACATTTTCTTAAACATATGTTACTGATACACGTTTGTGTAAAAAATGCCGTGAGAATTCTACCTACAAGGTGTGAAATAAGGAAAAAAGAAAAATCGTAGCTTCGATGTTCCGACATTTTGTTACCGCAATCGAGTGGATCACCAGCGAAGATACATGTTAACGCAAATTCCAATTTGTTGTACCTTACCGTTACCGCGCGTTATACCGTATACTACATTCGGAGTTTGTGTAAGTTTAACTATGAGATTCACCATTAGGTTTACTCTCTAGGATGTTGGTACAGACATTTACATATAAAAATATCAAGAAACTAGACCACATCTTTCTGAAATTATGAAATCATCTGTTTGCTCACATTTTATCACCCTTGTGTTGTACCGTACCCCGCGCGTTCAACTGTTATGCTTAATTTGGTACGTACCCTGTGTTAAAAGCGGGTAAAAGTAGCCATTCGTCACACTTCGTAAAACATTCGCAACAATAAATAGTTATCTATACATAATTACCATTCGTTATGTTTTGAAATTATGTAACAGTTTCGCTCAAGATTCGCTAAAATTGACAAAATCCCATGCATCGGGCTGCGCTTGGTCGCTATATGTGAGGAGGCGCGCTTTTACCACATATATAACAACTACCAGAAATGACGTTTTACAATCATAAAATTGGTTTTCTAACATATATTAATTTGCGTAGTGCTGAATTTACACTTTCTTTCGCCCCTGATATGCCAAAAGAGAATCCCATATCATGATATCCATATCCCCTGTCAACGACACGACTCCTTTATCATTTCAGCACTAAAAGTGGTGAAATATAAGTATTGTTATGGTATCCAACATTTTGTGTCGGCGGTTGGCGTTTCGTGTCTGTAATAAATACTCTTACAACTTCTAATAACTTAACAAGATACTGTTCAGACTGACTTCAATTTTTTTCAAAATTATCTTCAAGTTCACTTTAGATTTGACCTTCAATGACATTCTTAAGGTAAAAAGGGTCAAAAAGGTTTCAACTTGCTTCAAATTGACTATTTTTCGAAAGCATGTACAAGTTGTCAGAAATTCGACTTTAGATTTGATATTTGACCTCCAATGAACTTCTCCAGGTCAAAATTTGTCAAAATGGTATTTTTCAAATCGACCAAAAATCATAAGTTCTCGGAAGTTCTAATTTGACTTTGAGAATTGACCTTCAGTGACCTTCTCAAGGTGAAAAAAGTCAAAAGGTTCTTTTGCAACTTGCTTCAAATTGACCATTTTCAAAATCATAAGTTCCAATCTGTTTCTAGATTTGAACTCACAATATTGTGACCAACCAGATGGTGATATTACATTTTTTCACGTTAATGCATTGTTCATTTCTTTGGGAGCATATTTAGTATATTTCGAGTCCGGCTATTTCGAGTCCGAGTCTCGAGTCCCGATATCCTTTATCCCTACCAAAAGGGCAGTCCCTTTATCTTCCGCTATCAAGTATTCTCTGAGAGCACATTTGACATTCAAATCCTTATTCTGTATAAGCCATTTAGATTAGTTTTATGTTCAACGTCCTGACGAAGGACCAAATCTTAAGAGGGAGGCCAGAACCTTGCAGTGACTATTATAGGTAATAGACAATTCCTTGAAAATGGTATAATAACATGGTGGTTTGTATTTACAGTAATCAATGCAAGTGAAATTCCGTTCCTGCAAAAGTTTCTGTTGAAAATACAGGATGATATCAAGATTGAGAAAGCCGAACAGCAAAGGTTGAGACTTGAAATGGCTGTCGTGGCGTTTGACATCAAGCAGATTAAAGCTTCTATTGGTAAGCCTCTTTTTGGTAGTAGTCCCCTCCTTATAATCTGCATAGTCTCTCATATCTAATGCTGTTTGACCAACAGCGCTGTACATGAATATATTAATAGCGCTATGCATTTCTGTTTGAGAGCAAATATGCTGTGTCAATTGATTTATAGGCTGTGTCAATTGATTTCCAGAATGTGTCAATTTATTCCTAGGCTGTGTCAATTGATATATTGGCTGTGTCAATTGATTTCCTGGCTGCGTCATTTGATTTCTAGGATGGGTCAATTGATTTCTTGGCTGCGTCATTTGATTTCTAGGATGGGTCAAATGATTTCTAGGTTGTGTCAATTGATTTCTTGGCTGTGTCACTTGATTTCTTGTCTGTGTCAATTGATTTCTTGGCTGTGTCAATTGATTTCTTGTCTGTGTCAATTGATTTCTAGGCTGTGTCAATTGATTTCTAGAATGTATCGATTGATTTCTGAGCCGTGTCAATTGATTTCTTGGCCGTGTCAATTGACTTCTTGGCTGTTCTAATTAATTTTTTGGCTGTGTCAATTGATTTCTTGGCTGTGTCAATTGATTTCTCGGTTGTTACAATTTATTTCTAGCCCGTGTCAATTGATTTCTAGGCTGTGTCAACTGATTTCTAGACTTTATCGATTTATTTCCGAGCCGTGTCAATTGATTTCTTGGCTGTGCCAATTGATTTCTTGGCTGTGTCAATTGATTTCTAGTCTGTGTCAATTGATGTCGTGGCTGTGTCAATTGCTTTCTAGTCTGTGTCACTTGATTTCTTGGCTGTGTCAATTGATTTCTTGTCTGTGTCAATTGATTTCTAGGCTGTGTCAATTAATTTCTAGACTGTGTCAATTGATGTCTGAGCCGTGTCATTTGATTTCTTGGCTTTGTCAAGTGATTTCTTGGCTGTGTCAATTGATTTCTTGTTTGTGTCAATCGATTTCTAGGCTGTGTCAATTAACTTCTAGAATGTATCGATTGATTTCTGAGCCGTGTCAATTGATTTCTTGGCTGTGTCATTGATTTCTAGGCTATGTCAATTGATTTTTTGGCCGTGTCACTTGATTTCTTGGCTGTGTCAATTGATTTCTACAAACTATATTTTATTAAAGATCGAATTTGCCATTCAAATTGGATAAAAGACTGCAGATTTGAATATACTTGAATTATGGTTTCAGCTTCTAAGAAGGGAGACAAAAGGGCGAAAGAAGAGGCAAGAGGAGTAGCTGCATTGCAAGTAAATGTTGTGCAAGTAAAACTACAAGAAGAGATTCCGATCCTGGAACCTGAGTTGAAAAATCCATTTCCGGGTGGTGAAAACACGTGGACTGATGACGGAGACAGCCTTTCGATAGTATCATGGTCGGATACAACGTCTATCACTCGTTTTAGTACAAGTCCACGTTCGCAATGTAACTCCTCATCTCTGACTGTGGTCACGGAACTATCACAATCAGTTTCGGGATTCTTCAGTCCACGTGAGATAAGTTCTGCAAGAAGTTCATTGTCAGATTGCAGTATTGAATTCCTAAATGATGGTCTAGGAAACAGTAAAAACTACAGTTGCAAATCGGTTGAATTGAGCATTAGCACGTGTGAATTGTACACTGGCCCCTCTCACAGCCCCAGATTCTGCGATCGATCAGACAAAAGATCATGGCTAGGCGTCAGTCCATCACCCTCTTTAAGTTATGGCAAAAATAGCAGAGACAGTAGAACGTCCATGATTCCAGCTAGCAGTCCAGGGTTAGATTATAACATAAACCTCCCAACAGATGGGCCTGATTATCGCCGTAGTCAATCAGTTGAACTGAAACTTAGTCCTTTTGAAGTTCACGCACCAACCATGAGTGGCTTCTCTCGCAGCCCTAGATTCAGCAGAAACCAATTAAGCATTAAATCAAGGCAAGAAATCAGTCATTCAACTGCAGAATGGCCTACGATTGAATTTATGTTCGAAACCAAGACTAACCCCGTAGAAGAAATCTTATCTTGTAGTAGCCTCGATTTTAACACATGCAAATCGGTTGCAGGATCTCTCCGTCAAAAGGACATTGTGTCTGTAACTAGTCCAGTGATAGACGACGACTTCAAATTCCCGATTAACAGGCCTGATGACTGCCGTGGTGAATCTAGACAACAGAACCCAAATCCATGTGAACCGCACACACCAATCATAAGTTGCTCTTCTCGAAGCCTTAGAACGTACAGTTACCAATCAGGCAAAGAATCATGGCGTGAAGTCAGTCAATCAACCATGAAAGAAGAATCTTCAGTTAATCTGAAGACACAAGAGATTGGACCTTTGTTAAACTTCACTCCTTTTGATCTACCAAGGCAACGAAGGGTAGAGTGCTACTCAAACCACTTCATGAATTCAGAACGGGAACAGATCATGGGAAAAGAATCTCGCCTACCGAATCCTGTTTGGCCGTCCGTTTCGCCAAAAGACCACCAACAGGTCTTACCATACACGAGCCATATAAATAACACGTGTAAACCAGTTTCAGGGTCCCTAAGTTCAAGCGACTTCACTCCCTCTAGTAGGCTAGGAATAAATTATGGCAGTCAGACTGGTATTAATTATCCAACCGCAGGTCCCGACTACTTCCGTAGCCAATCAGTCGGGTTGTTTCCGCACATGGATCTTGCATACGGCAAGAGTAGAACACTGAATGACGGCAATACAACTGATTTGAATGGCCCCTCCCACAGACCTAGATCAGTGCACGATATTGGTATCCATTCTCTACATTCCTCGACGAGACCAGATGCTGGACGTGACAAAGCAACTTCCGAATTTCACATCAACCTAGACTTTCTTGACGAAGATGATGACCAATCGAGGGTTGGATCAGTGCAGAATCTCAGCGTTCGATCCCGACATCCCTCGACGAGACAAGATGCTGGACGTGACAAAGCGACTTCCGAATTTCACATCAACCTAGACTTTCTTGACGAAGATGATGACCAATCGAGGGTTGGATCAGTGCAGAATCTCAGCGTTCGATCCCGACATCCCTCGACGAGACAAGATGCTGGACGTGACAAAGCGACTTTAGATAATCGCATCAACAACCTAGACTTTCTTGACAATGATGATGACGGTATGAGCGACGGACACTACATGCACGCACTGCACGCACAACGAACTGTAGAATACTGTGAAAGTCCAGACATTGTGTATAGACCGCCACGCCCTTCCATGGTCACGTATGCTAGAATTGGTGAATCTGGAGACACGTGCACATGCTCAGCCCCACACTCTCACACAGGGGCATCTGGGACGAATGGAATGACGTCAGTGGAGGATTAGACTAAAGATTTATTAAAGTGCAATAGCAATTTATTACAATTCCTCAAATGCCTCATACCTTCAAACATGCAACATGGGATATAGGAAGAGTAAATTTACGGAGGTATAAGACGTTGAACAATTGAAATACATGGAGCGCAATGATAGTGTCGGTGCGCAAAGCGGGACTATTTGTGGAGGTGATGTGCGCATGACGTCGGCGTGCCGGTGAACGTCTTTACTGTCAAAAGCCTATAATGAACATGTGATCAAAATGTGATCCAAAAATTGAATATGAATATGCACTGCACGAGAGACAGTATTTGAGAACGTAATGTTCTGGGAAATCTGAGTTGTTAAGCTTTTGTATGAAAATATTAAATACCAACAAAAATGTATTTAAATTTTGTGTTCAATTTTTAAAACGTCACGCGTGTAGCAGTTATTATTGCACCGTTGTTTCATTAACCGGGTATTTTTGAATACCTAATTTGTTAATTAAGTCTTATGATTGATTACGGGTATGGTGCGTATGGGGTCTGCGCATTATACAGAAACCCATTATACCGACGCGCATTATACCGAAACCCATTATACCGACGCGCATTGTACCGAAAGGCGTTACACCGAATGCAATAATCACTGTTCCACAACTAGTTACTTTGACAGAACGTCAATGTAACAAAATGGATGAACTTCCTGGTTACGAATTTTTTGCTTTCTCGATTTAAACCTACTAAAAAGTCAAGTTGCAGATTATAATTTGGCCCAAAGCTAGAAAATATAGCCTAGTTTTAATAAGTTTCTTCGATTTGGAATTTGTTTTGTAAATGAAGCTGTAATTCATATACTAAGCCCCTCGCTTTTGTTACATTGACGAAAGCCTGTTATATTACCAATGTATGTTACTTTGTCAATGGGGATTTAGCCCGACCATTTTTAGAAAACTTGAAAATCTCTAGAATTTGAATAAAGGTAAATATCAGTGCAAAAACTAAGTTGTTTTGATAGAAAATTACACACAGAATTCAAATAGAAGAAAATGTTAGTCTTTAGTGGTTAAAAATGCAGATCTCCTAAAATCTCATTAAAATGAGACCTTAACGAGATTTTAAAGCTATATGGAAATGCCACTATTAGATAGATGCCTTCACTATAGGCTATTCTCTGTACTTGTGTTCGTGCCTCATTTTGAGTAGCGAGTGCAAATTCTTTTCGGAAACATGATTTTGTTTTCCCTGTAATATGAATTGGAGATATCTGACAAAATTGGATAGCCTAAAAAATAAATTTTGTGTTTTTGAACATGCGGACATATCTTGAACACTTTGAAACTGAAGTACAGTTCCTAGGTCGTTCAGTTTTCTTGTTTTTGTTCTACACAACACTAGTTTTAAATAGCCACGCGTAATTATTAATAAGCGTAATCAGATTATTTCAAGCGTTGAAATAGCTTATTTTCCTCGAAGTATCTACGCAAACCTTTTCACTAACCGTTAATTGAGCGATCTAGATGCGTCAATTATAATTGTTTTCACTCATCGCCTATAGTGGCCCGCGATACCTTTTATTTCATTCATTTGAGACGCAATTGATATATTGGCAACAAATCAAATGTTCTAAATGATTCTTCATTTTGGAAAGTTTCTTCTACCCGATATTCAAAGATGTGTCTTAAATATTATACTTTACATTGATCACGATTCTTGTAATTTCCGTCTTTACGAATCCCGATCACATTTGTAAGAGTTGTTGATTGCATTGCCTTGATCGTTGGTCGAACTTCGATTCCAACTAAATCAGATTAATCAATTAAGAAATGTAATATCATGTTTATCCAAGCAAATAATTGTAACAACTACATTATTTTTAGCAGTTTTGACACCTAAGCAGGGTAGCCTAGTGGCGTAGACTGAGGCTACTTTGCGGTTGAACGTCGTGGGATACGGAGGTCCCGCGTTCGAGCCCCAGGTACGGAGTTGTTGATCATTGTCACTACGGACACCCGGTCCGAAGGTCCAACCGTTTACCGGCCCTTGGCATGGGTTGGTTCTCTGGCCGCTCTTGCCGGAGACAGATTGTGAGACTGTGGTTGGTTCCTCCACTAACGTGCTTTAGTAAACTCCGGGAGTCATATAGTATGGTAGCGGGCCCCCAACAAGGGCAGTAGTGGAACGACGCGAATCGGTCCCAGTATAGTTGCCTTGCAACTGAAGAGACTCGAGGAAATCATGCCATTCGCAGTGACCCAGAAAAGACTTTTGCTTCTTAATTTGACGTTTTAATTCATTTATTTACATACTTGATTCATATTACTTTCCAGGCAGTTATGATTTTTATTGGTCAAATCAAGATAGTATCAAAACCATAATTCGATTTGTCGGACATTTATAAAATAATACTTTAAAATACAACACACATAGCTGCAATATCCTTCGCACTTGGCACAATCGGTTCCCATGCTCTATCATTTTGTGCGGTCATCATAATATAAGGAGGTACGGTTGATTGGACCATGGGCTTTCAACAGAGTCAAGAAATTGGCATGGATACTTTGAGAAATGAGGTAGCAACAAAAGGAAACACCAGAAATAATCCAGAAATGTCCACACCATTTTTTTCGTTAGTTATGGCAAGACCCCGGAGGAAAAACAGCATTTGTGGGTAGCTTAATTTTTGTACCTTAATACCTATTTATTACAGGTCGTGTAGACCATTGTTGCCCGATTTATAGCAAAAACATTGACTTTTGCACGTTGGTGATGATGCGCCTTTTTAATAGATCTCAATTCTTAGAAGGGTATCAGTTCAAAAGAAATACTAGATGACCTAACATATTTTGCCATGCACTGCGCCTATTCATTTAGTAAATTCAGTTGTAAATTTTCTCTTGAAAAATAATCTTCCTTTGTTGAGTTTTCTTGCAGAAATCGCCTTATCCCCCTCCATCATTTTTATACGATCACAGGGCGTGTGAGCCAAAATATCTCGTAGTCGTATTTGCTTATTATATGAACTCCTTTGTATTTCCGTTTAAACACGATGTCTACATGAAGAAACTGACGGAGTACTTCGGGACTTTTTTCGACATCCATTTTGAATTTTGACACATCTCGCACATTTAGGATGCAAACAGTTTTATATTTTGTGTCTAATTAAACGAAAATTGAACCTTAAAGTTTGAAACCGACAGTCATTTTGAAATCGGCTTTTGCGGAGAACATGATCTCAAATGAGGCATATAAATCTGAAAAAAATTGAATCCAAAAGGCTATGTTGTGCTTAAAATACAGTAAAATTGACACTAAAATGGCGACCATTTTGAAACTGGTGGCCATTTTGAAAAGGGTCCTTTGAGCAAAACAATTGTACTCGCATGAAGCATATAAATCTGCAATCATTTCAGTCAAAATATTGTCTTAGAGCACATGGGACGGGGGTACCATAGCCTATGCCATAGGGTATGCTATGCCATGGCACCGTGCCATGTTTTGTACTAACCCCTCCCAAAGGGTTATATGAGAATGTAACGTAGCCTCAAATATTTGACAATTGCGACTAGGGATTATTTAAAAACCGAATACGACAAATAAGTGCTTGCAAATGACAATTCTGAGCATTCATCTGAGTGAAAAGTATTTTGAAGTTACAAACTACTAAGCTATTCGTTCTGATATATGGATACACGTGGATAAGACTTATCCAGACTAGAAATCAAACTGAACAAAAATTGAACACAACAGACTATTTATTGCCTAGAAATGAATGAAACGAGCAAAATATGACTAAAAAGTTTAAATCTGTCATGTGGCAATTTTGGAGCTTCGAATAAGACGTGACCCTATTCACTCTTGGGGAGCCCTCGACTCAACAATTGGGCAAAATGTCCACTGTAAACAGGTAACTTCACCATGACAAAAATAAATGACGTCATATATTATTAATATTGAAACAGAGTCTATGACGTCACCTCATCAGAAGAAGATGACGGCACACAATGAGCCTGACTGTACAAACACTCGAAATTCTAAGAAAACGTCATAGCAACGACAACAAATGAATGTTGACATTCTTCACATTGGAAAAGTATTTTTATACGATAACACCGTGATATATAATACAAGCGAAAATGGGCTTCAAGAAGTTACGATCGGCGTGGAAACGTCTCAAGATATTCTTTACAAAGAAGAAAGATGTCGTTATATCAACATCCGTTGGGACTTCGACAGACATGAGTACTGGTTCACATGTTGACTACGAAAGTAAGTAGCCCATATCAGATCATCACCAAAAACAGTCGTTCATGTTTTCCTTTGCTACGTAACAAAAGCCTTTGTTTTGGTGAGATATCGCCGAACTAAACAAAGAATATATTACGTCAGTATTATGATATCATATGATTTGTTTCATTTATTACCACGGGCTTCTAATTATTGTTTACACTAATTTTATATAGGCCAATTTTCCAATACAATTTTCTACAATGGCTGCTTCCATACTGTTTGTATGATAATGCTCTTTTTGAGAAACAATGTTTTAAACACGTCATGATTCATTCATTCGAAAAACATATTGCTTCCCATCTACCTGAAGATCTTGATAATCTCCATATTAATCTTACATAATATTTTCATATTTCAATATTTCACCGATCCATGGTCATTTATTTTTTCTTCTAAATAAGCAATCTACTATTACCCTCATTGGCTATTCCCCATTTCCAGTGTTCAAGATTGTTCCTCGTATTCCTTATAATTGCGAACAACAGCCTCTCTCTCAATTTACTGAATTTGGCTTTTGGGCATCCAAGGTTGTAACTAAAATTTTATGAGGCAAGCACCAAAGACTTTCAAAAATAGAGTGAATTTTTAAAATTTTGGACCTACTACTTTGATGTTTTGCGCCCATAAAATACATTTGCATTAATATGTTTATATTCTACGTCCTGAGTTCATGGACTTCTATCGTCACTCAACTGCGCTATCAATTTTCTCTGGGAGCACATTTAAACTTTATTTAGAGTCTGGCTACGCCTCTGATATCATTTACCACAACCAAAATGCAAGTCCATCTATCTTCCGCTATCAATTTTCTCTTTCATAGGCACAAAATACATTTCCTGAAAAGGGTAAAAAATGGTGATTTATATTTGCAGCAACTAATGAACGTGACGACCAGTTCCTACAGAGGTTTCTGTTGAAGAAACAGAAAGAGGTCTCTGATGAGAAAAGACGCCAACAGAAGATGAGGTTCGAAATGGCTGAACTTAAAGTTGCTATTAAGCGGCTGGAGGCTACTATTGGTAAGCCCCTTGTTTTGAGAAAATTTTCCTTACTTTTAGTCATACATTGTCTTTCAACTATTTGAAAAGTGAAGCTCATTGATCAGTTTTGACTTGGGATCATGTACACATGGCTTGCATAATATTAAAGCTACTATTGGTAAGCCCCTTGTTTTGAGAAAATTTCCCTTACTTTTAGTCATACATTGTCTTTCAACTCTTTGAAAAGTGAAGCTCATTGATCAGTTTTACATCATATGACTTGGGATCATGTACAAATGGCTTGCATAATATTAAAACTACTATTGGTAAGCCCCTTGTTTTGAGAGCATTCTCCCTACTTTTAATCCTGCATTGTCTTTCGAATTTAACGCAGTTTGCGCAATTTGAGCAACAATGAAACCCATTTGCATCATACGTATATTTGGGATCACGTACAAGTGTCTAGCATAATATTAAAGCTACTATTTGTAAGCCCCTTGTAATCAGTGCAAACAAAACACAATTTATGATACAATACAATACAATTTTTAATACACAATAATACAATACATTACAATACAATTCAATACAGTACAATACAATACAACACAATACTTAGAAATACAATACAAAATGGATGTGTATCGATATTCTGAGTTCGGCCTGCACACGTACGTTTTCAACAACGATTTTGATCTTGTAGCGCCTGTAAGTATTTGTCAAGGACGAAGAGTAAGCCAGATTAGATGAACAAAACGGGTAGTTGAAAATATATTCTTTAACAGGGAGACCAAAAATACTTGAAATAGAAAATGTCAAATAAAAATTTCCGATGAAATCTCATCCATACTCTCAATTTATAAAGACATACATTTTTCTAATTAGACGAAAACCTGTAAGTTTAAATATGCTTTAATTTTGGTTCCAGCTTCTAAGAAGGAAGAAATAAGGGCGAAAGAAGAAGCAAGAGGGTTTGATACAAGAGAGCTAGTCCGATTGCAAGCAAATGTGCAAGTATGCGATGACCGATCTAGCAAAGGACAGGGGCTAGATGCCAGTCCATCGACATCTCAAAAACGGCCAACTATTTCGCCAAAAATTGGATTGATGTTGGAAACCCAGCCTAACTCCGTAGAAGAGAGTTTGATCTGTAGAAGCCGAGATTCTAGTACATGCAAATCAGTTTCAATATCCTTCCGTCAAAAGGACATTGTTTCTGTAATCAGTCCAGTCGTAGATGACGACATCAAAATCCCTACTGACAGACCTGATAACTGCCGTGGCGAATTTGTGCAACAGAAGCGAAGACCATGTGAATCACCCACATCTTCCGTGAATCGCCCCTCTCGAAACCTTAAACCCTACAGTTACCAATCAAGCAAAGGATCATGGTGTGAAGTCAGTGCATCAAGCGTTAAAGAAGAATCTCCAATCCATCTGAAGACACACGAGATTGGACCTTTGTTAAACTTCACCCCTCTTGATCTACCAAGGCAACGTCTGGTAGAGTGCTACTCAAACCACTTCATGACTTTAGAACGGGAACAGATCATGAGAAGAGAATCCTGCCTTCCGAAACCTGCCTGGCCGTCTATTTCGCCCAAAGACCATCAACAGATCAACAGTTGCCACACAAGTAACACATGCGAATCAATGCCAGGGTCCCAAAGTGCCTTCACACCCAATAGCTGGCTAGGAAATAATTACGGCAGTCAGACTGGCATTGATCATCCAACCGCTGGTCTCGAGTACTCCCGTAGCCAGACAGTTGGATTATTTCCGCACTTGGATCTTGCACATGGCAAGAGTAGAAAACCAAATAGCGGCAATACAGCAGGTGTGAATGTCCCCTCTCAGAGACCTAGATCGGTGCAAGGTCTTGGTATCCATTCTCTACATCCCTCGACGAGACCAGACGCTGGACTTGACAGACCGACTTCCGAATTGCACATCAACCTAGACTTTCTAGACGGTGATGACGATGACCTATCGAGCGCTGGATCTAGCGTTCACAGTTTTCGACCCCGACATTCCTCGACGAAATCAAATGCTGGACGTGACAAACCGACTTCCGAATTTCACATCAACCTAGACTTTCTTGACGAAGATGACGATGACCAATCGAGCGTTGGATCTAGCGTTCTCAGCGTTCGATCCCTACATTCCTCGACGAAACTAAATGCTGGACGTGATAAAGCGACTTCCGAATTTCACATCAACCTTGACTTCCTTGACGAAGATGACGATGAAAGTATGGACGAGGGACCCATGGCCAGTCCAGAACAAATGCATACACAACGAACTGAAGAGCATTGTGACAGTCCGGATATTGTGTATAGAACGCCACGCCCTTGCATGGTCACGTACACTAGAATTGGCGAATCCGGAGACACGTGCACACACACAGCCCCACACTCGCACACAGGGGCATATGGGATGAATGGAATGACTTCAGTGGAGGATTAGACATATAAGATTTATTAAAGTGCAATAGGAATTTATTACAACTTCTCAAACATGCGACATGGATATAGGAAGAGTAAAAGTCAATATAAGGCGTTGAACAATTGTAATACATGGAGCGCAATGGTAGTGTCGGTGCGCAAAGTGGGACTATTTATAGGTGATTTGAGCATTGCGTCAGCGTGGACGCCTTTACTGTCAAAAACCTATAAATGAACGTGAGGTCAAAATGTGATAAAAAATTAAATATGGATATACACTGCACGAGAGACAGTATTCGAGAAATGTTTAGAGGTAGTCGGAGTTGTTAAGCATTTTGTATAAAAATATTAAATACCAACAAAAATGTATTTAAATTTTGTGTTCAGTTTTTGAAACACCATGCGTTGCAATAATTTATCGCACCCGATGACCTTTGGAGATGTTTAAGTTAAAATACAGTATAACAATAAGTATCGCCAGCTTATCGGCTGATAGAGTGACCAGTAAAACAAACAATGAACATGATCCACTCCATATTCACTGTAGAGGATATCCTATGATTTTTGAGGGATTCCATTTTTATTCATGAGTGGATATCGTCCATCTCCACGAGTGAGCGCAGGGAATGAGTGGAGATCGGCGATATCCAAGAGTGGATAAAAATGATAGCCCGAGCAAATCATTGGATACCATAATCATCATATCGTCGCTATTTTTGTATGGACTTCAGATGATTTGACCTAAAAGTTGTTGTTTTCTAATTCTTTTCTAATTTTTCCATTTTATTGTCCGTGAACTCATTTTTACTGAGCACATAATCTTGGAACTATATTGTTGCAAATCAAACAGACAAGTGGTTATTTGCGCCAAATGCAAAACTAATGAAAAAATCGCATCCGACGAATGCTCTTGTTTTAAGACGTCGTATGAGTCGGATACGATTTTAGTGGCGCATATAAGAGGGGGAAAGCCCCAGAGCTTTAGCGATGACTGACATTTACGTCTCTTGCGTACCACCTTCGTTTGCGCAAATTCTCACCAGTAAGTAAGTTTTTTAATATAACGCGTCGTCGTGATGTTTTAAAGGGTGACGCATATCGTTTAGCAAATCGAACGCTCGTTTCTGGTGTTGCTCACCGTTTAGTATAAAAGGCCCGATCCCGGAATAATACTCAAGGGTTCACAGGTTCGATGTCGTTGTGTCAACACCTCTAACTGTTATATAGCATAAGTATATTATAGACCGTCACACATTTATAAAAGGGTGATTTTTATTTTGACAAATCAATTCCAAATTTATGGGTGAAGTTTCAGGATCTTCTATTTGTGTATAATAAGGAAAAATTGGCATCTAAATTTCCCCATAACGTAATAGCACACAGCTTGGCATATGAAATATCCTACAAATGAAACAAAGCAGTTCTAATACAAGGATTTATATTGGCTGTTGTACATGTACTGTTTGAACGCAATCACTCCATGGATAACGTTTTCAAAATCATTATAAACGGATTACTTTATCTCAAAGACAATTTCAATAAACTGGATTTTACCGAACTCCCCTTATTTCTTAAAAATGGACTGATCCAGTTGATTCGCCTGGAGCCGCCATATTGTTTTTATACGGGATGCTTATCGGAACCCTTTAAATCTTTCTTTGTCTTGATGTGAAATAACAAGCTATGATATTGGTTAAGACACCAGGAATTATCATAATAATATTCGAAGCGTTATTAGAAAATTTTGAATCCGCCATTTTTGTTTATCGATTTGGACCAATCAGAGGTGTGTGCAATCTCAATACAGGTTTACATTATAAGCGTATGTCATCTTTGAACTCTGGGGCTAATCCCCCCCCCCTGGGCGCATACCAAAATTATATTGTGTCGTTTTCCCCATACATATTTAGTATCCATCGGATAAATAGAGGATATCCTATGATTTATGATGAGTGATATGATTTTTATCCAAGAATGGATATGATATTTGCACGAGCGATATATATATCATGCTAACTATGGAATAATATGATATATACTGTATATTTGTAACGTGTTTTCTGCAGTACACACAAGTATTTACAAAATCATTTACATTTATTTACAAAATCCTTAAAAAGGAATATATATTTGCAAAAAATTCAATTACTATTCAGTATACATATATAATCTTGGAGCTCAAACCCCTCACATTAAATACTATTCTGATAAGACATAAATGTCCCTTTGTTTCACATCTTTTGAAAATATTTCATGCTGTGATTCACTTATTTGAAATTCGCCATTGGGATCGATTTAATCTAGGCTTACTTAGGTGTGTCAATACACCAATTATGTGTGTCAATTCACCACTTATATGTGTCTCTTTACACAGTTAACGAACTCTATTTGATTCAAAAAATGTTGACGAAAATAGGTGTCCAGAGTATTCTGTATCACTTTATATTTATATACCGTCGAATAAAATGTTTCGTTATGAAATCGTTAATATCAATAATATCAATAAGAAGTTGCCTCGATACTTCACTCCAGGTATCCCTACTGTGAGTTAGTTGTAGGACAAAACCAGCTCAAAACTTATGAAACAACCCTTGTATAGTTACATATAGCATTCCCAGCATCAATGTTCAAGAATGCTAGCGTTTTATATTTTTGCGCCGGGCGCTTCTTTTCAAGACATACGAGGGGTGATCATAAAGTTCCTCTTCATTGTGTTCTATTTTAGACACTTTCCCAGTTCTCGATTTATTTAGCTAGTCTTCGCTTTACTTCGATCTACAACAGCAATAATTGGGTCCCCAGCCACCTCCACAACCGTTGTATCTGTACATTTTCAAACCCAACTTTTCATATCCCGCCACTCCGTGAGCAAACTTTGGTCGGTTCCCGTAAACATGGAGAGAATTAAAGCACGTCATTCTGGAATGAAACATACAATCCATGAGAAACAATTGATAATCACATTATTTGATATTTCTTACACACCCTTTAGCACCAATATCAACCAGAATTGGTTTATGACAGGTAAACGGTGAAAAGAAAAAAAACACAGCTGAAGTTAAAGCAACTGAAAGCTTGTGAATCAAAATTCTAAACATTCTCGAGTAAAATTATGTTACTTGGTATATACAGGGTGTTCCAAAAGTAACAGGACTGGTGCTGGCATTTTGTCAATTTTGTACTGAGTATCTTCAAAGTCACAAATTGTACTTTGAAGTATTGCAACTTAAATTATAAAGTTTCAGAAAAAATGATGAAATGCAGCTAGAGTTATGGTTACTATAGTAACATGACATTCCAATACCCGGGGCAACTTTTTTCCTGAAAATGTAATATCTAACAGTTTTGTATTACTGACGAAAGTATCTAATTCACCAATTATAATACAACATTTCTTGTTTACTTTATTAGTTCCTTTGTTGTAAAGGTGTTGCTATACAACTCAAATTCAAGTATAATTTCATAATGATAAAAATATCTATTCAATTTCCTTGAATATCACTATGTATAACAGTCTGAACAATGCACGGTTGAGTTTTTGAAAAGACCAAAGGGGGGCGAGTTGTTTGTAGAATGAATCGGGGGATTTTTTTCATGAATTTCGCTTATGTTTTTCATCCAAAAAACATCAATACACTTTAAAACATTTTGTTTACTTTAAGATTACACCATGTAATCCAAAAATATATTTCTCGTTTTCCAAGATAATCCATGGATTAACACCCAGGTATTTTTATTTTTCAAACTTCAGAGGGCTGGGAATCATTGATGCTCAACGCTTTTGAATACGATAAATGCTGTTTTAAATAGGTTTTACGTATGCCAATAATTTCTCAAATTATGTAAGCTGAATGCATTCCATAATCCCTAGAATATTCTCTTGGAGGAATCCAATGGTAGTTCCAAGCAGATTTTTAGATGGCAGGTAAGTAAATTCTTTAGTACTCGCCTCATTGGGTTGAGTTAGTTTATATTCAAAAATTATATATGATTCTGTAAAGATGTCAGTGTGGATGCTATATAGATTGCACACGTATGGTAAGCTGTATAATCCTATATTATGTAACACAAGTACAGTTTTGGTTGACATGATTGTGACTGAGTGAGAGATTAAACTCTTTAAGGTAGTTCTGCATGTTGATAATTTTTACTAATTCTGGTGATGAATAAATTATCTGATAATTATAAATTGGGCAATATTTTTGACATTTTAAGTGGATATAAAGAATTATGGTAACATACACCATGGACCATGCATACACATACAATTACATATGTGAAAATATTGTCCCTTTCATTGATTATCGGTATTTGTAATCATGAAAATTAGTGAAAAATATCGAGACATATCTACCTTAAAATCTATTTTCATTACACTATACTATAGCCTACAGTTTATTATTATATCACCACCCACATATTGCATGAAAAGGATTTAATGCCATGGCTTAATGAGTTGTAGAATGATTGCACTAAGGATGTCTTGAGTGTGCAAAGTCCAGGACAAATAACATGAGTGGATGAAATAATAACAATAATGTGATAATTATCAATTATTATTTTCACATTCTTATTGCAAGAAAATCTTTTTGCAAGGGTTACAAAGGTTGAAATATTGTGCTGGCTCTATTTGGCTGGAGTTTAATATTCAGACCTAGCTATGTGTGAATTGATTATCAATCACATTGTACATTATAATGAACATAATAAATAAAACCATGAATGTTGAATCAAACTGGAAACACAATCTTCATTAACATCAATTACGGATGGAAGGGCAGTACTTATTTATAAGACATAAATTATTGTAATTGTATGATATCGTATTTGTGATTTGAATATACACTGTGATATTTGAGAAAAAGAATGTTTTGTTTTAGTTTCATTGCAATTTATAACCCTAATATCTTAAAGCCAGAATCCTTCATTGTCTTCCAATTTTCTAATAACCTCAGAAGTTCCTACTTTTTAAAAAAAATACAATTTTCCATGATCATTTTTATGTCACCACCACAAGTGGTGACATATTGTTATGGTCTCAAACTTTTTTGTGGACGGTGTTCAATGGTTGGTGTTTATCATTTGGCAGTTGGTGTTTGGCAGTTGGTGTCTGTAACAAATGGCAGGTGTTGACATTTTGCATGTGAATGCCTTGTCTTATAATGTAGCCAACTGCAATGGATGTAAAACGGATACAATTAACTAATACATTTCTTGGCATCAATTCAAATCATATGCTAATTTTAAATGAAAATGCTTTTTTTCATGTTTTACCACTCATAAATGCCATAATATCTCGATGTCACATTCAGGAAAATATGGCTATCAACAAGTTTTGAATTGTTACAATCCTGGAAGCTGTACATGTAAGCATACACATCTGTTAGTTCAGTTTATGTGTAAAAGTTAATCCCCTAAGCCTTAATACCTGATGCATGAAATATTATGGATGAGTTACATAATATGTAGTTGTGCTATTTAGGCTAATGTTGTGCTGTTTCACCAGATTTGACTGACATCTTTAAACAACAACAATTTGATTTGATGATCAGACAGCAACAAAACATATTAAGTGGCCAAGACAAAAGAATGTTATATGATAGGCATTCTAGGGATTAAGGAATGCATTCAGCTTACATAATTTGAGAAATTATTGGCATACGTAAAACATATTTAAAACAGCATTTATCGTATTCAAAAGCGTTGAGCATCATTGATTCCCAGCCCTCTGAAGTTTGAAAAATAAAAATACCTGGGTGTTAATCCATGGATTATCTTTGAAAATGAGAAATATATTTTTGGATTACATGGTGTAATCTTAAAGTAAACAAAATGTTTTAAAGTGTATTGATGTTTTTTGGATGAAAAACATAAGCGAAATTCATGAAAAAAATCCCCCAATTCATTCTACAAACAACTCGCCCCCCTTTGAAGCCAGTCATCCACCTTGATAGCGCGCCTGCCCGCAGGTCACCATTAAAGACCATGCAGCTATAGAGGAGCTAGGCCTTGAGGTCTAAAACCATGCACCATACTCTCCTGATCATGCAATATCTAAATTTTACTTATATTGAGAACGGAATGCTAATCAGTGCTGTAAGACCTTTAAAGATAAGAATGACCTTCTCCAAATTGTCCAATCGACCATGCGTGGCATGTCCTCAAGTGGGTTCACTCATGTGTTTGGGTCATGGATACAGAGTAATACTCTTGTACTGACCAAAGAGGAGCCTATTTTTCAAAGTAGAGGATACATAGGAATATCAAATGATGTAAAACAAATGTAATTCCCACCAGTTGTTGCATTTCAACGTTGATATGGTATGTAAAAAATGATATGGCATGTACAAAATGCTTAATGTTTCTGTAACTTTTTGCATGGAATGTTGCCCCGGGTATTGTGATGTCATGTTACTATAGCAACCATAAATCTACCCGAGTTTCATATATTTTGTCGAAACTTTGCAACGATGCATGAAAGTACATTATGTAAAATTTTGAAGACGATTGGTGCATATTCAACGAAATGCCAGCACCAGTCCTGTTACTTTTGGAACACCCTGTATGTATATGTACAGGAGGTTTTAGCCTAACAGAGGCCTTCCTGAAACTTTTGGTGGCTCTATACGTGTAATTGGAACGAATTTTACTCAAGTCCTATTCGCCTGTACACGTTGACGTCGGGGGATTTTCACCTATGTTTGAGGAGGCCTTTAATTTTTTAATGAACTTACGCTCTGCCTGCCACTTGGCCGTCTTGGGCCCGCAATTGTGCATCCGAGCATATGGTGGCACATGTCCGACTTCCACCACATTCTCTGCGTACGGCATATGTCCATCCACCTGCTGTGTTCATGGCTGTACAGGTTGCTTCTGCAATCTCATCATAGTAGTTCACAAAGTCCGATTCATCGTGACTTTCTGCCTCGTGACTCTCTGCCTTCAGCTCATCAACAGAACCTTTTAATGAATGATGAAATAAAGGATTCAAGCCCAGGACTAAGTAAATATATTATAGGATAAATATGTCAGAAACTACTCCATCGCCTATCAGATATCACAGCTTATAATTGATGCATCGTAGTGAGATATCTAAAAATGGTACAGGGTAACACGCATGTAACGAAATTATCAGTTTTCTCATTATCAATAGAGAAAATTAATAGCGAGAAAATATTCCGAAAATTCATCTTAATTTTAGAAATTAACTAATTTTAAAATAATTAAATTGGGACCGAGCGAGAAAAAGTACACACTAAAAACATATATAGGTTTTACTGTAAATTAAATTCTTTCTTTACCTTTTAGATTGACAACTTCTGTGGTCAAATCTGCAATATCTTCTTCTGCCTCTGACAGCCCAGACGTCGTATTGGATAGCCAATTTGTGAGATTCTTACAATCGCAATAACCCATTTGTGGTGGGGTGACGTTGATGACGGGTGCACACGTGCACGTTGGTGTATCCCTGCAAGGCGGGAATGGGTCTCTTGCGGCGGCAGTTCCCTCGGCATTACCCCATCCAAGCGCGCTAACAGCAATCACACATATTGCTAAAATTTCTTTTAAAGATCTCATCTTGAAATTGTTACTTCAGATTTTTAAAACGACTATATAGTACCCTCGAGTCTATCGTATAAATGTAATGAGAAGTTTATTTAGAGGGGTTGCTTTTATAATAGTTACTTGACATGTATGGTGTTTAAACTGCTTCTTTATTCGGTACATTAATATTCCATAAATACCAAATAAAACAAACAATTTACCAAACCTTTACCCAATCTATCGAATGTTTTTTTATTTTATCAAATGTAATAATCTATACAATTTATATTCGCTCAATAGTTTCACTTGTTCTTTATATTGACATTCACATTTGATATTTATACATGTATTTGTGTGATGCAGCGAATCAATTTGTTTTCCTTAACGCACGCATAATTCAATTAATTATTTGTACATTCGGTATTTAAATTATTTATATTCGGTAAATACCGAATGCCACATTCGATAAATTTCGTTATTTTTCGATTATTTACGAGACTTTCAGTCACGTGATATATTTGTACTATGTAGAATAGCTGCGCGGCCATTATGCAAATCTCGAAGTCACGTGACAAAATATCGAACAACAACGCAAGTTATCGAATATTACTTTATTGCATTCGGTAAATAGCAAATTAGCTTTCGGTAAAATGCATTAACTATGTCATAGAAAAATAAACCATTTGGTAAATATAGGCAAACTTGTTTCGGTAGGGTTCAAATAGAAATTCAATATTGTGCATATAATGTGTTACTCTTAAGGAATACCATAACACTTTACGCCGAAAAATATCATTTAACGAATGAAATATGTAATTTAATGCACATAGTATTAAGTGATTGGCTATTTTGAAAACTTAATTTGCTGTAACAAACAAATAAACGTTTTTACCGAATGGAAAAATGATTTAGCGAATATAAATATTTCATATATCGAATATATTTGAATTTAATGAATAAAGAAGCAAAAATAATGCCATAGACATGAGGCTTGACATCTACATCTTGCGAAATTTCTAGAAAACCGGATACAGTTCAGAGAAATAGTTACTGCAATTTCATATTTGTGTTTATGATCCTAGAACTATGTTAAGGTTATTTAGGTTTTGGGGAAATCTGATTGGATTTTAAAGTTTGTTTAATGGTACGATGTCCTCAAAAGCAAGTAGATATAAACAAAGCAAGTAGAAAAGATGATAATAAATAAAACTTGTTTACGTATTTCAAGATATGTAGACTTGTAATACACCATGACAACATCTGTCATTTTATTGCATTTTTTACAGCGAATGTTTACTAAAATGTGCAACACTAAGGATTGTCAAAGTCCCTTTTGAAGTTTCGTATTATCACCTGATGGAGTTTAATAAGTTATCTATTCTCACTACTACTGCTAAATGATTCTATGATTGTACAGTCTGTTAGCACAGTCTGATATTGAAGTCTGACAATAAACTTTAAAACATGTTTTATATGTACATGTCTCTGTTTAAAAGTACAGTCTGGTGGTACAGTCTAACAGTACAGCCTGATAGTACAGTCGGATTTTTAGTACGATTTTAAAATCTGATAGTACAATCTATGAGTATCTCAAGTTGTACAACCTGAGAGTATAATCTAACAGTAGTCTTTTTGACAGTACATTCTAATTAGGTGGTAAGCTATCACACAAAAATGTTTTTCCAGTGAACAAATTGAAATTACTTGTTTCTTATGTATTTTTATGTGATACTTCAGAATTTTTTTGTCTGACGCGCCGAATCCGGGGCGAAAGTTGCCAAAGTGGGGTTTTTAACCCAAATATAGAAAATAACGGGGGTACTTTATTATCCTTGAATAACTTTTTCAATTGATCCTTAATCATCACAATAATTTTACTGGAAGTTGTTAATAGCATTAATATCCAAAGTTTCAATGAGCTGTCATTAATGGTTGTTGTGGAAACCATGATCTTTGTTGAAAAAGTCCATAATTTTGGTAAAACCTGTACCTGTACATCATATAGAATGTGCATTATTTTTCAAATCAACAGATATCAGAACATGTTAGTACTCTTAAACTTATCAGGACAGTTCAGAAATTTGTTTAAATATAATGGATATTGTTATTCACATGATTGGTAAGTGTCAAAGACCATATAATTACTAAGGTGATCAAAAGTGGGCGTCGCGCTTATAAAATAGATGATTACCATTCCCTGTAAATACAGATTTTGAGTTGAGATACAATTATAATGTACTTATTACCATAATCTATATCAAGCAATTCTGGTAGATACTATATACATATAAGTGTAGTAGGTATAACATCAAGCTAGGGATGGGGGGGGGCAGGGGAGGGGGTACAGTGGGGGTAGATTTAACCAGCCTTATATAAAACTCATATTTAAAGTTTTAGTGTCATGTGGTACATCTTTTGGATCTTGTTCTGATTTATCTCAATATATAAGTGTTGTAGGTATTACATCAAGCTAGGGATGGGGGGGGGGGGGTACAGTGGGGGGGGGGGGTAGGTTTAACCAGCCTTATATAAAACTCATATTTAAAGTTTTAGTTTCATGTGGTACATCTTTTGGATCTTGTTCTGATTTATCTCAATATATAAGATATTGCAATTTACATTATTGAAAAGTGTCAAAGACCATACAATTACAGTACAAATGTGATCAAAGATGGGCTTTGCCCTCATAATGATAATATATGACATTTATTTTCTATAAATATGGAGTTTAACTCATGAGATACAATTATACTGAATTTCTATTACCTTAATTCATATTAAGCATTTCTGGAAAACACATTTAAGTCTTGATGTTATTCCATCAGGCTGGGGGAGGGGGGGGGGGTTAGAATGTGGGGAGGGGGGGGCAAAGCTAGTCAGCCTTAGTTATAAATCTCATCAACATAATTTTGGATCGTATAGGGTATATCTTCTGGGTCATCTTCTGATTCTTCCCCTGGTGTTAAGATATCAACAATCTCTTGTGGTAGAATATCTGTTGTTAACCATTGAACTTCCATGTTTTTTTAGAATCATTAAGTTTCCACCCATGCCCATCTGGTGCTGGAAGACTAGGTTTTTCAAAATGGGTCATACGCCAGATAAGTGCCTGGTAGTTGACTCTTGCTAAGTGAAGCATTGGGGAGTCTTGACAAGGGGAAGTAGACTAATATCTGTTCCTTCATAGTCAGTTATTGATTTAGTATCGGGCCTAAACTTCTCTTTAAGTAACACATATCTGGCTTTGTTGATGTGGGATATTTGAGATTTCCCATACTAGTATACAGGGTGTTACAAAATGAGCAATACGCCAGATAAGTGCCTGGTAGTTGACTCTTGCTAAGTGAAGCATTGGGGAGTCTTGACAAGGGGAAGTAGACTAATATCTGTTCCTTCATAGTCAGTTATTGATTTAGTATCGGGCCTAAACTTATCTTTAAGTAACACATATCTGGCTTTGTTGATGTGGGATATTTGAGATTTCCCGTACTAGTATACAGGGTGTTACAAAATGGGCAATACGCCAGATAAGTGCCTGGTAGTTGGCTCTTGCTAAGTGAAGCATTGGGGAGTCTTGACAAGGGGAAGTAGGCTAATATCTGTTCCTTCATAGTCAGTTATTGTTTTAGTATCGGGCCTAAACTTCTCTTTAAGTAACACATATCTGGCTTTGTTGATGTGGGATATTTGAGATTTCCCATACTAGTATACAGGGTGTTACAAAATGGGCAATACGCCAGATAAGTGCCTGGTAGTTGACTCTTGCTAAGTGAAGCATTGGGGAGTCTTGACAAGGGGAAGTAGACTAATATCTGTTCCTTCATAGTCAGTTATTGTTTTAGTATCGGGCCTAAACTTCTCTTTAAGTAACACATATCTGGCTTTGTTGATGTGGGATATTTGAGATTACCCGTGCTAGTATACAGTGTGTTACAAAATGGGCAATACGCCAGATAAGTGCCTGGTAGTTGGCTCTTGCTAAGTGAAGCAGCATTGGGGAGTCTTGACAAGGGGGAAGTAGACTAATATCTGTTCCTTCATAGTCAGTTATTGTTTTAGTATCGGGCCTAAACTTCTCTTTAAGTAACACATATCTGGCTTTGTTGATGTCGGATATTTGAGATTTCCCATACTAGTAGATAGGGTGTTTCATATGTATGCGCCCCCCTCTAAACTCATACATGTAGCATTGCCATCAACTCATATTATATATCTTTTGTGCCTCATGGAAAGTTACATAAAATTCCAAAGTTTCAGAATCCAGAGGTGTCAATGACAAAAGTTATAATCTATCAAAGATTGTGGGTACCGGTCATTTAGACGGCAATTTCTGGTGATTTTGAGGACAATTTAAAGGACAAATTTAGTTTCCGTATTGCATATTTCTTGCTATTGTCACCATGGCAGAGCTCAGTCCACATGTATGTGACAGTTATGCACAAAGATATATAGACAGGATTCATACAGTGGCTTATAGGGAGGTCAGGGACCATGGGATCACCTTTATCACTAAAATTGGGTAGCAGACAAAGTGAACAGATCACAAGACTGACATAAAAATCCTTACAAAACTGCTTATAAATGACCCCCTACCCACATATTTTGTTGGATTTTATCTTTTTTTCAGGGACACCTCTTGATTCTGAAACTTTTCAGTCCTATGAAACTTTTCATAAGGAACAAAATGATATATAACATGGTAGGGTGACAATGCTATATGTATGAGTTTAATGTATGAGGTGCATACATACGAAACACCCTGTATGTGGTAAACAAACTTTTCTACTTTACTGGTTGTTCCGTCATTTATGTCTGCTGAGAGTACTAGTCCTTTGAATGTGTCTGTATGATTCTCCCCCTTTGCCATTGTTTTGAAAGATGTTACTTTGCCCCTCCGAACCATGGCACTTACAGTGTTACACCCAGTGAAAGTGTGAAGTGCTGGGAGGGCTTCACATATTTCAGTATGAAAGGATGAGAAGAGGCTTGGCAGCAACTTAACCAAAGGGAGAAATATAAGAGTCCCAAAAGATTGGAATGAGTTCTTGAAGAATGATGCAAACAAGAAGCAACTATGTCAGTTAATGTTAAATGATTGGAAAAGACCACAATATGCCGAAAATGCAAGGCCGAGAAATGTACTGACTACAAGACACAAAATTATGTTGATGAGATTTATACCTATTTATTCCTAGGCTGACTAGCATTGCCCAACCCCCCACCCATTCTATCCCCCACTTCAAGACTTATATGTGTTTTCCAGGGTTAATGTTTGAAACCAAGCCTTACTCCATAGAAGAGAGTTTGGTCTTCAGAATCCTGCCTTCTGAAACCTGCCTGGCCGTCTATTTCGCCAAAAGACCATCAACAGGTCAACAAATACCACGCAAGTAACACATGCGAATCAATTCCAGGGTCCCAAAGTTCAAGTGCCTTCACTCCCAATAGCAGGCTAGCAAAAAATTACTGCATTCAGACTGGTATATTACGTATTGATCATCCAACCACAGGTCTCGAGTACTTCCGTAGCCAGACAGTTGGATTGTTTCCGCACTTGGATCTTGCATATGGCAAGAGTAGAACACTGAATGGCGGCAATACAACTTTGAATGGCCACTCAAACAGACCTAGATCGGTGCAAGGTCTTGGTATCCATTCTTTACATTCCTCGAGACCAGACGCTGGACTTGACAGACCGTCTTCCGAGTTACAAATCAACCTAGATTTTCTAGACGGTGATGACGATGACCTATCGAGCGTTGGATCTAGCGTTCACAGCGTTCGATCCCTACATTCCTCGACGAAACTAAATGCTGAACGTGACAAAGCGACTTCCGAATTTCACATCAACCTTGACTTTCTTGACGAAGATGACGATGACCAATCGAGCATTGGATCTAGCCTTCTCAGCATTCGATCCCTACACTCCTCGACGAAACTAAATGCTGGACGTGATAAAGCGACTTCCGAATTTCACATCAACCTTGACTTCCTTGACGATGATGACGATGACAGTATGGACGAGGGACCCATGGCCAGTCCAGAACAAATGCACACACAACGAACTGTAGAGCATTGTGACAGTCCAGATATTGTGTATAGAACGCCACGCCCTTGCATGGTCACGCACACTAGAATTGGTGAATCCGGAGACACGTGCACATACACAGCCCCACACTCGCACACAGGGGCATATGGGATGAATGGAATGACTTCAGTGGAGGATTAGACATATAAGATTTATTAAAATGCAAGAGGAATTTATAACTTTTCAAACATGCGACGTGGATAGGAAGAGGAAAAGTCAATATAAGGCGTTGAACAATTGAAATACATGGAGCGCAATGATAGTGTCGGTGCGCAAAGTGGGACTATTTAAAGGTGATTTGCGCATAACGTCAGCGTGAACGCCTTTTACTGTCAAAAGCCTATGATGAACGTGTGATCAAATTGTGATAAAAATTCAATATAAATTTACACTGCACGAGAGACAGTATTTGAGAAAGTAATGTTTAGAGGAAGTCGGAGTTGTTAAGCATTTTGTATAAAAATATTAAATACCAACAAAAATGTATTTAAATTTTGTGTTCATTTTTTGAAACGTCACGCGTTGCAATAATTTATCGCACCTTTGTTTTATCATCCGCGTGTTTTATGGTGACCTAATCCAACACTTCAAACCCAGCTAAGGTCAAAAGTTATATTCTTAATTGAAGACGATGCCCTTTGGAGATGTTTAAGTTAAAATACAGTATAACAATAAGTATCGCCAGCTTATCACCTGATAGGGTGACCAGTAAAACAAACGATGACATAATCCAGTGGATATCGCCCATCTACACGAGTGAGCGCAGCGATATCCAAGAGTGGATAAAAATGATAGCCCGAGCAAATCATAGGATATCATAATCATTATATCGTCGCTATTTTTGTATGGACTTAAGATAATTTGACCTAAAAGTTGTTGTTTTTTCTAATTTTTCCATTTTATTGTCTGTGAACTCATTTTGCTGAGCACATAATCTTGAAACTATACCGTTGCAAATCAAACAGACAAGTGGTTATTTGGCGCCAAATGAAAAACTAATGAAAAAATCGTATCCGACGAATGCTATTTTTAACACGTCATATGAGTCGGATACGATTTTAGTGGCGCATACCAAAATTATCTTGTGGATAAAAATGATATCCCTCAAAATCATAGGCTATCCTCTACATGTATTTGTAACGTGTTTTCCGCAGTACACACAACAAGTATTTACAAAATCATTTACATTTATTTACAAAATCCTTAAAAAGGAATATATATTTGCAAAAAATTCAATTACTTTAAATTCAGTATACATTATAATAATCTTGGAGCTCAAACCTCTCACATTAAATACTATTCTGATAAGGCATAAATGTCCTTTTGTTTCACATCTTTTGAAAATATCTCATGCTGTGATTCACTTATTTGAAATTCGCCATTGGGATCAATTTAATCTAGGCTTACTTATGTGTGTCAATACACCAATTATGTGTGTCAATTCACCACTTATATGTGTCTCTTTACACAGTTAACGAACTCTCTTTGATTCAAAAAATGTTGACGGAAATAGGTGTCCAGAGTATTCTGTACCACTTTATATTTTTGTAAAGGTCGAATAAAATGTTTTCTTATGGAATCGATAATATCAATAAGTTGCCTCGATACTTCACTCCTGGCATCCCTGCCGTGGATTAGTTGAAAGACATAATCAGCTCAAAACTTATGAAACAACCCTTGTATAGTTACATAGCATTCCCAGCATCAATGTTCAAGAATGTTAGCGTACTTTTGCGCCTGGCGCTTCTTTTCAAGGCATACGAGGGGTTATCATAAAGTTCCTCTTCATTGTGTTCTGTTTTAGAGACTTTCCCAGTTCTCGATTTATTTAGCTAGTCTTCGCTTTACTAAGATCTACAACAGCAATAATTGGGTCCGCAGCCTCCCCCACAACTGTTGTATCTGTAAATTTTCAATCCCAACTTTTCATATCCCGCCTCTCCGTGAGCAAACTTTGGTCGGCCCCAGTAAACATGGAGAGAATTAAAGCACGTCATTCTGGAATGAAACATACAATCCATGAGAAACAATGATAATCACATTATTTGATATTTCTTACACCCCGTTTAGCACCAATATCAACCAGAATTGGTTTACGACAGACAAACGGCAAAAAGAAAAAAATTAGCACCAACTTTTGTTTGTGGTATTTGTAAGGGACAAAACAATTATATAAAAATTGCATATTATTGAAACAAGTGGCTCAAGTTCATTTAAATTCAGCTTTCATTTCTATTTAATTTCAACAATTATTATACTGCCATCTTTTGATAGATATTAAAGCTAAGTTAACTTTTACTTGGCATGCAGCTGGTCACTAACTCTGTCTTCTGATTGGTCAGTGGTTTAGCCACTCAGGTTTGAGATCAATGGGTAGAAGACAGAGGGTAGTGCTATCTTTGGTCAGTTTTAGCTTCATCTTTGCAAGAGAGAACATCTATTGTTTTTACTACTTTGTGACTTTGTACATATTTATATTTATACAGGATAAAGAATTATTTTATTAACTTAAACTGATGTGTTTGTGATTGATAGATAGAAAAGGGTAAACCAGTGAGGGTTTACATAAAATTTTTAGTGAATAGGCTAGAGAGGCGCTATGGCACTGAGGGTCAAGTAACCCGTTATATATCTGAGTTAAGAAACAGGCGGCGCAGAACAAATGAAACCGTAGCTGAATTAGGTCAAGCTATTAGGAGATTAAGTAATTTGGCATACTCAGAACTCCCTGAATCTTCAAGAGAGAACCTAGCCATGTTCCATTTTATCGATGCTCTAAATGAAAGAGATCTGAAACTTGCTGTTTTCAATGCAAAGGCATCTGATTTAGATGGGGCCATTAAGGTTGCTATAGAGACTGAGGCCTTTATAGAAAACAATGCCAATAGGTCGAGATTTAGCAATGAGTATAGGCGGGATAGACCTATACAAGTAAGAAAAACATAGAATATGTGATAAGAAAAAAGGAAAAGTGAATACTTATCCTGATTATCAAATTGGTTATAGAAGATCAAGTAGAAATAGGAAACCTCCTGATAGATATGGTGTATAAGGTGAAATTCAAACCTTGTGTGGAGATTTTCTGTGATGTCATAATTTCCCACACTGTTAACACCTGTTGAAAATCACAGAGTTTGCCAGTTAAATTGTAAACAATGAGATTAACAACTCTTTATGTATTGTTTATGATAGTGGAAATCATAACTATTTAAAGTCCCAGTCTAAAGTTTGAAAATATTTTTTTATCATTCATTTACTATTTGTCAGGACTTAAAAAGTGGTTTTTGAGATTTTTGAACAAAAAAAAATCTTTGAAAAAAAATTGTGAGCATTTCATTTCTCAAATATTCAAATTTCCCGCCATTTTTCAAAAAAAGTTGAAATTTCTTAATCATCAAATATTTCTTAATGCATTTCAAAAAAGATTATCTTTTTAACACCAATGCAAAGGTTGAACAAAGGACACACTATTTCAATGATAAAATGCCATATTTAATGGGCCACTTCAATGTTTTAACATATCAAAAATATTTTGAAACATTAGTGATGTCACTAAGGTACCAAAAACTTTTTGAAAAAAATTGAAATTTTTTTTTTGATGTCAATCTTTTCTAAATATGTTAGACTTTCATAAAAAACAATGTTGATTGTCTAACCAGGTTAAAAGGAAGAATAAATTATGTTTTAGATATCATTGTACCATTGGTTTCTATGAGAACTAAAATTTTGAAATGCATTTTTCTCAGAACCATTTTCATGCACTAATAAGTTCCTTTATCGCTTATTTATGAACCGATTTTCTTAATTTTTTCGGCAAAAAACATGGGAGGATGAATGCTATGCATTGGTATGAATTGTGGCTAATTAGAAGATATGAGTGACCTCTAAAAGTTGGTTTTAAATAGATTCACAAATTTTGGAACAAAAAGTCTATCAAAAACCACTTTTTGAAATTTAAAAAAAAAGTTTCACATATCACACTTTGATAACATTGGGTAAGACTACAATATAAGCCAAAGTGGTTTAAACTTTATATGGGGCCTTTAAGGAGGGTGAAAATATATAGTTTATAGAAAGCATAAAATATATATAAGTAGAAAGTAGTCTAAAAATATAGTGTACTATAACAAAAATATATAATATATTAGTAGAAAGAATTTTAACAAGTTATTTAGTTGAACATGTTGAATGTGTGCTGGTCGGTATAAATACACAGAACCTTGGTTGTTTAAAAAAAAATGCACTGAAGGTATATAAGAATAAGTGAAATTCCTTATATTTGTTGGATAAGAATAGTATAGTTTCCATATAGCTTTTGAAATCTCGCTAAATCTCGTTTTTCGTGAGATTTTAAGAGACTTGCATATTAGACCTCTAATGACTTACATTACCTTCTTTTAAATGGCATATTTGAATTCAGTGAAATGTTTTCTCCTTTAATAGCTTTGATTTACACAGTTATGTAATTTGAATAATTTTCTATAACAATTTAAAAAAACTTGGGCCAAATGTCCATAGATGCAATGCTAAAATTCTTTAAATCCGTGGATTATTTGTATGTCAATCAACATTTGCATGTTTAATCACATCATGTACATAAACAGGGTCGTCATGTGGTATATCATTCAAGTTTTATACAGATTCAACAAACACACTTTGATAAATCATGAAATTAAGCCACTTTTCCAAGATTTTAGCATGTAAATGAATGGAGCTCTAGCCCGAGTTAAAAGCTGAATAAAAGATGGCAGCACGAGATTTCATTGATTTTTCTGCTATTTAGAAACTATCCTATTGTGACGTTGATACTCAGTATAGTTCAAATAAGATGCCATATTTATAACTGAAGGGGAAAATACAAGTATGACAAAAAGTTGTAATCGGGACAAACAATGTAGTGTTTTAAACATTGTGGTGCTTACTGGTATCAAAAGGAAAGAAATGCATGCATGTGGTGATACAGTAGAACAGTTTACCCATAAGTCGAGAATTAAAATTTAAAAAGCTGTTTTTAAGTTTATTTGTGAAAAGGACTTTTAGGGATGAGTGTTGATTAGATTTTGTTGATTGAGAGCTGGCCAACTCAAAAAGAGACAATATTTGTATTGACAGAAACTGGCACTTAGAGGTGTTCCCGGGGTATTAATTGAGCTGAGGAAGTCCTTGAATAAAATTGCAATATGATCTTAGAGCTCTTAAGAGATTATGTTGTGGGATTGTGCACATTTGGATACAGTTCAAGAACAGTTTAAGGATAACTGTTAATTAGTTATAATGTTGTTTGAACTTGAGAGATCAATGATCGATTGTTTTTAACAAAGGCAGGGATAATCTGATATACTAATAGAAAGAATTGATCCCCCAATTATAGATGACTTGATTTTGATTGCTTTATATTTTTGACATAATCTTGTCTCATGGAATGTCAATAGTAGCCAATGACATGTAGAGGTGTGTAAACAACAAGTGACAAACCAGTGACATGTTTTAAGTTTTGGGTGCCGGGATGTCTGGACTGGTTTAAGTAGCAATGTGATGAGACCTTATATAACTAAGGGGACACTGAGGTGGTCATATTGAGTTGATTTCTTAATGTAACAACACCCTAGATTTTGCAAGAGTTGATAGGAGTTGACAACTGGATG